GTACTCTGGTGAGCAGGGATCTGACAGGGCCGTGGGTTATGATGTGACAAAAATACATAGGCAGCGTTGAAGGATACCTCGTGTCTGCAATAATGTGTTGGCACGTGGAGTGTGACAGGGCTAGTTCTTAGGCTCTTAGTCCTGTCTCCTAGTTGGATGGTTTGGAATAGAGCTTCTCTTTCCCTTCTTTGGCTCTAGTCCAGTAACCCAATGCCGTTCCAATCCGACCCTTCTCTCCGAAAAGTTACCCACCTATTAGTCTATTTACCTACTCCAGCCTGGCCGACACCTGCAATGATTGGGTTGGAAATAACCCAGCCACCTTCAATGAAGCTCACTGGCTGGTAAACTCGGTCAAGATCTATGCCCGAAACAACTAAACTTTGAAACCTGAGGCTGGAAGTGGATATGAATACCGGGCTGAACGCGCACCACTTTCTCATGTCGCTACTGAAACTTGAAGGTACCTATGTTTAGAGATCTACTTTGAGCATATATTACCTAAGCAAAACAACTAAATATGGGAATTTTTTATACATTTCCCCGCATTTTGGTGCTAATCCTTGTGGATACAGCTACATATTACAACGTATTCAAGTATGTTGTAGAACAATCTATACGAGTGGACCCCGGCCTGGGAATAAAGACACGCTAATCCAGATTCAGATAGATCGCGCTCTCCAATTCTTCAAGTCTTCGGGCCCACTCTCCTGCCACTGGACCAATTATGTGTCTATACTTTAGGCCTCCTTGGTCTCATGGGAACAGGTTGAAGAACTATCTTCCCATTTTTTGTTTTACAAAATCATATCAGAGTATATTGAAATAAAGCACCAGAAGCATACATTCAAGACACGTACTCTTTGCTTTCCGAGCACTGCGTTCCCACAATATCAACCTAACTACCCCTCTCTACATGGCAGCGTGTTATTGATTAAGGTTACAGCACAATCTAGATTAATATGACATCGCTTTGCCTTGATAGTCGTCTACGGATTTTGACATATTTTATAGATTTACGAGAGACTCCGATCAAACACAAGACCTTGTCTCCCATTTGAGGTAGTTATATATATAAAGGCCCTTTGGAGGAGAATCAATAGATACGATGATGTCACAGTCGATCGGAAGCATCTCCAAGTATATAGTACCCTATGTTGTACATAGAAAAGCCGCGCCTAGATGCCGTTCGGCCGACAGTGAGTGCGTGGGGGCGGATATTCCCGTGTTCTGCAATAAGCCCCATACAAAGCAGGGTTTCCGGTCTAACAGGAAAATAAATGACGTATGATTAGCGCCTTTTTTGAGAAATGGACAATTAAGTGCATTGAGAGGGTTAGGGGCGTTGTATTTCGGTGTAGTGAGCTAATTATGTTACCTTACTGCGTTCCTCCGGGGCCAGGCTGTTTGAAGGTATTCAGAAGGTAAAACTCAAAAGACACTACAATCATGGAGAGAATAAAGGAAAGCAAATTGAGAAGCTTAGATCCAAGGCATACCTCGGCTTTTACGTACACCAACCAATCTAGCTCCACTGGATTTTTGGTCTCTTCAGTCATTTTCGAGGAGTTCAGAACTGGAGGTGAGGGTCGTACCTGGCCGATGGATCTCTCATCTGTGACAACCAATCACATGAGAGTATGTCACGCGACCAAAGCCAAACGCCAAGCCCGTACTGAGAAATACTCTGATAGCATAAAAGCAGCGTGCCAAGAACATCCATCCCCCTGGGGCCACCCGACCCACTCGAGGGAAAATGCGGAGGTTACAGAACGCCATGCCATCGGATAATTCACCAAATTTACAACGGAGGACGTAGCGCTCATCGATTCGCAGTTTGTTTTCCGGGCCACAATCTACTTTCTGGACAGATCCCAAGCCTAATCTAGTACAAGCTTCCCGGGATGTGCAGAACGGATTACCGAGGTGAGTATACCGGGTAAAAGCCCCTAGATCTTGCCCCGCCATGACATTCCTACCACACACGGTAGGTACTTGCCGAGCCCGGATTCTGGCCCTGATCCCCGGGTTTTCTAATTCTGGTGGGTAAGGCATGTTGCATTGATGTTGGTGACTGGTTTGCTATCCAATGTTCCCCATGTCCCACCGGAATATAACCGAATCCGAAGTGTCACTCCTTGCTATTCATGGCTGCTTTCCGGTCGATCTGCGGGGGGAAGTTGCTGTGCATCATGGTCCATTGGTAGTTCGGAGTTGCGCCGTGTGTGACCAGGGTCTCGGCACTGCATGTAAAAGCTTTAAAACCCTCGGGTGCCGGGATGCAGGTGCAATCTTGGGTCTATTTCTTTTCGTTGTGCAGTTTATTATAGCCCGCGAGCTTGGGTCTGGTTGTTTTCCCTGCGCTTTTATTACTTTTTCGGTCTATAGAAGCGGATATTTAATGCGCCAAGCCTTTAGGAATACTCGGTTCGTTCCTCTCGATCACGTTCAAAATGAGTGATAAAATTCCCTCGTGGAATGTTGTCCACAAGCTGGAGAAGCGACAACTTCTCATTGGAATCAACTGCGTAGCTGGATTGTCTATCTTGTTCTTCGGATACGATCAAGGAATGATGGCCGGTGTCAACAATGCAAAAGATTACATTGATCTCATGGGATTCGGTTATACTGAAGTGGTGGATGGCGAGGTGACCCCGGTGGTCACAAATTCCCTGCTGCAAGGTGGGATTGTGTCGGTCTACTACCTGGGAACGCTTTTCGGCGCCTTACTCGGTGGCTGGCTCGGAGACCGCACGGGAAGAATCAAAACCATTGCAGCCGGTGCTTTATGGGCTATTCTAGGCGCGGCCCTGCAGTGTTCGGCACAGAACCACAACTGGATGATTTGCGGTAAGGGGGACTAAGGTTTATTACGCGCAGGCTTAGACTAACTTTCGCAGCACGTTTCGTTAATGGTATTGGTACCGGAATTTTGAACGCTATTGTACCTGTCTGGGCTACCGAGACAGCTGAACATACTTCGCGCGGACAATTCATCGCTATTGAATTCACGCTGAACATTTTCGGTGTGGTGTTGGCTTATTGGCTGGAGTTGTATGTACATTGATCCAATTTCCGTGATATCCTTTCTAATGTTCGACAGTGGCCTGTCTTTCATCGACAACGGAGAGTCAGCCTTCCGTTGGAGATTCCCCATCGCATTCCAGATCGTCTTTCTCATAGCCCTCTTTGCGGCTGTCTGGTTCTTCCCAGAGTCACCTCGATGGCTCGTTAAGGTCGGCCGGGAGGACGAGGCTCGCTATGTTCTACAGCGTCTACGTGGATCAAGCGGAGAGGACCTCATCCGAGCGGAAGCCGAGTTCCAGGATATTCTGAGCATCGCTGAGCTGGAGCGGACAGTGAATCACGGTGACTCTTATCTGTCCATGCTGGTTGGCTACAAATCCGGTGACCTCCATATCGGGCGTCGTGTACAGTTGGTCATTTGGCTACAGATCATGCAAGAATGGGTTGGTATTGCAGGAGTTACTGTTTATGCACCAACCATCTTTGGCATTGCTGGCTTTGATTCGATGAAGAGTCAGTGGATTAGTGGACTGAACAATATTTTCTACATGGTATGTTTCGGTGTTGAGGCAAATCCCGAGTTGTACTAATGTGCGTGTCTAGTTTGCTACCCTAGTTTGTGTCTTTACTCTCGACCGTATCGGTCGCCGGTGGACTTTGTATTGGGGTGCGGTTGTTCAGGGTATTGCCATGTTCCTTGCGGGTGGATTTTCCCGTCTCGCCATCGACAACAAGGCAGCCGGTGATATGGGCAAGGCATCCTCGTATGGTGCAGCCGCTGCTTCGATGATTTTCATCTTCACTTCTGCATTTGGCGCTTCGTGGCTAACAGTCCCTTGGTACGGAACTCGCGTCTGATCTTTTGATTTAATACTAACTCCTGAGTTCTTAGGGTTTACCCGGCTGAAATCTTCCCCTTGGCCGTTCGTGCACGTGGAAATGCTTTCGGTGTTGTCGGATGGAGTATTGGAAATGGATGGCTGGTGAGTGAATGTCTTCAATGAATACAAGAACAACATACTGACAGAACATTGAAAGACTCTACTGTGTCCCGTCATGTTCAATGCCATTGGCGAAAAGACACTATACGTCTTCGCCGCCAGTAATGTGATCGCCATACCCATGGTGTGGGCTCTATACCCAGAAAGCAACCAACGCACACTAGAGGATATGGATCTCCTATTCGCAGCCAAGACTCCCTGGACCTGGGATGCAGAGAAGACCTTTGCGCGCCTTAAGGAGGAGAACCCAGGCATGGTGCAGTCTCTTGGTCCTAAGGGCAGCGTGGTGGATCCGGAGACTGGAAAGCCTCTTTCTGTTGCTGCGGTTGTTGCTGCCTCTAAGGCTGGTGATAATGCCGTAGGAGCGGAGCATGTAGATCGCGCTTAGATTTGAGATGGGGGGACTTGATGATGTGCTATGTTTAGGCTCCCTACCTATGCCCGTGTGACGTTTTGATGAATAAGCAAAAAATAGACAGTTATATGATTTAATATCAGTATTTTATCCTCAGAACAATTAAGAAAATATCGAAATATCGAAATATCATGAAAAAGAATAAAATAAATGTTACTGAGAAGAAAATGCTATCGAGAGAGGCTGCTCTGATTGGCCACTTTGGGAACAACAACCATCAACTCAACCTATAAGTCGAGCTTTATAGTTAGCCGTTTCTCCCCTCCCCATTTCTCTATCTTCAAATATTCACACTCGAACAAAAATCCATATCATATCTCTTAGCATTAACAGCTACTCCATACTCACGTGGTAAGTACCCCACTCCCGATAAACGCGTCTCGCGTCGCATCGTTCCCGGCTAATTACAAATTACAAATGGAGCCTTGGAATACCATCTCTCCACGAACCACAAGGAATTCCAAGATTCCAAAAAGGACCCGAACCCTAAAAACCAAAGGGCGATAAATCACATAAAAAGATCCCCGAAAAAGCATAAGCAAGAGGATCCACAAGTCATGTCGCTCTCGATAGCACAGCCCGCAGATCCCCAGATCCCAACACCAACCCCAGACCAGCAAGATTCCAAACCCCAAAAATCCCAGAAAGCCCCGACACCCACACTACCTACAGCGCAAACCAAAAAATATCTCCACCGCATCTCCCTGCACCCAACGCTAACCCCCTACCGTCGGCGCGTATATCGGACGCTCCTCTCCGTCCCACCAGGCCGGTGGACTACGTACTCGGCGATGGCAACATACCTAGGCTCCAGTGCGCGGGCGGTTGGCAATGCGATGCGCAGTAACCCCTTTGCGCCGGAGGTGCCGTGTCATCGGGTGCTTGCAGCGGATGGGTCGTTGGGTGGGTATAAGGGGGAGTGGAAGGTTGATGGGCATAAAGGTGGCGGTGGGTTTTGCGAGGAGAAGAGGCTGAGGCTCGAGGAAGAGGGGGTTGTATTTTTGGATGGGAAGGTTAGGGGGGTTTGTTTTAAGGAGTTTGTGGATTTGGGGGCTAAGTGAGTTTAGTTTCTTGTCAATTAAAGGGCGTTTTTGGGGGATGGGGAGGATGTTTATGTTCTTGAATTGAGGTTGATATTTGAGATTCCTGTACTCCGTACGGAGTACGGAGTATGTACAACATACTTAGATCCGGAAAAATAATGTATGGAGCTATCGGTCTGAATTTCCTATTTAGGTAGCTCCGGCTAGACTAGCGATTTGATAGACTTTGTTGTGAGGATGCGATATCCCACTGTACACGCTGTGCTGTTTTATAATTCCAGGAACTAAGCTTCAAAAGCTAGCTCCTTCTGTCTGCGCGCGGCAACACACAACCATTCTACTCACCTAAGAGTAATGCAAAACAGCTGCGGTATGATGTACTACCAGATGGACAAAACAGACCCCATCCCCCAACCACAGCAGCCTACAAGCTCACAGACACCTACGAAGATGCACCTGCCTCAAATGTAATCCTGCTAGTCTTAACCCAGCTCTTTCTTTCTCACTACAGCGGACTTGTTCCATAACAAATCCCTTCCGGCAAGGGCGTCAGTAAAAAATCACTTTGTCTATCGCTGGTACCTAAACGGCACCTCCACGATTTCAAGTCACAGCCAATCCTATCAATCCCAATGCAAATACCTGGGATCTCGTCATCATCCAAACTAGAATGAATGTGGCACACCTGATCCACCTACGGAGTATAGGGACACCTTCCTCGTTTCCGTGTGGGGATACGGACTTTGGAATGGATCTACGTCTGGATCTACATCTACAGACAAGTGTACCAGGTTAAATCTCGAATTTGCAGCTGACGGACTCCCGAAACGCAATACAGCGCTACTACCTGGGCTAGGGTATTGACTTCGCGCGTTCCGTTCGGATGATCCCGGGGCATGTTTGATGCATAGTCACATTAGGTGGCATCTTGATCAGGGGTTTGCGTTACATTTTGTTGAATGGGGGGAGGATATTGAGGGGCTTTGGAATTGATGGGGCTGGGGCTAGGCATTGGAGGCGGTTTGAGAATGTTCTTGAAACGAATTGTTGGGCTTGGGATTGGTATTGTCGGAGTAATGTTTTGGAGGATGGGACTTAGATTTGTTTCGGATGTGCATTATTGGACTTAATGATCCCCTGGTACCTGCATGTAAGGATTATTTTGGGGTGTGGAATTAATTACTCCGTACTTGCACATGGACTGTTACTGGACTTGGATGGTTGAAGGAAGAAAACATGGAATTGGGGGCCAAAATGAGGGCTAACCTTTTTTTGGGGTTTTAGGGTGAGTTTGTTGTATGAAAGGACAAAGAGAGAGCTTGAGATGTCAGAGTTTTCATTAGAGTTTTTCATTTTTCTTTGCTTTTTATATTAGACGTTCTTTGTATTTTATGAGGCATATTTGGGCCATTGGAGCAAAATCAAAACGTACGACTCAATGCTGCAGCTAGTACAGAGCACGGAGCACGGAGTATACCTGCAATCGTGATATTTGATACAGCACCTACTTAGTTCGGTTAGTCTGTGCGACTACTGCAACGCGCCTACTTTGGGAGAAATTCACTTGGCCAGAGCACCTGGTGAAAATTTTGATTTCAAGCCTTGGAAGAAAGGGGGAATGGCATATAGGCAAAGTCGTCTAAATCAATTTAGGAAAATGGTCGATCATGATCGTTGCAATTCATTGAAACATTCCACCAATAAGCCATCTAAGCCCGATCTAGAATCTAGAACACATAAGAAGTATAATGAGCGATGAGCTCGAAAACTGAAACACACTAATGCGAAGAAGCAATGCACATCTTCTATACAGGACCGATCCATAACAGGACTGCAGTCTATCGTTGAAACAAACAAAAGTAAAAATAGAAATAGCAAAAACAGAAGAGGAAAAAACAGTCGTGATATCGTAAAAATGCCGGGAAAAACGCCGGAAACATCAGCGCGAGGCGAGAAAAGACAAAGAAAATCATGACATCTGCTTCGCAGAGCGCTTGCAGGATCCACGCTTCGGCACATCCATGTGGTGGTATGAGCGCAGGTGCTCGACGAGGTGGTCCTGTCGCGGGAAGCCATTGCTACCCTTTCGCGAGCAGTGCTCGACAGGGCAGTTGCGGAAAACGGGGTAGTGGACGCTGGACTGGTGGCGCTTCAAGTCCGCGAAACGGGTGAAGGACTTTCCGCAGTGGTCGCAACCGAAGGGCTTAGCGGGCCTGAAGGAGATATGTTAGTGCGTTGATTTTATTGTGACGGTAGGGGCAGCTAGCTTACTTTAATGTCTGCGGCGCTGGCGAGTCGGCACTGGGCTCATATTCGCTGATAGGGTAGCTTGGTAGGTTGATTTCTTCGGAGGGGAAGTTGAAGCTGCTGCTGTAGCTACTATAGCTGCTGCCACAGCTGCTGGGTGCGCTCTGAGGCATGGCGGGTCGGTCGAAGACTGGGTAATCATGTGGTCTCTGGTAGGTATATGGCGAGCTGGTGATGTTGTAGAGCTCTGGTGCGACCTCTTGCATAGGGAAGGGACTGGTTGTGTCGAGGTCGCAGAGGGTATCATAGACGGGTTGACCGCCGTAGAAGAAGAAGTCCATGCTTCCTGGTGAGGAGGAGTAGGAAGAGTAGGAGTCTGTGTAGTTGAATCGGGACTGCATGTCGATTGGTGCGGATGAGAATGAGCGCTGGTGTGATAGGGGAATTGGAATTGCGGTCTTATAGAAGAAAGAGAGGGTTAGTCTAGAATATGCGCCCATACAACCTAAAATCACTTACCATTGTGAGAGAGGTAGTTTAACTAATTATTGAAATGTGAGAATTGATTTGGGCCAAGTATTTAAGATTCAAGTGCAAAATAATTTCCCTAAGCAATGGAGACATGAGCCCTTTTATGTGCCCAACGTGAAACTCCAGCATCATGGAGCATGACCGGGGCCTCGAGTAGGGTATTGGTCGACACGGGACAGCAAACAACAAGACTCGACTGTGAATGGCTGTGAAAGAGACAGTAAATGGCACTAGACAGTTTTCTAGAAAACTACTTGAAGCAGACTGGACAATACCACTCAGCCTCCCCGCCTCCTCGCATGCGGGAATTTGTTTTTGTATGCGGATCTTTGCTGACGCCGAATATTCCACGGTCCTTCTAGCGTGCCCCTCTCATAGCCCTCATTTTCACATCCTGGATAGTTTGAACGATGATGATTGGAGAATGATCAGGTGTGTCGAGGTAAGTTGGTTGTTGGCGATAAGCAGCGGTCAGACATTTGGGTGCCCAGTGACTTTCCCCTCACCGTGATCCTTTCATGATTGGACGTTGACTCTTCTGTGTGTCTTCTAGTGTCGTTCTAGCGTTCTGCCAAGAGCTCGTGTCTGACGGCCATGGCCCCCGGTGTTTTTTTTTCTTTTTGTTTTTTTTTTTCTGATTTCGTCACAGGGGACAGTTGTACATTGCCGTTTCATGTGAGAGATGTGGAATTCCTGGTTGTAAGGGACATTGAAGCTTTCCGATAAGAGCGTTGAATTTCAGGTTGAAGTCCAGGTGAAAGGCCTTGGTTAAGGTCTAGAAGGAATCAGAGTTCAAAGTTCAAGTTCAAGTTCGAGTCCAAGTTCATGATGCACATCATCCCGGGCATCCCCCCCCAAAAAAATCCACCCATTGACGTATTGACATATCTCAAGTCGGCACAATCGTGCCGGTTATATTATCAGAAATGATCCGCACGATCCAGCCTTGCGTTCCCGAACATGTCCATCTCCATGGAGAACCTGGCCAAGGTCGATTCCCACAATTTCCAAACCCCTCCAATCCGAGATCGCAGATCGACCGATGATGTCGCGGTCGCGCACAGCCCCTGACGAGGTAGCGACTAGCGACTAGCGTTCGCTAATCCCCGGGCTTCTAGAAAGAAAAATCCCGCACTTGGAAAGTGCATTCAGTACTAGCGTTTGCCAAGGGGCTGAAAGAGCGAGTGGGATGCAGGTGTAACCCGTAACGTTTGCTGGCGAGTTAGCGTTCTCTGACGTCGCACGTCGCTGGGTGTACAGAGAGTGAAGCGATTCGTCGTATGCCGGTGCTTTATTTATTTATTTAATTTATATTTATTCATTGATTCGGGGATATTTGGGATTGCTTCCGGTCCTGGGCAAGCAACCTTGGAGGTTAGGTGAATTACAGCCGTGCCGCCCCTATTTCCCGTTTCCTGGTTTCTTTTTTTTTATTATTATTTTTATTATTATCATTCTTATAGTTTTCTACATTTTCTTGCATTTGCTTGCATCTCGCCTGCATTGTCCCAATAGAGAAAACGGTATGGAGTAGACAACCTGAGACCCAGGGCCCAGGTTGGTACTCCGTACTACATTCAGTACATATGGCTGTACTCCATCCCAAGGCCTAGCCATGGTACCTGCCCAGGTGTAAGGCAGACTGACGCATAAGCATGCAATGAACTTTACTGGGGCTGCTTGGCTGCTTAGCCACTTGGCTACCTCGTATTATATAGCCAATATGCTTGACTTAAGGATTCATTGTATGGTTCGAACAATTGATAACCTTGCAAATAACACGAAACTCCCGTATCACCCAGGCCCATTCATTGCACTCATTGATGCCAGTCCTGCGAAAACAATAAAAGATAAAACAGCCCACCGAGACCCCCCCACAGATATCAAAGTTCCCGCCATAGCCTTAAAACATCCAATCTATCGAATCATAGCGTCGAGTCACGGACATTGCGAACAACTCCAGGGTGAAAATCAATCATCTGCACTGGGAGACCCGGGTGGGTTGCTCAAGGGTGGAAAAAAATAACAAAGACGCCTCATAACTCATCCTCGAGGTATTTGTACACAAACTTGAAATCAGCCTTGCGCCGATTCATCCTGTTGATGCCATTCGTAAGTGGGGAGCTCGTAAAGTTGGTACGGAAACGGAATCAATCGGAATCTTTAACTGACCATGTGCTTTCGTAGTCGAAGAAGCGATAGGTGCCTTGTTCAAACTCCTCGGTGATGTTCTTGGGCTCCTCGTGACGCTGGAACCAGGTTTGATACTGCTTATGGAAGCGCCAACTCTGGTTTCGGAGGGCCTTGGCGGCGAGGTATTGCTGGTACGTCCCTTGACGATAGTAGAAAAGGTAGAAGAGGGTATCCGTGTCGATTCTCCCGGTATCATACAACCGAGGGTCATCGAATATGGAAAGGGGTTCCTGTGGGTAGTATAGCGCAGTGCTGTACGGGTTTTGCGGCTTGTAGTGACGTGGCTTTTCAGCATCGCCAGCTTCTGGGCATGTCGTCAATGAGGTAGCAAGAAGGCGCTGAACAGACGGCGATGGGTTGGCCGATGCACGCGACTTCGTCACCTCAAATGATTGGAGCAGGTCCTGGAGACCAGGGGGCAGGTGATATACCGATTCATCAGTTTCAGTTCCTTCTGTCTCTAGTTTGCCATTCGTTGATGTCTCCACTTTGGCGGGCGCTGGCGATGAGACACTTGCACTGGCAGGGATCTTCGGTCGCACGGGCCCAGCAAGCTCTTCTGTAACAGCTGCTACAGTAGGTGGAATTATTGACTTGGAAACTGGTTGTGCTGGTGTCACACTGGGCGAAGCAGTAGAAGACTTGGGAGTAGGCAGTGCTACGGACAAAGCCGGGCTGAACCCTGGTGGAGGAGGAAGAGGAAGAATACCAACACCACTTTTGTCACTTGCAGCGGCAGCGGCAGCGGCGGAGGCATACTTGAGGGTTTCACCAGGGGGACGGGTCGGAAGGGGAGCGGGCTTCATGCCCGGAGTGGCACTCGATGAAGCAGACGGGTGGAGAGTAGCAAGAACAGGCAACGGCGATTTCATCTGTGTTGATGGTCTTCGGGCTGCTGGCGCTTCTTGCTTGACCTTTGGTTTCGGTTCTGGCTCTTCATCTTGGACTGATTGAGCATCTTGTGATGATACACGATCACCTTCGCCACCCATACCGAATTGTGCCTCGATCTCATCGCCGATATTTAGATCGTCGTAGAGTGTCTCATCCTCGCCGGAGTAGTCAAGACTACCTCCTTCTTCGACGTAATATTTGATACTTTCCTTGAGATCTTGTACCGCACCCACGTCCAAGTTGCCGTTCTGTAATGAACGATTGAGGAATTCCAACTTGTTTACGTGCCATTTATGTCGTTCCGTCACATGGGAGATATCGGCCATTCGATCCGCCTTCTTCGTGTCCTTCTTGCCTTTCTTCATTTGCGCATGGAGTGTTTCCTCCTCTGCCTCCAGGGCCTCAATCTTCAGCTGAAGCTCGTCAACCATAGTGGAGAGGAACTCGCAACACTCGACTCTCTCCTTCTCCTTTGGGTCAAGTCGTGAAGCTGCTGATAAACCTTCCTTTGAATACGCTTTCGTCTTCATCTCTTTCTCGACGGCTTTGAATTGTTCCATGCACTACTAACGGTGTTAGCTTGCCGCCACTTGAAGGAAGCATTGACCCTGTGGAGGGACCAAGCTAGGAAAGCCAAACGCACCACTTCAATGGCCTTTCGCTGCTCCATGAGAGGAGCTTTATCCTTGACCTCATTTCCGGCGGCCCACGACTTGATTTGATCACGGAATCTCTGGAGCTTTTTGATCTCGCGCTTGAGGTGGTCTTCGAGCTTGTCCCGTTGTGTGGGATTTGTAGCCTGGCGGATCTTCTCGTAAATGCCTTCAAACGTTTGTATCCCTTCAGAGACCTTCTTGAAGGTTTTCTCAATTTCCTGCTGCGTTTTTCGGGCTGCCATTGTGAACCCGTTGGTGGACTGTGCCGTCCACTGGCGTCGGGATTGATGCGGTCGGAACGGTGAGGTGATGCGCTTTCGACCAAAATGGTCACAGGTGCACAATCGAGGTAGTTGGTGTAGGAGGAATTGTGGGTAAAAGGGCTTGTTTGACAGCAAGAGGGATAGAAACTCGGAAGTCAATGGAATGCCTCTCCGCGTTTGAGTGGAAAGCTTCGTGGATGCTCTAATAGGTAGGCGGTCACGGGCGGAGGCGAACGTGAGGGCGGCGCGAGGGGTCGTGGGCCTTACACACACAAGATACTCGTCGCATTTGGATTTCTCAGTTCAAAAGTACACAATTTTTGCCAAAGAATCAAGTCCCGCTAACAAACTGAGTTCAACAAGCTCATTTGGGCAACAACAGGCAACATTCTGTGCCAGCGCTATCACTGCCCTTATCTTGTCTACGCCGCGGGTACGTACCCCAACTTCACCCAGCTGTTTCTTATTCTGACAAGATATGAAAGATTTATAGGTCACCAAAATGAAACGTTAGGAACTCCCAACCTACGTTGTATACCTCCATCAACTAATCCCATCCAGTCGTTATCCAAAGAGTCAAATCAGCATCCGTGACAGTCGATTCGGAGTTGGTTTCCTCTATTGGCAAGGGCCTTCTTGTATTTGCTGGCATAGGCAAAGAAGATAACGAGAAGGATGCTGAGAACCTCGTGAACAAGGTCTTGAAGGCCAAGTTCTGGCCCGATGAGAATGGAGTACAAGTTAGGCAAACGGCTCATACATGTCAGACCGGCAATTGACATCATCACAGTGGAAAAAGAATGTTAAGGATATTGAGGGGGAAGTACTATGTGGTATGGCTCTTCATCTTACTGCTGGAACACTACTGAGCAATACTGATGGTGGTTTAATCTAGTCTCCCAATTCACCCTCTATGCAAAAATGAAGAAAGGCAATAAACCCGACTTTCATGACGCAGCTGGTCCCGAGTCAGCGCGCAAAATCTATGACTTCTTCTATGACAAGATGCAGGAAGGCTATACTCCGGACCGGGTCAAGAATGGTGTCTTCCAAGCCATGATGGAGGTTGAACTGAAGAACGATGGGCCGGTGGGTGTGGACTACTGCAGCGAGGACGCGGCGGTACATTTTGACTTCCTAGCTCCTTTCCTCGCCGTCATTGATTCTATACTGACTGGTCTCATTCTAGGTCACAATCGAAATCAATACCAATCTTCCTAAGAAGGAGCCCAAGGAGCCGAAGAATGGAGACAAAGACTCCGATGAACAGGAAATTAAGGGACCTTTTGAATTCCAAATTCCTCCTGAATTGCTACAGTGAACAAAAGGAGAGAAGCCAAAAAAAGAGAAATAGAGATAGAGTAATGCTTTGTACCTAGATAGATTTTAGCAGATACCCCCAATACAACCTTCTATACAAATCCCGTGGTCCGAACATAGTTGGGGTGCCCGCAATGGAAGCTTCCTGAACCGCAAGCGCCGGACTCCCCCACAACGCTGACTTCTCTCTCCTCCACTTCTCTGCCATATTAACTTCGTTTCTCTCCTCTATTCTTCTCCACTTTTGAAATTTCTCTCCCTACAACTCCTTAGTCATGGCGACAGCTCAGCGTAAGTTCATTGCGGGGTTCATCTGCCCGCGGAATGCAAGAATTGAGTCGAGTTGCTGACAAGCTTGTAGGCTCTCGTGTCTTCTTTGACATTAAAATCGGTGACGGCAAGCCTAACCGGGTTGCATTTGAGCTGGTAAGTTGCCCGCATCCTCTATGCCGAGTCCGAAATCCATCTAACATCTGCCTGTCACACAGTTCAACGATGGTACGACATGATTTTCTCCCTTGACAATTTAACATGACTAACGACAGCAACAGTCGTCCCCAAGACCGCGGACAACTTCCGAGCTTTGTGTACCGGCGAGAAGGGCATTGGCACCCAGGGCAAGGCATTGACCTACAAAGGCACGTCTGCGATACCCCGCTCCCATAGCATTGACACCCACTAACCGCAGTATTCCGATTCAGGCTCAATTTTCCACCGTGTGATCAAGCAGTTCATGATTCAGGGTGGTGACTTCACTGCATTCAACGGTACCGGCGGCGAATCAATTTACGGCGAAAAGTTCCCCGATGAGAACTTCGACCTCAAGCATGACCGTCCCTTCCTGCTCTCCATGGCCAACTCCGGCCCCGGCACCAACGGCAGTCAATTCTTCGTCACTACCGTCCCTACTCCCCACCTTGATGGCAAGCACGTCGTGTTCGGTGAGGTCATCAACGGCAAGAGTGTGATCCGCAAGATCGAGAACATGAAGACTCAGTCCGACAAGCCCTTCCAGGATGTGACCATCGTGGACTGCGGCGAGCTTTCCGGCGAGGATTATGAGAACGCGAACAAGCGCCAACAAGATGCAACAGGCGACCCATACGAGGATTTCACCGAGGACCACCAGGGCGAGGCGCTTACCGCGCCTCTCTGCTTCAAGATCGCTTCCGACCTCAAGGGTTTCGGCAACACTGCTTTCAAGGGTGGTGATCTGAACCTGGGTCTGGACAAGTACCAGAAGGGTCTGCGCTATTTGAACGAGTTCCCCGAGCCCGAAGAGAATGACCCCAAGGAGTTGGGCGAGCAGATGAAGGCACTCCGATTCACCCTGCACTCCAACTCTTCCCTACTCGGCAACAAGCTCCAGAAGTTCCGCCAGGCTCAGAACTGGGCCACGTATGCGCTTCAAGTCGCCGATTCCGCTAAGGCTAAGGATGCCGATAAGGCCAAGGCCTACTACCGCCGTGCTGTTGCCCACGAGGGTCTGAAGGAGGAGGATGCCGCGCTGAAGGATTTGCAGGAGGCAGAGAAGCTGGCTCCTGGCGATGCTGGTATCATCAATGAGATCGCCAAGGTCAAGAAGACCGTCAAGGACCGGGAGGCCAAGGACAAGGCCGCTGCCAAGAAGTTCTTCTCTTGAAGAGTTTGAAACTAATTCACTCTCATCTTCCTTTTGTTCCCATCACGATTCACGACGTGGTCTTCTCGTTAAACAATGACCCATGATGTATGATATCACATCATTCAGGCAATGTGCCTTGTTCTTTGTGCAAAGTCCATACTGTAACCTCTCCTACATGGTAGACTCCTGCCACAGAGCATGTCAGGGTTAGAGTACAAGATTTACTCAAATCATCGGCCTAATATTACCTCCAAAAAGTATTAAGTTATATATTTTCAGCATAAAGTGGTGTTGACAGGACCGATTTATAAATAGATCGTAGCATATTATGACGACAGGGTGTAGGCGACACACTATGCTAATAAACATTGGCCTGTGTTGCAGAATATACATGTATTGATACTACTCTAGCCTTATTGACCAGAGAAAGATCACCAATAAAGAGATCCATTGGAATATCCAGATAAAGTGAACTTTAGACTGTTCAACTTGGCCCTTCCATTCCCGAGCGCCCTACTTTGTCACGAAAGCGCAAGCTCCCATCTCCTTTTTAACCACATCTGACTCAGGCCGAATATCGAAATCAAAGATATCCATCGGCACCGAAAGCGTAGTACAAGCATTTGGAATATCCACAATACCGGCAATATGCCCCTGCACTGGCGCACAGCTAAGCAGCAAATATATCTGATAATCACTATAGCCATAGCGCCGAAGATATTCAATAACCCGGAGACAAGTCTGTCTATAAGCGACAGTCGCATCCAGGAAATGTTGCTTGCCATTCTCGTCGACCGAGAATCCCTCGAACGTCAGGTATCGCCCAGGACCAAACTGGGGCTCTACGGGCCCTGCATGGAAGATTGGTGACTTCATGTCTAGTTTTGCCATGCCGTTCTTGATGACTGTGAACTTCAATGTGATTACACCGGCCATTTCAATGGCTCCGCAGAACGAGATCTCGCCATCGCCCTGAGAGAAGTGCAAGTCTCCAACGGAGAATTTAGCGCCAGGGACATGGACGGGGAGGTAAATTTTCGATCCGCGGGAGAGGTTCTTGATATCGCAATTACCTCCGTGCTCGGGGCGGCCCTAGTGGACATGTCAGTTTATGCTTTAGTCTTGTTGTACATAATAATGCCTCACTGGGATTGTTCGAGCACCCTCGTTGGCGATCTTGCTCTTCACCTCATCGGTAGCACTGCCAGCATGCGCATTCTGGGGATTCGGTGGCTGAGCGACAATTCGATCAGCAACAGTATTGGTTGCAATCAGCTCTCCCTCTCGACGATTCCATTCAGCCAGGACTTCGGCTGATGGAGCACACCCCAGGATTCCAGGGTGGATTAATCCCGCAAATCGAACATGCGGGATGTGTCGAGATGAGCAGAAGATTCCTTCAAAGTCCCAGATCGCCTTGGCTCTATGAGACCCATTAGTCCTGATATATCTCATGAGATCATGATATCGACATTGACGTACGCCTCGGGATACAGCTGGTCTAGGAAACCTCCCCCATTCTCTTTGTGGAAGATTCCAGTGAATCCCCATGGCTGGTCTTCGAATGGTTGGACGTCCTGAATCTCGACGAGCAAAACATCGCCGGGCTCTGCAGTTTCGATGTCGAATGGACCGGATAGATAATGGATCTGGGTTAGGTCCACATTCTTAATATCGTCGGCTGAGTCGTTGTTTCCGATTTGACCTCCTGTCCAGTCAAGACATTCGATCTTGACAACTTCATTATTGGCGATTTTTCCATAAGCCGGAACTGGAGATTGCGAAAGGTGGGATTAGCATGCCGTGTCTTCCATGGGACTATCATGATCAAAACCTGACACACCATCTGGATGCCATCTGTTCTGTCGGGGACTTAGCAATGTTTCACGACCAGAGAACATAAGAACATACATGTAAGCCAGGCTGTTCCCACGCAGGCTTGTCAAGATCGACCTTTAGAGCAGTACGAATTCCCTTGATACCCATATTTGCACTTATTGGGGGAGTCTTTTAGTCGGTTAATGCGATTGAGGCAGTAGCTATAGGATGGTGAGAGTATAAATCTCGAACTCAGGGTAAGCTGGGGACCCCAAATATACCGAGTATTATGGACTAGGTCCCCTCACGATAAGGTCTTACCCCGCAGACGCCCGGTCCATTTACATGTGGACATGAATAACAGTTATGTGAAGCGTTGGAGATCTGGCTTATCATCGCTTTATCTCGCATATTACCGGTCTGATAAGCTAGCGCCCTATACAACATATACCCCGGTGCGAATACCGAGCTCTAGACGTATGGACTGTTGAAGCGTGAAATGTATTTTGTAAATAATTCTCCTTCTAAAGGGGAGCAACCAAAAAAAACTGCCTTATATGCTAATAATAGTGCCTCAGTACATGGTGTCTGTGCAATTTCCAAGGCCATATCTAATCCTCGAATGAAACCTTTGCTGTGGAGACCTTGGCGCTAACGACTCTCAAGTAAACTTCTTTCCGGGAGAGGCCGGTTCCTTCTGATCGTGCTCGACATTGAGCTTGTCAAGATTATCAAGAGACAAGCGCAAGAAATCATGTTTGTTCTTCCAGGTAACCTGGCTTTCTGCGAAGTTTGTACTTTCAGCAGGAGGTGGGGGCGGGTCGGTGATCTTAGTGACAAGGTATGCTGTAGATGCCTCAGCAACGCCGTACATCAACACGCCAATGTATGGAATGCGCAGAAGAACCGTGAACGCGAAGGCAAAGCCGAAGAGAACACCTTCACGGTCGCGGAACCACTGACGCTTTTGCTCAGGAGTGAACTTAATGCGCCAAAAGTAGGGTTCAAGCTAGCAGTTGTTAATAAGGGAAATACCAAGTATGGGAGGGTGATTGGACTTACAAGTTCACGCATCAGGCTGCGCGAAGCAAAGTAGGTGTGGAGAAATGTGACAATGTAGGTCTTCGGCAGAATCAAACCTACTCCAAAAATGACGGCCGCGGGGTTGGAGCCGACATGGCTTCGGAATGTGTAGAAACTCGCTGCTGGCATGACGAACCGACCGATGACAACAACCATTGAGAGAAGATAGATACCAAGCATCATACCAATCTTCTTTGCATAGCGATTGAAGAATGACTTCAATGCTTGGGGAATTGGCCGAGAGACGCTGGAGCCGCCTTTGGCGGAGTACTGAACAAGATTGGGGTAGTATAGAGAGCGGAGGTGATGAGGATCTTCGGATTTATGTTTCTGGACGTATGTGGTGTCCACCCATTGAATTGACTGCATGAAGCTAGTGAAATGGTCAGCGGACACTGTCAATGAGTTTGTTGCCAAGAGAACGTACATTTCATCCAGTGTGGGTGTCACATATCGCATCAGGGTCATGAGCAAAAATGGCACCTGAAGGACAGACTTGGACATGAATTCCAATCCATTGAGAAGCTTGTCATCCCAGACAGCTTGCTCCATGTTGATCACCCATGATAAGATGTAGATGGAGAATTTAACGCTAATAATCTTGAATTGAAGTCAGAAAAAAATACCCTCAACCAGCGCAGGTCAGTTTAGAAACGTACTGGAATTTGGATGATCAATTGGATCACGATGCCTATGGCTATTGCGAGAGCTGCTTGGCGGAAATGGTCGTACTTGAATAATTCAGGGTTCGCTAATGCACGAACAGCTGCACACCATCGGTTAGCAAGTATCCAAAGCACATTGCCCATTCAGGGGACTATTCCAAGGCAAATGACAACAGGTGGCTGGCTGAATTCAGTACTTGATCAAAGTCTTGGCATGAGCCGACTCCGATGCTATACAGCCCTGGAGACATTGATGGAATTTCTTGTGTAGCCAGGAATCCAACTGAATGTTTTAAACCAATCCCCCCCTGAATGACCGGGAAATAGCAACAAAACATATAGGGTGACATACTGCCTACCACTGTGAGCTGGAAGCCGCGGATCACGGCATTTGGCTCGAAGCTTGACATTGTGGTTTCCAAGGCCGTGAAAGATCCAAGTAAATACCACTGCGGAGAAGTCCAGAAGTGTTGAAATAGCTAAGAAGCTAGCAACAATGCATTCTTGAAAGTGAAACCGAAATAACTGTGGATGCCTGGCCTCCATTGAAAGCTGCGTCATGGTCACCTGATGTTGATGGCCTGAGGCAACAGTGCATCTCCCCGCGTAACACTGCAGATAAGCCCCGTTTCCTGCGTTTCTCGCATCGGATACCCTGGCTTCTCATATTAGTATATTGTACAAACATGTCTCTACACTAACATTTTTTTTCTTTACACTTTCCTTTAAGCCTTATTGATCGCATCCATGAACAATGCCTGAGTCTCCAAGTGAGCTAGGTCAGAAACAATCCCTCCGCCGCTCCCTCACCCTTCCCACCAAGTTAAATCCACTCGCGCAACGTCGCTCGAGCGTGCCGAATACCCCCGAACATGTAATTTTCTATCACCCATCTGCGAAAATCGTGCATTTCTCCCCAAGGGCGCTCGCCCCTATTCCTTCCAGTTCTGCGCCATCCGACTTCGACTACCCGGTTGACACCATCGAAACACTCCCCTGGCGCTCTGCGACTGAAAGAACGGTCGCAACAGCGCCACTGAGGCTTGAGAAGGTTCATGGCTCAACGGCGTTCCTGAAATGTGGGAATGTTGTCCATGCGATCCTAAAAAACTCGCAGTGTTGGTGTGTCGACGGAGTCTCAAAGTTTGTTTTACGCATTCGCCCTCTTACATACTATCGCATCGAAATACCGTACGAGACGGAAGACGACCGGAGTTTGGTGCGGGATCTGAAGATCGCGTTGCCCACAGTTCTTCGGTATGAGGTCACGCCGTGCCCTTTCAAACGCGCTTTCAGCGTTGAGCTCCCGGACGATGCGATGGCACCTCGGCGCAAAAAGGCCTGGCAACCTAAAGATCGGAGAGACAGGCCACCGAATGCTCTAGAACCTCCGCGAGAGACACCGTCGCCCTCTTCAATTAGGTCAGATTGTATCGATTCCGTGAGCACCGGGGACGACACCGACGGAAACTTGACCGATGACAGTTGTTTTACCTCAAACAAAGCAAACAGTACAATTTTAGAGACGATTCCCGACGATCGGGAATCCTCTCCTGTTGAGGCTTTGAGTCCTTCCCCATATCTTGGCCCTCCTAGGCGCTCGGTGACTGAACTACCACCAACTTTCACTAGCCTGCTTGCAAAGTTTGAGGCTACGTCAGTCGCAGAAGATGAACATGACTTTGAAAATGTGCTCAACCCAGAATACGCATCCAGTACCGATGCTGCACTTCAAATTGATCACGAGATGAACGTTACAGGCCGACTCGAGCCTGAGTTTGTAGCCGATGGTGTAGCTGAAGCCGGGTCTGAATCCGGGGCTGTACTAGATGCTGAATTTAAAGTCGAAGCGCAGCTTGAGGCCAAGTCTGAACTTGGACTAGAAGCTATACCACAAGCCGAACCTTTCATCGAAACTGCAGTTGGAGCAGATCCCATCGTCCCAATTGAGACTGACGCAGTGTTGGCGGCTGAAACTTCAGAAGTTATATTCCGTGTTGAAGCCCCCAGTGCAGTTGAAGCCGAGGCATTACCCGAAGGAAATTCCATGAACGCCCAAGAAGTTCAACCTGTTCAACCCGCTGCTGAGCCCAAACTGGAAGCTGACTATGATGCCTCCTTTGCGTCGAGCCCCGAGTCATTCCATTCTGCTGAGCCTCAATCGCCAGCTTCAGTTTCTACTCATCCGACATCTGTGGGAGGCCACGATCTGCAAGAGTCAGAAGATATGTTCAAGCTTTCGAGCACAAAACACATCATTTCTGGATTGGAATCAGCACAAGCGGATTCGTTTGAGATGCCACAGCTCCCAGCAATCAAAATTCCTCAAAGTGACGACATCACAAAGCCAACCAGTGTGTCTGGTCCTGCATTAATGAATAATACAAGTTTGGACACTTTGCCCAGGCGCTTCGCAGATGCGTTCTCGGACACCTCACCCTCAATGGCTCCTACAAGCAATGTGAATCGACCCAGTCGTTTTGCGGATGCGTCTTCGGACATCCAAATGCGCCCTAACCCTCATGCAAAGGCCACTGCGTTGAATACTGATTTTGACCACATGAGTGCCGAGTTCCGCCGCCGGGCAAAAGCCACAAGAGAGCGTGACGTCTCTCCTATGCCTCATTCTTCGGCATTGTACCAACCATCTGGTGATGATGGCTCATCCTTCATCTCAAAGGCTATCACCCTAGTATTGATTCCCCCTGCCTATCTTTTCGTTATTCTCCTTCATATTGCTGCGCGCATTGTCATCAACCCAACTACCCAGCCGACTATCACGTCCACACCGAGTGAGCCACATTCTCATTTCCAGCAAACAAGGAAGGACCCAGCCACAGAGGATGACTTCAGCTTTCCACTGGAGCCTCAAACTTCCTCGGAGTACGAAGATGCTGAAATCTTCAAGAAACTTGACCCTTGGGATCTGGACTAGTCGAATGGTTGAAATGCCCTCCTTTTAATCCCTTACTCTTTCCACTTCTTCATCTGGATCTTTCCCCCCATCTTACGGTCGATTTAATGCTTACTCTTTCTGTTCCTCTCTCTTTACACAGGCCATCTTAATATTTTTTCTTGTTATGATATTTGGCGCTGATTTGCACGACTCATGGGTGGATATATGGCATGGTTTGTATTCTACTGAATTTCTGTATTCTAGCGTTGCGTGTATCATTGAAGGGGATCCCGGGTCATGTCAGAAACGAATAATTAATTGATACAAATACCTTTCAATCTCCCGACTGTTATATAGTCTGAACGCATAGGTCTCTCCAGCGCCGGGCCCTCGTCTACATAATTTGACCAAAGATGTTAAGATGCAACGTCCGAATAGGGGATGCCCAACTGTAATGCTGAAAGTCGTTCATTTCTTTTCCCGTCCCACAGGACTCGTATAAACAAACACAGCGCCCGTGAGCCACAAGCGTAGGGGAATATGTACACTTGGAGGAAGTTCGCATTGAAAAATCGAGAACAAAAAGCCAGAACCACCATCGAACGCCAGCTAATGCATGAGAAAACGAAGCCATCAAACACATCGCGTGTCAGGTCCGAGCGGAGTACACGAAAACGATGGTGCCATCTTGGAAATAGACCGAAGAGCAAATCTATGCTTTTGTAACCTTAGTAGCCCCGCCCTTGGTCTTCGCCTTGCGGCCTCGGCGATCTCGCTTCTTCAACCCGGACATTCCTGCTTTGCACACCTCGGCGTACCGAACGTAGAATGCCTCAATTTCATCTGGGTTGACGATAGTTGAGAGCTTGACCTTCTGAGACTTTTTCTTAGAGATCTGAGTTTCCTTGCTTGCGCTCTTCAGGTTTGGCGTATTGGTGTTTCCATCAGTGGCTCGGATGAGGATAGATGGTTGGGAATTTGTGGTAGTGGCACCGGGCACATCAATGAGAGGTTTTTGAGTGAGGTTTACCGAGCCTTGAGTTTTTTGGGAGGTTTTGGAGAGCAGTTCGGCCAGAGACTTGAAGAACTAAAGGTGACCAGTGTTAGTGATATAGCTTGGAATTGGTGTTCGTGGTCGCATGTGCGGAGGTGTAGCAGTCAGGTAGCACCGATATCAATATTTACCTCATCGTGTCCCAAATGTGGGGCCATATTTGGAGATCTTTCTTTGACGCGCGCGATAATTAAGGGATCTGAAAGCTGGAGCAGATGGTCAATATGCAATTGACAGCTGGGAACAACTCACAGTGGGGGAGAAACTCCGCTGTGGGTGCCTCTCCGCCTTTGTTTTGGGGCAGCAGAAAAGTGAAAAAAGTTGCCGACCGCCCGGGGTACCTGATATCGAGGACCGACATTTGAACTCTTTGCGAGCAGACAAGATACATATCTCCGGTACAAGATGCCCCGCCCTCGGCATAACACGACAGCCTTGCCTCGCGATCTACGATCCGAGCTCGGAATCCGCGACGTCTACGGTGACAAGAAGCGTCGCCTGAACGGACCTGCCTCGCGCAAAGAACGCCGCCAAAATGAGCGTACGCAGAAGAAATCCCGACACGCAGCCCCACAGCACAAGAAGACATTCGAGCGTCCTCAGCAGCGATCTCAGCAAAAGCCTCAGCAGCAGGCTCAAGATGACAGCGATGAGGAAGACGGCATGGATCTCGACGAGGGACCCAGTGCGCCGCAAATTAAGTCTAAATCCACGAAAGAGGCCGCGAAGAAGCCCAAATCTATCCTGAAGAAAGCAGCAGTTGAACAAGACTCCGAGTCTGAATCTGAGTCAGAGCCCGAGTCCGGTTTCGGGTCAGAAATCGACCTCAATGAGGATGAGGATGAGGATGAAGATGATGAGTCGGACGACGACGCCTACGAGGATGAACCCGAGGATGAGCCCGAAGAAACTGAGGCCCACATCCCAGGATCGGTCAAGTCTAAGTTGGCGCAAGACGATGCCGAGATTGCTGCATTGGAGAAAAAGCTTGGCCTCAAGAAAGGAGGCAAACTATCAAAGGCCTTTGAGGAGGATGGACTGGAAGATTTGCTGGGAGACCTTGGTGGTGGTGGAGGTGATGGCTCGGAGGATGAGAGTAAAAAGCGCAAGCGAGAAGCTGATGATTGGCTACGAAACAAGAGGCTCAAGGCCAAGAGCTTGCAAGCCCAACAAGCTCAACAACTCGAAAATGATGATAGTGAAATGGATAGCGCCGAGGATCTCGATCTCGACGAGGAAATCTTTGGCGGTGATGATTCTGACGAGGCCGCCGAAGGCAGTGATTTTGACGGTTTCGACGAAGAAGAGCGCAAAGTGCCAAAACAGAAGGAAAATCCTTATATCGCCCCGGTCACGAAACCTGAACCCACTGCTCAGAAGTACATTCCACCTTCATTGCGAGGTCGCTCCGACTCGGAAAGCGAATCTCTTACTCGTCTCAAGCGCCAGGCCCAGGGACATCTCAACAAGTTGTCCGAGGCCAACATGCTTTCGATTGTTGCCGAATTCGAAAAGCTGTACCGCGATTACCCGCGTCAACATGTTACATCTACTTTGATCAGCCTACTAATGGGCCTAATTTGTGAGAGGGCTGCCCTTCAGGACACCTTCCTCATTTTGCATGCAGGTTTCATTGCGGCATTGTATAAGCTCATGGGCATGGACGTCGGCGCGGAAATTATCCAAACAGTCGTCGAAACATTGGATGCTGATGGTGACGAGCGTGGAAAGTTCCAAGGCAAAGAAGCTACCAACTTGGTCTCTCTTCTCTCGCAACTTTACAACTTCCACGTCATCGGTTCTTCCTTGATGTTTGACTACGTCCGTCTTTACGTGCAGGACATCAATGAAGCAAACACCGAACTCTTGCTGAAGGTCATCCGGAGTAAGTGATATACCTAACCCATAACAAAATCACTAGCCCTCTAACATGTACGCAGATTCTGGCCCTCAACTCCGACTCGATGACCCGTCTGCACTCAAGGATATTGTATTGCTCATTCAGCCCGCCGTCGCAAAAGTTGGCGAGGACAGTCTCTCTGTTCGCACAAAGTTCATGATTGACCTGATTACGGATTTGAAGAACAACCGTTCGAAAGCTTCAGCCGCAGCTGGCGCAGGTATCACCACAGAACACATTACCAAAATGCGCAAGATTTTGGGTTCTTTGAACAGCTCTCGGGTGATCCGCGCATCTGAACCTATTAACATCTCCCGTGACGATATCCACAATTCCTCCAAGAAGGGCAAGTGGTGGTTGGTCGGCGCAAGCTGGAAGGAAGATCCTCTTGTAACAGCACAAAAAGAAATGGCTGGCGTACAAATGACTCAACCTGGGGTCCAAGATGATGAAAGCGATGGTGAGCCTGACTTTGGAGTTCTCGCTCGAGCCCACCGCATGAACACAGACGTTCGTCGGTCGATCTTCGTTGCCATAATGTCTGCCAACGACTTCCAAGATGCACATGTCCGACTCATGAAGCTTCGCCTCAAGCGGGCGCAGGAGTTTGAAATCCCTCGTGTCCTCCTACACTGTGCCATGGAGGAGCAGGTCCACAACCCATACTATTCTCTGATTGCGCGTCGGATTTGTGGTGAGCAGGGTCGTCGCATCAAGATGTCCTTCATGTTTGCACTCTGGAATGAGTTCAAGAAGATGGGCGAACGAGGAGATATTGACGAGGATGAAGACAACAACTTCGACCCAGATGATGAGGAGAACGGTGTCAGCATGAAGTCCGTGGTTAACCTGGCCAAGATGTTCAGCACCCTCATCGTGGATGGCAGCTTGACCCTGAGCATTCTGAAGAATCTCAACTTTGCATACCTTCAGCCTAAGACTAAGACATTTGTCGAAGTCTTAATCATCAGTATCATTCAGCAATCCCAAAAGTCCAAGAAGAAGAAGAAGTCCAAGAGCTCGACACCAGATGAGCCTGCGAAGAATGAAGGGCCTTTGATGCAAATCTTCCTGGGTGTCAAGGAGACACCACACATTGCCAAAGGCCTTATCTACTTTGTGCGAAAGGTTGTCGCGAAAAGTGATATTGTGTCCTCCGAGGAGCTCAAACTAGTTCGGTGGGGTTGCAATGTGGCTGCGGATGCCCTTAAGGCTGTGGCAGAATAAGGATTGCATCGGATTCATCTTGCAATTGTATATAGGATATACCCGAGTTGTTACGCTGCTCATGATTTGTTCATTTTCCCACCCTTTCCCCAACCTTCAAGCCAAAAAATTATTGGAATGAATGAGGTAGTCTGTACAAATCTAGCACGTATTAAGTGAACGACCATATGACTACCCCCCTTGCCCTCACTGTGCGGCCAATGTATGAAGTTTGTTGAAAGACTAGGTGAGCAAACAAAGGCACCAAACAGCTTGTTGATAGTTTATGTTCCAAATAGAATACTAAACAATTATTCTTACATGGTAGACATCTTATCATATTTGGCTAAGCGCTAAGCTTTGATTGGGGTCACGTTCACCTCACCGCATGAGACTAGAGCACTGCCTCGTTGGCAGCAAGTTGCTTACATGGAACCCTTCCAGATGACCTCAACATTTTTCTAAAAATCAAGCATATGTGATATTGATACACATCGCTAAACATGGCAGACCTTGCGGGTACCGCCGTCGGCATCATATCGCTCGGCTTACAGCTATGCCAGGGGATAGTCTCGTACAGCGAGGCATGGCGGGGCTACGACGAGGAGATTCAAAATACGAATAACAAGGCGAAAGCTCTTCGCACGCTACTGAAGACTTTACGTGACACGATAGAGGACTTACAGGAGACACGACCGCAAGTTGCTGCAGATCTCGAAGAGAAAGCTATGAGCATGCATAGCTCGATCGAAAAACTGCGGAAAATAGTAGAACGGTTTAAGCCTGCTCGGTCAGAAGCTTTTCCGGAGAAAGTGCGCGCTCAGTTGAAGAAGAGTGTTTATTACTTCCAGAGAGACAGTTTGCAAGACATGCAGAATCATTTGGATCAGATTCAAAATGTTCTCCAGACATCACTACTGATGTGGGTATAAAAAAAAATATGACCATACTTAAACCTTCGAAGATGTGATTACTAACCCCTGGGCAGATATAACTGGCAGGATACAATGGAATCACGAGCCATGCAGATTTCAATGTACGAAGAGATGCGGAGTATGCATTCCACCCTCAAGGATGCTATTTCATCTACAGGCATGCCGTCGCCAAGTGTACTTCAACTTGCCTGTGATTCCCAGCTCAAACAACTTCCAATTATGCTGTCGAACAGTGAACCAATGGTACAGGCAAATCTAGGGGTTGTCAGGTATGACTTGTACAAACTAGCCGCATGAACTTCGGTTGACCATTTTAGCAATCTACTCCAAAGCCGACATAGGTGGACCAGGGCCCAGTCAAGGACAGTGACAAGAGCATACAGCTATCACAGTCGCTTGTTAAACTTTGCGATATCTGCATCTTTCTCCATGATCCGAGGGGCTGGAGGCTTGTCCATTGCCCCAACCTTGCAATTTCAAAGTGTATGGGGTAGTGATACCGAGAGATACCAAAAGGTTGTCGAAATAATATCAGACGAGAGAGAAAAGGGCCCGTTAATTCCAAGACTGTTGAATGCTTTCTCCGAGCAACAATTGTCTCCTTACGACACTTTCTATCAAGACATAGATGATGGAGTTGACTCTCTTATGGATGTATGTTCACAAATACCCCTCATCAAAACATGGCTCTTATTAGAGATAGGTGATTTGCTCCAAATTCTCTTGGTATGGTGACATATATGATTTTCAGATCGTGTCAGAAACCCTCCAATTCATGCTAGAATGTGGCATGAAGCCAAAAAAAGAGGATTATCACTGGGGACCTGGTTCACTATTGGATATTTGCACAGCGGCTGTACTCAGAAAGAAAGATCTTCCATTGATTTCGAACATGATTGAGTTGAGAGGGCCACTCCAGTTATATAAGCGCTATTATATATCTTTGGATGCTCCATGCTACGCCAATTTGAAACGGAATCTTCGACTGATTCTCTCTCAAGATGAAGAATGTATGTGTTCCCCTCGCTCTCCCCTAAGACTCTGTCATCGCTTTGAGTTAACTTGAATTATTAGTGATCCAAGCCCCAATGATAATGAAGGCAATCATCAAAGAGTCCGAAGAAGAGCTTAGAGAAGCTTTGGAAAGTGAACATGCTTCGTCAAATGATAGGATAGGTACCTTTTCGCCGCTGGAACTTGCATTTGGGTGGCCAAAAGGCATAACAATTCTTCTACAGTCAGGGGAAAGTCCACATTGTCACTTTCCCTTGCTTGCTAAGGCCGAGGGAGTGGACAACCACGCTTCCGCCGCTCTTTTACTCGAAGCGGGATGCGTGATCGAAATGGCGGACCTTATCAGAAGCGAGCAGTGTAAAGATGATAGGAAAAGATATTCACTACTGGTCGACCATTTGGTAGCAAGACGAAGAAGATTATGCACGCTAGCAAAATCTTCCTTGCCACCTGATCAAATTCCACCTCTCGATGGGCCTGCCACAAACATATGCATGGCTCTAGCTGCACACGCGATAGATATCCCCACCGAGTTGAATTTTGCGACTAACTCACAGGGATCCACGGCTATCTACCAGACTTGGTCAGCCCAGAATTCGAGAAATTTCGTAAAGATCATGGATAGCATGTACGAACTTGGCTTCCATGACGTGGATATGCCAGGCCGGAATGGCAAAACTCCCTTAATGGCGTTCAATGCTTACACGGTAAAGGCCGTGCCTGTGATTATCAAGTGTGCCGCCTGGTTGATATCAAAAGGAGCCAGTATTGAACGGAAAATGCCGACGTCAAATGCGAAAGTTGCCCACTTTCTCACGAGCCAGGTTATTAATCTCTATTATATGGAGAGCGGGAGTGATTTAGATGGCCCCGAATTTGAAAATTGGAAAAAGGGAGTCGCCGAATTGGGAGATGCATGCTTTTTTGTATCTCCTATACAAGACTGTTGTATTTGCGGCTGTTCTCCTGGCGGATGTACCACACTCTCGGTGGCACTTCGATTGATCATCTCGAGGACATCCCAATGGCGATCGGAAATCCAGGATCACAATTTCCGAAAAATGATCCTCTCTCTCATTGCATGGCAGGATTCCTGGCCAGATATTTCACAGGCGATAGTCAGAACCTTGACGTTTGATGCGTTAGGTCTCACGCATACGTGTTGCACGGAAATCAATTCACATAGGGTTACATATTTTTCTTTCCTGGCCCGCGGAGGGAGAGATGAGACAGAAATTGACAGGATCTTGGATGACCAGCATTTGCTAATCAAAGAATTTGAAGAGCTGATGGAAGAGATGGAAAGCAAACTCGACGAGCCTGGTCTTCCCCTCGAAGAGTTCCTGGATGGCTACTGGTATGACCGCGTAATCGAGTATCTTTCGCGGCGTGACCACTACGACGAGGAGCATGTCACAGAAGCAAGAAGGATGGGAATTTTTCTCAAAGCAGAGGAGTTCTGCATCCCCGACAGAGTGTCATTACGATTCCGACCTCGGGTTCAAGAGCTGCAGGATGATTCATTGTTGAATGGACCTGGATGATTTGCTATGGCTCTAGGGATGTTGGGATTGGGATTTGGAATTTGATCAAGTCTATGAAATATGATGCGGAAAAAATGATATACATTTCCTTATACCAATATAAATCGCTCTCGCTCATTCAGCTGCTTCAACAAGGTCCCATTCCATGGCTATGAGCCAACTTTCTTTCGTTTCTGGGTGTCCGCCATTTTCAGGTGGACCACAATTCAACACCTGGTCAGATATTTGACCAGGTGTTCGATGTTCGAAAAAGGGATCTCCAAGCTCCAAACTCCAGTTAAGCCCCTTGTGTATCCCTACCAAATCCCCTTTCCGCAGATGGGGCGTTAGAGTGGCATCAGAATGCGAGGGAATTGGACGAACAGCGGATTTAGATCGCGAAGGCCCCATTATCATGATATTCAAGGCTGTATCAGGATTTCTCCCTTGCACATGATTCCCAGTAAGCACTTCTGCTTGAACAAAGGCGAAAGAGCCACAGCCGCTCAACGCTGACTGGCTGGCATGGATCACACGCGCAGTTAGAAGATACGCATTTAGCTTTTCCAGCGAGGCATCCGCCACCCGCGAGTCTGGAGCTTCAACCAAGGGTGTTTTTGGCAACTGGTCACGTTTCGTCCCCATTTCTAAGATCCAGCCGCGTACCTCGGCGGCCATTCCGCCAGGAATATAATTGGACACCCCGGCTCGGTTTCGACCACGGCGATGCAGTGTGCGCGAGGAGGGAGAGAACGGTGCAGGTATATCCTCTACATCCGGATTCGGCGACGGTGAGCGAGGCAAAACAAAAGCCGGTTTCCGTCTCTCAGGCGGCGATATCCTCGGTGTGTCTAGTTTAAATTTGGGTGTAGACTGGCTGCTGGGAGGTTTCGCCGTTGAGGAAAGCATAAAACGAGGACGACTGCGGAACGGTGTTTTCATATTGCTTGGGGTTGATGTAGGTGGTGCAAATGGCCGTGCACTTGGTGCAGGAGTTCCCTGGGTACCCATCTCCCATGTTGTAGTGTTTTGCCTGCTTTTATCGGGCAAATCGATGGGATCGGCTGGAGGGTTCGCAGTTCTGGGTGGTGATGACAATATTGGATCAATCTGTGTCAGATTACTTCGAAACGGTGTCGCTCCCTCCACACGACGCCGTTTATTCCCATCTCGGACCGGCGCAAACAGTGCGTCGAATTCAGCGTCCAGGATGCCCGGGTTGTCTGGTTCTTCGGGAGGAGTACTGTTTATGGCGTCATCTGGTAGATTGTCCGCTTCTCTCCCTCTGATTCTCACATGCCCTATATCTGCATCATCATCAGAATCCTCGATCACGTCGCGTTGTTGGCGCGAGCGGGGAGCACTCTGTGTAGCAGGTGGGTCACGCGCGACTTTACGCGTTGAAGATGGCCCATCGTCATCTATCACATCTAGATTATCATCTTCCTTTTGTGTTGCACTTTGTGATAACAGGAACCGAGGTGTAGGGGCGAATTGAGGGCCACTACGGCGCGTAGGTGGGTTGCGGCGGGAGAGGCGGAATGGTGATGGAGTCTGTGACCAGTCTGATTAGCTTGGTGGATCGATAAATCACACTGTAGACATACTGCTGGAAAAGGCATTTATCTAAAATGATCAGAAGTCTGGAAAGAACACCATGGCTCTGGTTCAATGCACCCAGTTGGACGGATCAGGGAACTCGTGAGGTTCGCGTTGATGCTGATGGCCAAAATCGGCCATCGCGCAAATTGGTTTGCCGCTCAACTACACACACAAGACGCAAATATTTGGAAAATAATAATTATTAGAGAAGTGTATAGAGAAACTGTTAGGTGCAGCCTACACATAGCTTCAAATAATGGGAAATCCCCAATTCTTGAAGATGTTGGATGTTTCTTTGTGTTTTAGCGATAGCTTGGTCTTGGGTTGAAAACACAAGGATATCACTGTCAATTACTCTTTACCCGTTAAACTAAAAATTGTAGCAACTTTAGCGATAATGCCGCAGAGGCCCCAACATCCTAACCCTGACTCTCAACCCGCCCAAGCCTGGGACCGCTGACAGTAGAAATGCCCCTTCTTATTCATCCCAAACGTACAAAATCTCCGAGTTAGTTTGGCGAATACTCGCTTGATTCGCCCCCGAGATATGAACGTCAGAATATTTCTCTACGGCCTTCACACGATCCTCAGAGGCAAAGCATTGTTACACCTCGGACGTTGCTCCAACACGCTGTTTCTGCATATCATTGAACAACGTTAGATCACCAACCATGACCTCGCTCTTGTGTTTCTTTGGATATATCTTTTATTATCGAGGTCACGACCTTCTTAGAGGACAACGAATTATAGCACACAGTATACTGTAATATATATGATATATGAAGGTGATAAAAGATGTAAACCGCACAGAAGACCTTTCTATACATATATAACTAGGGATGGATCCAATATACCATGTACCACACAACTACTTACTTTTCATGCAAGCTTAGAGTGGCGGGGTGTGATATCCCTGTAGGAATGAAAACAGTTTAGTATCATGCTCTTCAAGGAAAGAAAAAGCAAAGGTGGTTGAAGGTGTCATGATAGTCTCATTTCTTTTGATGTGTAGTTCGAAGGTCATAAATATACAAAAAGGAAATATCCAATGTGCAAGAAAAGAATTTGCAAAATGTAGTAAAAAAAAGATAAGGAAAATGCTTACATCTGCGAGAAATATTCATCGAAGTTATCCGCAGCGACCTTGGTGCAGTCAAAGCCGTAGATCTCACGCTGCACATCGGCATCAGCCCACTTATCAGGCACAGGGCCCTTGCCAGCGCGGAGGGCAGCAAACTGCTTGTCACGCTCCTCCTTGGCAGCACCGTCACCCAAGTGCAGGGCACGACCAGAAGCGCTAGCCATTTCGACCAAGGCCTCAGCGCGGCTCTTGCGGATCTTCTCATAAACACGGAGAGCCTTGTTGATTGACTCGGGGGTGGTATCGGGGAGCTTGGAGAGAACCACACCGAGAACGGCTCCGTCTTCAATCGCCTGGGCAGCACCCTGGGCCAGATGGGGAAGGGTAGGGTGGCAAGCATCACCAACCAAGGCGACAGAGTCGTGAACCCAAGTGGGGAGCGGCTCGTGGACGCGCAGCTTCCACTCGCAGACCTCGCCTTCGGGAACGTAATTTAGCATGCGTTGAACCATGGGGCAGAAATCAGAGAAGACATCCATCATGGCAGGCTTGGAGCCCTTGGTGGTATAAGTGGCGTTTGTGGCGGCTGCGAAGTTGGTATCGGGCTGGGTGGTGGAGAGGTTGTAGATGGTATTGTTGGAGACGGCGTAAGCAATAATGTGACGCTTTGCGCCAATCCATCGAGTTACACGGTTGCTGTTGATGAGGGCCAAAAGCTCGGGGTCGTCCTTGATCTGCTCCTTGTGGATCATGATACGATAGGCAGCTTGTTGGGTGTCCTTGACACCAACGTCGACACCCAATCGCTTCAGCATCTCCACGCGGGTGACACTCTTAATACCGTCAGCAGCGAGCAGCACATCGCACTCAACCTTGAACGGAGCAGCTCCCTCGGCGCGGGGCCTAGCAGTGAATGATGGCCGAGGGCCGAACGAGTCCACGTTATCTGCGTTGACTCCGAAATGAAACTTGATTGTCGAGTGTTGCTTGCACCCATTGTATAATCCAGTTGCTAGTGATGCACGATGGCCAACCATGTGCTTATATCCGTACGTCTTTTCAATGTACCGCAGATCCACATATGCGTGCTCAGTATCCGTTGCGCCGTCTACAACCATAGATTAGATCGCATTACATTGTTTGATCGGTGGATAGCAACATACCTCGCACTGATGTGTCCTCAATATTTACGGCCTCGGCCTCAATTCCCTTCCAAACACCAAGTCCATCCAAGACGCGGGCCATGTTAGGTGCCAATTGAATACCAGCGCCAACAAAGCCGAGGTCACTAGCATTTTCATAAACATCAATGTTCTTGAATCCCTGCTGAGCAAGAGCCAAAGCAGAAGTCAGGCCGCCCATGCCTGCCCCCAAAATGGCGATTTGTAAATCTTGAGGTGCTTTCGTCATTTTATCAGGGGTATGCGGAGACGATGTATACTAGATGGATGTTGATACGACAAGGACGAAGAATATTTTATATGTCAAAGGAAAGCTGGCACAAAAGTAGGACCAGGAATCTTTTTAAAATAATATCTTTAAGAGTGCAATGCCCGAGTGATGCCGGCCATATGTTGCGTTTTGCTTTATGGCCACGGCGGAGTAAATCTTTCCCGCTTCTCCCACATCCTCCCCACAAGTCCGTCCCAAGGGGGTTGGAGCGGCTCCCACGGCCTGTGAATTTCATCATTCACTGCTTGGACTTTATCCGCTCTATTATTTGATGGTAAGCAGAATCCCAACAAGGACTTCCCCACAGTTCTCAACTGCGGACTTACCCCGGTGAAGCTGCTAAGCTTGCGGAGAAAGTCTGGTTCCTGCTGAGGCTTCAAACTGCCGACACTTGAATTGACTCTTTGACCTCAGAGATAGCTTCGGTATTAATCACGGCCCCGGGCAATCGCTTCCACTCCTAATTTTGAACACTCAACCAAGAGTAAACATTGTAATTGAAGTCTTCCTCCTATAAGATCAAACGGAAGTCATGAATTAAATTTGCTCATTGCATCGAGCTCATCTAGGATCAAAGAACTTTGCCCTTGCCAATGTCAGTGAACTGTGATACAAAATTTCCATCACGCGCGACCACCAAGGCGGCAAGGCCATGTTCAGGCAAGAGGAGCTAAGCCCGATATGTAGTAGTGTGCCACATTGGGACTAGCGTGTATATATTTGAAGTATGCAACAGTCTACAGTCTACCTAGGTCTATCTTCGATGGTCGACTACTTCAATTCATCCATTGTGAATGGAGACATATAAGTTAAATATAATTGAATAGTTGGCTTAATTGCCTGACTGTGTGAGATTGTAGGTACAATATTCATCGATCAACGGTATTAGTGTAGGCTAATTATTGAGTGTGATATTTTGTATGCACAGAAAGGAAAGAGGTCGTCAAACCGAGGTGCTCAATTAGAGAAAACTCCAATCAAACTTCTCTCATGATCCTCTTCAACCTCGGCCACAAGATCTCAGTCTCATCTGAGGTTGTTGTTCCTCATACCATACCCACACATTGCTGATTTGCACATGTACCCCGTGGCAAGTTCTTCCCTCCTCTTTCAATCGTTGGAAGTCAACTAACAATTTTACTTTCTCTCATTAGACTTACTCCCTGAGCCACCTTCTTGACCTTTCTTCACGAAAACCAGCATGGAAGATACCCGGTGAGACTCAATCTCCTTCCTGGGTCAGCACTCTGAGCGCACATACTCATATCAATAGTGAAAACCTCCACCCCGAAGGCCGGCCAGTAGGCCGACGAACTGTTCTTCCTCCCACTCCAGTGAAAGGGGATGAGATGATCGTACCTGGGCCGTGGGCCATCCATATCCACAAACTACCCTTTAGAGTGGCCAGACAAGGTGATATTCTACAGGGGAGATACCTAGACGCTTTCAGTGCAATGCCCAATCAGCGAGAGCCATGCTTGCGATATGGAATCGATTGGACGGCTCAGGAGTTCCAGCAACAGATGAACGACAGCCTGCCCCGTGTGGAAGCGGCATTGATGCAGGTGGTGGGTCAGCAAAATGAGCTAGAGTGTACGAGGTGCCTGCAACTGTTCGGCAGGTTCTCTCATTGCGTCTCAGTTCGCAGCATTGATGGCCTTTCAGCCTGCGCCAACTGCCATTGGACAGAAAGCGACACCCTTTGCCAATACACGCAGGCCATTCCGACTCTTGATCCCCTCACACCTGCACGCAATCATATGAACCCTCGCCAAGTTTCCCTTTCCGCAAGCACTCCTCGAGATACTAGCAGAAACCCCTTCTACCCTCTCTTGCCCAGTACCGGCGCAACCAGTCGACCCATTGCTCCACCAGCCCAGCCCCATGGACTCATCAAGTACGCGAGCGAGCAAGTCTGGCTTTTAAACGAGTATTCAAAGCTCGTAAGGCAGCTGACGGGGCTCCATGATAAAAGCCAATGCCTTGGAGCTCAGCTGGAGGGACTTGAACATGATCTGACTGCCGCCAATACTACAACTACCACTACCACAACGGAGCAACCAATTCAGCAAACCGTCAATGATGTTCGCGCGTCTCACCAGGAACTTGAGCAGAAAATCAGACGCATCATGATGCATGTCATAAATATGATGGAGCCTACCCCACGGGGGCCCACCTGATTTCTCTGATCCAAACAAGCCATGCCGAGTGAATGCAAGTGAAATTTGACCTCGTCATTCCTTTTCATCTCTTCATCATGGGCTTATCCCTGGTCGTGCAAGTTCTTCGTTCTCAGCATTCGTTTTGTTTCGATTATTTTTTTCTTTCTTTTCACTTGTTTTGCACCTGGATCAAACAATCATTTTTATTCAATGGAAGCTATTAGTTTTACCCCACCCCTATACTCATATACAGTAGGGCATCAGTGCGACTTCAAGTCTTCAGCGAGCGAAGATAATGTAGAATCTTGTTGATATGAACTATAATTCGAAGTTTGTTCAATTTTTACTTAGGGTATAGATATCTTAGAGGATAAGGGCAAGCATCCATGGTACTTTCCTATGTAACTTGCAACAACGCTGATTGACAGCTATCAGAAGGATCTTATATTTATAAAGCTAAAGCCCATAGGATATATTGAGAATAATTTGAGGCTAGGGATACCCTGTTTAAAATAATGTTAGTAGCAGTGGTTATTCGCCCACACCCTATGGTAGCTATACAGGCAGCATAATGTCTTCCAATCCACTGTGCCAATGAGCAAGTAATAAACTCAACGCGTCATGTGAAGACACAGGGCCACTGAGCCAACGAGGGGCTCGAGGGGCTCAAGTTCCGGGGGAGGGGCGTGATCCTCTGCCCGGGTAGTTTGACTATTTGAATCATTGCCAACTGCACTCAACCGGCAAATCGACTTGAATATTTGGCACTTGGTATTCGACTCAATGCTTAGAATCTGTTTCATGGGAAAGATGACGTTGCATAAGTCCATTCGACGCAATCCTATAATCTCTCGCAGAAGAATGTACGGTTCATCTCGGCGAGGGTGAAAATGATCCCAGCACTAATGGGATCTATATTATGATCAGCGGCTAAATAGTTTAAGCTAGGAATAAATCACTTTCATAGTACCCCTTACCACTGAGCATCTATAACATCTTGAATCGTTGCTTTTTGCAATGAACCAATGGGATCACACAAGGGTTTGATGCACCTTGCCGCACAATTCTCTAAGAATAAATTTGGCCAGGTGTTTTTGAGAAGCATGTAATCCTTGATATGCCCATTTTTTGGTCTGTGAATGGCTTTATTGACGTGGAACAATCGCTGAACCCCGGTCGATACAATAGCTAGCTATCTTGGATGTAGAAACCCATTAAAATGATGCTAGGTGACTGTATCATAGAACTTCGGTAGCTTGCATTTCTTTCGTTTGTCCTAGTGCAACCAATGACTTTCACTAATATCTATCCTACGCCCTTGGTTAGCGCCAATATATTCTGTGTGCGTTGAGAGTAGGTGTAGGAGCTTTCACCATAGAAATGTACTTAGGTCCTAGGTATCTTCCGATTCCCAAATAGGAATCGGAGGAGGTATTTGTCCGCCGTAGCTAACTATCATGGAATTTTGAGGAACAAATATTTTGTGACAATTCAATTCATTCTCCGCCTTTAACAGCGAGGGTTTTGTATATTTCCCGCCTTCGTACCTGTTGCTTTACATTTACTATTCCTTTAACCAACCTGCCATACCCATCTTCATCCCCAGAAGATTTTCTAACATATCCCTGGTTCAAACTATCACTTATTGTTACCACCGATATCGCACACACATCTGGCATCTAGAGATGTCTCCTTGTCAGGCCATGGATGTCGATCATGATCTGTCTGCCTTCATATTCCATCACATATTCTTCCCCCTCAAGCTCCCACAGGAGGCTGAAAATAACCTTGTTGAGCTGGAAAACTGCATGGTTGTTGTGGCTAGAGATGTGCTGCAAGACTTTATCCAGAATGTCAGCCCTGAGTCCCAGCAGCCATGGGCCTTAGCCTTGAGCATGTTGAATAGCTGGATTCTGTTGCATGCAGAACAGGGAATCTCAAAGTTTGGATTGGAGAATGCTCTGTCAAATGTCAAAATTACCGGTAAGTTGATGGTGATATTCTACGTCTCAATTGGATCTTCTTCTCGAAGTATATCTCAGATGGCGAGACAAGGCTAACCTCAATAGGGGCTATTGCGTGTCACATCAGAGCCCAGAACTGTGGATGGGTTGCTTTCTATGATGAAGACAAAGACAGGCTCCTCGTGGATGCCTTTGAGGTGTCTCCTCAGGCAAAACCAAGCCTGTCCTCTTCTGGGGGCTTATTACGTCGGTTCCCCGGAGTTAGTGTCGCCATCTCAGCAGATAAGCTCGCCGATCCGAGATTCCGCTCCTATCTAGCCACCACAATCTCCAAGTTAGCCTCCGAAGAAGTGTCACAAATGCGGCCAAAAGGCATAAAAGGAGGAAGTCAAGTGGACGAAACCCGGGAGACGATCCACCCTGGCCTTGTGACAGAAGGGCTGATGGCACAACTTCTGGCACTCGGGACACAGAATGAAGAGACGAAGCTTATGAAATGTGTGCGAGATGAAGTCAACTGGATGTCCGCCTTGTTGCCGTGGAGGCGCTCTCCAGCTTGGCTAGGCCTTCGAGTCGCTCTTCAGTTGGTTCTTCGGCGATGCTTCCCAGAAGCAGAACATCGCCTTCAGTACAAGAATTTTATTCTGTACCTCATGGCAAAACTGGCGGCAAATGAAGATCTGGTTGTGCATTCTGATGAAGCTGTGGACTGCTGGAAAATTAGCCATGCTCGGATTGGTCGTCGGATCCACAAGTTGAATGATGATGTGTTTCCATTTGTTGCCAACCAGGTGAATTCCACAAGCAAGTATCTGCTTGGAAAACTGATGACAATTCAAGAGCATATCAAGAAGTCCAATCGGATGACTATTCCGCTGATTCCACCTTCAGCATCGCAAGATGATCTTCATCTATCACTGGTTCATTGTAAAGACTATTTTCAAATCGCAATGTGTTCCCGCTTTGATGAGGCACAGCCTACGGATTTCTGTCCGACTCATACACCTTCCTTGGATTGGATTAATGGCTTCCCTATTCCAAAATTCAACTCAATCAAGAGTCTCACTGAGTTTGAGCAATGGGTTGATGAGCATCTGGCGTCCTGGTTCATCAATCAGCCCGCTTCCAGGGATGTGGAGGTGTGTCGTGGCCTTGAAAACACTATTTCAGAGTACTTGAATCTCGCGCGACCAAAGTACGCCTCCAACCCACAAGCCACTTCAATTATGCTCCTTGTCGTGTTGGAACTGTGGGTGGTACTTGACAAAGCGGCTCTTCGACTGTGTCCCCTACTGAGGGAGTTCTCTCCCGAAATCCCCGAGAGCTTCCTTGAACCTCTCCTGCTTCCTAAGCTGAGTCAAATGAAGCGCGCCAAGGACATCGAGCAGCACATTCATCTGCGGCATAAGGGAGCGGTCAAAACAAATCCCAGCATCTTCTGTGACCCAGCACAGAATTGCTTTGGTGTTCAGTATTTCGAGAGCTCCGAGGAACATCAAATACTCGAGCAGCAAATTGAGGACCACGCAGCTCGAGGTCGAGTATTAAAGCGAGTAGAATGGGAAATGCTGAGTGACAAATACAAAACGCTATGCGGGCGAGGAGAGCAACTGGCTCACTACTATGGCTACAATTTCAATCACCAAACCGTCCATCTTAATCACCAATGCGAGAAGTGTTCGGTGGAGAAGCAGGCTGGGTCAGTTTCCATAAAGGTCCACGAATGGCCGCTCCCAACCAATCTGGTTGAAAAAAGGGTAGCTGTGTTTGAACTAAATCTTCCCATTTGGTTTACATCATGGCGTAACACTACCTGGAAGCTCCTCCACAATGTTGGGCGAAGAGATACCGTGATTTGTGACAGCAAGGAGCTCGAATGGCTTCAATACGAAGACATTCATGCGTTCGCTGTGAGACGAGACTCGAGCCTCGTGTTGGCCTCAAATACGAAAATCGTGGGGCAAAACTCATTACAGAATGCACAAGTTTCCTGTCTCGTACAATGAGATTTGCATACCGAACGGGCTTCGCCTAAAGCTTTTTGACAAATCCACGAACGGCTGGGTGAGAGAGCAGACCGATAAACCGGCCGTCAAGGCTATGTGCACTATCCAACTCCCTTCCGGTGCATATTTGAATCTACAACACACCTGGATTCTACCCTTCACACCCAGAATCAGGTCATGGCAACCCAAAGAGATTGTGATAAAATGCTCAGCTTGCATGAGTTTGAGGCGTTCGGATGTCTTCGTTCTGGGGAGCACCTTCAATGGTGCAATATTGTGCGCAACCTAGCATCGTCGGCACTTTCACTGAATGAAGAAGCTGTTGTCTCCCTTATTAAACAAGCCGCCTGGGAACTTGGGACACCATCCGGATCTGTCAGAAGAGTTACACATCAAGCCTTTGAGGACATAGGCTTTGGTGACTGTTTGCTCGATCTTTTGCACGAGAGGTTGACAACGATCAAGACGAATTGGAATGAGCATTGTACCTTTGATCTCATCGTCACACTTGGGCTTCGTGTCCTCGCGCTATCGAATGGATCGCCATCGGTTGAGAAGGTCGTTGAATTCCTACGTCAATGTCGACAAGTGGCGATGGATTGGTGCGATAAATTGAATGGAGGGTTTCTACGTGGCCAAGGGAACGAAGATGGAGGGAAGCAAGGGCTCATACTTCGGATTGCATCAGCCTGCCAGGCCACTTATGATGTTGATCCTGTTCTCTTGAATATGATTCTCGAAACTCCCCAAGACTTGTTTTGCTTCATTCGATGCTCCATTTTGCTCTTTGAAAACTCACCCTCGAAAACGCACAGTCTTCCATGCGAGACAAAGCTCTGCTTGGAGAATGCAGAAAAGATCCGTTTTTTATCAAGATCTCGGATAATCCGCACGATCATGAAATGCCCGTCGGGGTTGAATGAAGCAATACAGAATAGCATAAGCTGTCTTGAATTTTCCGGGACTTGGAGCATTTGCGAAGGGGGTGGTAGCTGGGTAACTACGGCAACAAGCAACAGCATCGAAGGCTTTGAGCAACGAACCCACTTCAACTATGTCACAGGTGAACTTTTGGTAGATGGAAATCCTCCAGGGAGGTTGCCAGCCAGTTTCACGGGCAACGCTCTCTACCAACGCCTTTTCGGAACGGTAATTCTACCTCAAATATCTAGAGTATCCAAGAAGTCGTGTTAATGTTTCAATAGAGAATCATTCCGGTGACACCTTCGAGTTTGCCAGGAGCATCATTTGTCCTGTCGCACACTATTGAGGGGTCTGAAGTAAGTCTTTTGGAGCCAAACAGAGCCATAACATGAAATCTAACAATCTGCACAGGTTCACTTTGGGATGCAAAGTGGGAGGCTTTTTATTAAAACTCGCAAGGGCTGTCAGATTTTGCAACTCATACCACAAGACATCCTCGAGAATGACTTCCCCAGGGTGTTTGTCTCTGACAATTTCCATTGGTTAAATTTGGAGACTGGGGTTCTTGAATTCCGTCCCCTAAGCCAGCCATGGAAACCTTGCCACCGCAATTGGCATTTGTCCTTTGATCCTTGTGCGCCAGACAAAATGCTCATGGAACAAGATTCCAAGAGCTTAGTCGATATACGGAGCTCACTTTTCATTGAACTTGTCCGCATATTGAAGGTTCTTGACGTGGAAGAGGAAATTGTTGTCATCCAGACAGCTGTCGGAACGTTAGAGGCAGAACTAAGCCGTTTGCGGTTGAAATTCTTCGTCAAGGCCGATGGACGTGTGGCATCAAAAGAGTTCAGTGCGCTGATTGATCTGGACCAAGACGTGGGGTGCTTCTACGGACTCAACAAGAACCTGGCCCTCATCGATTCCTCCAATAATACATCGGTCATTGTTCCGTACGGATATCCGGTTGTTACTAGGAAGGATCACCATGTTGCAGTCGACATAAATCTACCCACGGGAAATCGTGTGAAATACATGCATTATTGCTTAGACAAGCATCTGCAAATTCTGCGAGGATCGTGCCCCTTGGCTATCTTGTATCAAGCTTACTTGCATGCGATCACCTCTTTTCCTCTCCCTGATGAGTTGACTCGCCGCTCAGGCACCGAAGAGGCTATCCGTATTCTACGACAAGAATCGTTGAGATCATCATTCCCCCTTCACAATGATTGCATCGAGACTCTGGAAAGGATTGCAGGTCTTACGCCGTGCCGCACCTTTTATCCTCGACACCTTCGTGTCATGCAAACAGTTCTATGGTCTAGTAATCTAGGTCAACTTGCCCAGCATGACGACTTCCAGCCCTTGTCACAAGAGATTCTTCAGTCCTCTGAAAAATGCTCGTACTTTCATGATGCCGAACTGAGGAAAAACTACATCTTTTACCAGGGGAGTACGGATCTGTTGACACGTGCTCGTTGCCGCAACGAACAGCTGAGAAGCTCAGACTTCAGCGGGCCTCCTACTTCATGTATTAAGAAAAATTACGAATCCCGCGATTGTGACATCTCAAGTTTTCGCAGCAGCCATGTGTATGAAATCACAGCTCTGATTAGAGATTGGCCAGCTTCAGTTGATCATTCATCAACCCTAGTGGCAACCATGAGGTAATTCAAAAATGTCTCCATGCTTTCAACTGATTTTACCCATTGCCTTTACTCGGATATTCTAGCTCAGTCGACTGAGAGTTGCTGGGTAGCTTTATACAAAGCCTGCCAGTCAAGCTCTCGAGCTAGAGACACCTACTCCTTGATTTCCTTGTTCTCTATCCTTGCATTTGAAGGGAAGATTCACCACTCGATTCTCCTTCAACTACTTCAGGTTGCTTTCTCAGGGAAATGCAAAAATGTTGCAGTGCCACCCGACTGGGTCAAATCGCTGAACCTCTCCCTAGGGGAGGATCTGGTCCATGCTCAAGTTGAAAATGCAATCAGGAATTCCTATCGGATTTTCACCCAGACACACAATCCATACCTCACACGCGCGCAGCGAACCGAGAACTACCGAAGGGCTGAAATAGAGCGGGAAGAAAAAAAGAATAGCGATATTCGGTTATGTGGGTCGCATGTGAAAAGCCAGTGGCCATGCAGAAATCCCCAGCTTCCATCTCAAGATTTGATTCCACGGGTTCTTAGAACAGCGGCAGATGAAAAATGCAAAACACTCTGTGGCAACTGGTTCCAAAATAGGAATTTCCTTCGGTTCCTGCGCCAGGTGGAGAGCCAAGTGCCGCCCTCCAACTCTGGAAATAATAACACGGTGCCTGTTCCGACCCCCTATGTGCATCCCCGCTCGATTAAATACATCCCGTTCTGGCAACTCAGTCTGTTTGACCTAATCCAGAGGTCTCGCCCAAATCCCACTCAGACTCCACTTGACCCGATGACCTACCATGGGCCTCCTCTCATTTTGCAACCGACTCCCGAGCTTTGGAGCCTTGCAAATTATTTCCAGGCTAGTTCAAACCGATGCCAACAAGAATATGGAAACGGGCTAAGTCACAGCATCCAAGCATTGGATGATTTCTCAGGTTCGGTACCTCCAACTGGAAATTCCGACCTTTCTGAATCTTTCGACTGGCCGACGCAAACAAATGCGGTTCTTTCACATCAGATTAAGCTCCAGAAACAGAAAGACTCACAATGGAATGAGATAGTCGCCACTTTGACAATTGATGGAGAGAAATTTCCAGCAAGAACTGACACTGTCAGGCCTTCTATCACCGTGTGGTCGATTCTGTCTATTTTGGCTTCTTACCAATGGAAGAACGTTCCCGCCGAGTGGAGAGAATTGCTTGTGGCATTCGGGAAGTCAATATCTGCTTTGCGCCGGTGCGAGCGACTTAGTTCCTGTATTGAAAAGCATGATATCGATGGGTTCTTGAGAGAGGCAGAAAGCCCAGGCTATGAAGGGTGGGACCCTTTGATCTACCCTACCTGGCTGCTTCTGGAAATTGAAAACAACATTACCATTCGAAAGCGCCAGGTGGAAGTCGCAGTTCGAATGATCAAACCAGATGATGGTGAAAATTCAGTGCTTCAACTCAACATGGGTGAAGGCAAGACTTCCGTCATTACACCCATGGTGGCTGCCATTTTAGCAAACGGCAATAATCTCCTGAGAATAATTGTCTTGAAACCTCTCTTGAGGCAAATTGATGCGCTTCTTTCTCAGCGCCTTGGGGGTCTGATAAAGCGCCGCGTTTACCACATTCCATTCTCGCGTCAGACCCAACTGAGTTCAAGCACAGTTTCCCAGCTGCAGTTCATATATCAGCAATGCTGGCGCAATAGGGGTATTCTGATTGCCCTTCCCGAACAAATACTGTCGTTCAGGCTCATTGGGTTAGATGCCGCGGAAAGAAACCCCAAGATGTTTGCACCACTGATAAGTCTTGAGAATTGGCTTCAAAAAAAATGCCGAGATGTCATTGACGAAAGTGACGAAGTTATGGACACCAAATTTCAGCTGGTTTACACCATGGGTACACAGCAATCCCTCGATGGGCTTAGTGGTCGCTGGGAGACGACACAGAATGTGCTTCGCCTGGTCTCAACAGAGGCGAGGCGCCTTCACATGGATGATCCAAGATGCATCGAGATTGATCAGTCAGGTTACCGCTACCCTATTCTGCGATTTTTGAAACCGAACGCTATCGACCGACTCCTCAAGTACACTCTCAAGTCGATTTCGGAAAATGGAATTCCGGGATTCCCTTTCACTCAATGGACATTACGGGTGAAGAAAAGTGTGTTGAGATTCATTGAGCATTCTGAGCTGACCAAAGAGGATGACTCTATCATCCAGAAAGAGTTTGATGGGAGTATCTTTATCACCAAGCTTCTCGTTTTACGAGGTCTCTTTGCTCATCACATCCTGAGATTCTCGCTTGCCGAGAAACGTTGGTTAGTAGAATATGGTCTTCACCCGTTCCGATGTTTGATGGCTGTGCCATATCGTGCCAAAGGTGTCCCATCCGAACGTGCAGAATTTGGACACCCTGATGTGGCAGTGACTTTGACTTGTCTCAGCTACTACTACGAGGGACTAACAAAGGAGCAACTGAGAGACTGCTTCGCGCTCTTGGCTAAACTGCACGACCCCTCGACAGAGTTCCAGAATTGGGTCGCCCCATGCATTGATGCTCTGCCCGCTGGTCTACGGACATGCTCAGGCGTGAACCTCGAGGACGATAACACTTTCAGTCAAATTTTGTTCCCTCTCCTCCGCTATCAAAAAGCGATACTTGATTTTTATCTCTCTCATTTTGTCTTCTCCAGAGAAGCGAAGGAGTTTCCGCGGAAGCTCTCATCTTCCGCGTGGGATATCCCTGCACGGCGTGGTCTGCAGCTGACCACAGGCTTCAGCGGTACAAATGACAACCGGTTTCTCCTACCTCTGTCAGTTCATCAACGGGATCTCGGTGAACTTCTTCACACCAATGCGATGGTACTGCGTTTGTTGCTGCGCGAGGATAACAGGCAATGTATCTTGGCACAGGACGAGGAAGGGAGACAGCTGGATGTTGATCAGCTCTTGAAGCTTGTGATCGGAACCGGTGAAGTCTCATCCAAGCCTGTGCGAGTTTTAATTGATGTTGGTGCCCAAATCCTGGAGGCCGAGAACCAGTCAGTGGCCCAAAAATGGCTTGACATGACCCGAGAGGGAGATGTAGAAGGCGCTATCTTCTTCAACAACGGTGATGAGATTATGGTTATCGACCGGGCAGGGCATGTTGAGACTCTCTTGTCATCTTCGTTCCGATAACGAATGGGAGCTTGCTTAGTGTTCCTTGATCAGCACCACTCGCGCGGTGTGGATTTGAAGTTACCCCCTGCGACGCGAGCTGCCGTCACTCTGGGCCCAAGACTAACGAAGGATAAACTTGTACAAGGTAAGATGCGCAGTCCCAATATATTGTTAAGAATGCTAATTTTTTATCAGCCTGCAACCGACTTCGTGGTCTTGAAAAGTGCCAATCGCTTCTATTTCTAATTCCGCCGGAGGTCAGCCACAATATGAGGTTCAGCCTGGGAATATCATCCGACAGAGATTTTACTTCAGCAGATGTGCTCAAGTGGTCTATGGTTCAAACATGCCAGACCCTGGACAACCTACGCCCACTCTGGGCAAACCAGGGAATCCAGTACCATAGGAGGATCAGCCTTTGGGATTTGCTTGTGGAACAAAGAAACCCCTCCAAGGAAACAGCCAATTCTATGCAGGAGCCTGAAGCCCAGACACTTTCCCAGCTCTACGCACCTTGGAATGAGAATAAAGCGACTACGGATGGCCACAACGTGGCCGAATGGGATGTCAACAATGCCCAAATTCGACAGCTGTTGGAAACTTTGCAGTCCACTGCAAATCATGTTGTGACTTCTACGTATCTTCATGAAGAGCAGGAAAGGGAAATTGCGTGCGAAGTGGAGCTAGAACAACAAGTTTTTCGGCCACCATCATACACTCCCAACAGCCACAAACTCCATGACGATATTCAATATTTCGCCAACTTCGGCAAGTTCCCTGGCAATCAATCATCCAAGGCTGTCACATTAGCCTTCCAGGGTCTAGTCAACACATCTGCTGGCAAATTGTATCATCCAAATCCGCTGGGGCCTGGATTGTATTCCACTTTGGACTTCAATCAAACTGTGAAAATTTCCCAAAATGATCTCATGGATGATTTCTGCAAGCAGGTGAATTGGATTCTGTCCAGTCTTCATAGCGATGTTCTTATCATCGTGAGTCAGTGGGAGGCCAACGGACTCATCAATATCATTCGCAAATCAGAGAATACCAGACTTAACCTCTACGCCCCCCGGGTAACAAAGCCGATGCGGTCCTTCCGTCATCTTGACTTCTTTGGCATTGGCGCGAACATTCCGACGCGGCCTAACACCACGATGACACGGTGTTTAGAGATGTTTTCTGGGAGCCTTTACTTCAGCTCGTTTGAAGAGTATAAGGATTTCCGTGCATTTTTAGGGCTTCTTACGGATGATCTTGGTGAAATTCCAGATGGTGGCATGAGCAATGAAGGATTCGTCAAGTTCTTCACCCGCCTGCAACTTCAATGGCCGACTGACTCGCCCTTTGTTCAGAATCCACTTCCATTCCTCAGTGCCCTAATTCATATTCGAACTAAAGGGAATGGATACCAACAGTCACATGTTGGCACAATTATCAAAGCCATGCCATTGAGTGCTGAGCGGTTTTGATTTGAGCTCACTTTCGCTTCTTTCGGGATACACAATATTTCCTGAAATTGAAAGAATTTGCTTTTTACCAGTCCTTTTGATGTTGATATGTTGCCTTTGCAGGTAGATTTGAATGTTATGATTTCTTGTTCCTTCTGTTCCATTTTCCTATAAATCTTTCCTAACCGTAAACTCGGGCGAGAAATGTAGCTTTCTACGGCCACTAATTAACGATGTAGAACTTGGATACTCTGCATATATAGTTGATTTGAGATGATATAAAAAAACTTATCATCCTAAATTGATCTATCTGGTAAGGCCAGGTGGTCAGAAGAATGACCAGAGCCTACCTAGGTTTGCATTCACTTGTGATATCACACTGCCTCTGCGTGGTGCAGCTTTTAGTGCGGTCGCCGAACCTCACCCTACTCTTAAACATTCACATTCATTTTCATTTTCATTTTCATTTTTATATTTATAATAAAAGGTTGGCTTGAATTTATTTCAATGTCGATTTTATGAGTGATAAGTCTGCATGGCTCAGCTTGATGAATTCTACCTTCCTTGTATAAATGGTCCGCACTATGGTACGTTTCTCATTCCGAACCTCAAGTCCTTCCATAACCATTCTGCATCGATTTCAAAGCTTCCTAAAATAACCCATCTTATCTTTGAAAGCCCGTACCTACAACGAGCAGCCAATAAACAAAATATGTGTTGACGGCTATTGGAACTATGGTCAAGAAATACCACTAGCACTATATAACGATGTCTCATAACCCTATCCGATAGTACGAAACATGAGCTAAAATCCTTAGGAGCCTCAGTCACCCAAAAACGAGAAGGTTGGCTGAACGAGCCCGCATCAATCGCCGATTTTAGGCAACCGATCGGTGCTATACAGGGCTTAGAGGCGATGCCGAGGTTCTGCGCCTAATTCACAACCCTTTGATCCTCGTTCTCCAAGCTCTTGATAAAATAATTGGTTACTACAGGTGTCGGACTACCAAGAAACCATTCACTCGTACCGAAAACTACCCAAGCGATGGCACAATTAAGATCCATGAATGTCGCTACCTTCGGGGAACTCGTAGAAGGGTCATACCTTCTCGTCCCCACTCGTCCCCACTCTCATGTTACATCTCTCACTTCTCATATCTCTCTGACTTCTTACACTCCAGTCATTTCCTTCTGCCCACTCGCTATCTTCCTACCACAAACAACAAATCTGGTAGGCCAAGCCATTAGTGGGCTACTCTAGACCAAGAGAGTACCTTATTATTACCTATAGCTAATCTAAACGTATCCCGCAGAGTTCCCTCTTCAAAAAGTACGAATTTGCCAAAAGTTACGATAAAAGGCAAGCCATCGCTACGTGAAGCAGTAAGTATGATATTTTGACAACACCCCGACCAGTTTTAGAAGGCTAGCACTAAACCCATGCAGAAATGGCTAACAACCGGGCATAGATTGTACCTGACAATCTTGACCTAGCGCAGCTCCGGCTCCTTAGTCGCAAGATGATTCAGCGCAACAATGCACAAGCCGAAATAATACACACTGAGACCTCTATACGAATGAGTTACATGCAATTAGTCAGGGAATTTCAGTTAGATCAACTGCCCGATGTGTTTATCGTTGTTACAAATGCGACGGACGATAGTCTAGCGATCTTAGCCCATAGGTGGAGAATGTGTGATATTGAAGAAGAGGAGGACCTGGAGTATTTCCGCCTGTTTCTTTGGCAGCCTTGAGATATGCTCCATTCAATGACTAGCCCGACCACGACCCCAATTGCAACGTGCTCCTGGATAATACCCTACACAGGCATTGCGGTACGGGTTCGAGCACATTCAATGAGAATCTGAGATTGGAAAGTTCATTCAGAGGAAATAAGCGGCGTTTTGTGAGCAACATAATGTGTAATAAATGAAATAGCAGTGCAGTACAGGCCTAGGATTTTTGGGCAACTGGTGGAGCTTCAAGGTCAGAAGGAAATTAAGGAAAAGGCATATAGACAAATCATTATATATGAGTCGAACGACAACAACTTCATACTCCTGGAAAGCAGGTGGAGTCCCTCTGGAGATTGAGAACAAGTGTGCATTCACTCGCAGTGGGTTTTCTGAAAGTATAGGCAGTTTCTTTCGAGAAAGTGAACGCTATTTTCCCTCCTATCCTTTTACCCATACCATTCCTTCGGTTCATGGCTTCTCAGTCTTCGGTGAAATGGCTCCATCTCGACCACGAGTGCCTCTGCCGGTAAAAAGCCCATTCTACCTTTCTTATCTAATGTACACTAGAATAGGGATCCTGCATCCATTTTATATAATATCAAACAGTTGTAGAAGTTTGTAACCTCCTCCCGCTCATTCCCACTCTCACTTTCACTTCTTTCACATCTTTCACGTCTTTCACAACAAACCCCTCAAAGCTTGCAGAAACAAGGAATCTAGCAGCCAAACTATCAGCAAGTTAGTCCACACCAATAAAAAGCCTTCCGATTATACATAGCTAATCTACGGGCACTCCCAAAAGGTAGCTTTACAAAGAGCACATATTTGGCAACAAGCGACAAGCCATTGCTAAAGCGGTAGGTGGGATATTTTAACGACCCCTCGACATGTCTTAATCGGCCAACACTAAAACGATACAGAAATTGCCAACAGCTGCACGGCCATTCCACTTGACGATCTTGAAATAGTGCAGCTCCGACTACTAAGTCGTAAAATGGTCGAGCGCAATAATGCACGGGCCGAGATTATGCAGGTAGATACCGCAATTCGCAGGAGCCACGCACAGCTAATCAGGTGCTTTGACCCTAACCAACCGGATGTGTTGATCGAAATTACGAATGCGATGAATGATAGTTTGGCTATTTTGGCTCATAGGTGGAGGATGTGCGATATCGAGGAGGACGAGGACCTGGAGTGCTTCCGCCTTCTTATTTGGCGGCCTTGAGATTTTTACTGTTCAAGGACAACCACGAAACCGACAGCGACACCCGACTAAACATAGCCTTGATAATGAAAAGCAAAAACACTAGAGCCGTGATTTGGCAGGTGCAATAAGAACTCAGGATTGGAAATTGAAAGAAAATGCTAGGAGGTGAACAAATCAGTGACTGTCTGTGGACAAAAGACATAACCATTGGTAATGCGGACCACCACCCACAAATTTGAGAAACAAACTACAACAAAATCAAACGAGCCACTTTTACTGCGTAGGATGTGCTTTGGAGACTTTCTAGGAGTATGGATCCCCCAATTCAACGAACACACACAATCCCGTCTCCGTGGCGCAATTGGTTAGCGCGTCCGACTGTTAATCGGGAGGTTGGAAGTTCAAGCCTTCCCGGGGACGTTTCTTTTTTTGGGCGTTGATAAATACAACTACGAAGACGAATTCCGCAATATTGCTTACTTTTAAATATTTTTTCCACTTTACACCAAAAAAATGGAATTGAAAGAGCCCGAGAGTCGAACAGGTGTTGTCTACAGCCGTCTATCTATATGAGATGAGGCTGAATAAGTCTGAGCACGCCTTTCTTTCTTTTTTACCTGCTAAGTCTAAAATATCTTTGTCAAATGCCAAAGGCTTCTTTCCACTCCCTCAAATCGTCTGGTACTATTGGGCTCTTCCTTGAAATATAGCCCGTGAAGTAGAGGAACCTTGAGTGTTTCGGTCTAACGTAAACACGATCAGCTGTCCACCAGGGTTCCAGGACTGTACGCAAAGCACTGTTGTGGCTCCTTGGAGACACAATCTAGGTCTGGACGGCTTCGGCTCGGTCTCTTTACTTATTTATTATACGATAGACTTTGGTCAACTTTTCATCTCTGTGATGTCTTTGTCGCCGGTTGCATATCATTGTTACCATCATTGCGGCGTAACCCCAAACTCATGTCATCAGCCCTCACGGGGAATCTTTCATTCGAGATGGAGATACAATAATATATCCAGTAGTCCAGGGCTGGTGGTCGCTGTGGATGAAAACAAAAGCTCAAATTCAATGTATGTTTCGTTTGCATCTTGGTCACGTTATCTCCATGGCCCTAATCACCGATTCATCGAAACCGCATGTGAAGAAGTGGCCTACAACATCATCTATCTATGCATTCACCTGGATATAGAATAATGCGCGACTCAATGGCCAGATAAATCTCTAGCACAGATAGCATCCAAACTGTTACGTTCCAGCCACCACTTCCGTGCGTTAAAATGAATTATGTTACAAACTCCAATACAACGTCAGCCGATTCTTCAAAATCAATAATCGGTATATTGTGATGGTAGCTACGATAAAGAGATCACTAGGCTACTCTGGTATCATTCTAGAGATTTGAATCAAGTGGACTCTTTACCCTTTCTCTGATTGACTATCTATAAAGTTACCCCTGTTGTCTCCGCAGATATGTACCACTAATTCACTTGAAGCTTATACCGTTTTCTCTCGGTTTTCTTTTGATTCCTTGTATGTATAGATCCTAAGAAGATGTCAGTAAATATAACAAATATGTATGGCGTTTTCAATAAGGCTTTAATCTAGACAATACATACTTTCTACCTCCAGCGTCTATTTTTAGCAACCAATGGCCTAGCGCCCTGTTACTACATAAATGTGGCATAAACGCAGATTTCAATTTGTCAGAAGTGAGGTATTTCCAACTTTTGAACAGACGTGCGGAAGTGGCAACACATGATGTGAAGACCTATTCTATTCTCAAATTCCCCATAAAGCCTATGCGCTACACACAACAAATCATATCTCGCCTTGCATAGCTCTATCAGGCACTATCTGAGACCGTTGGCCTTCCATTCATTGCGGTGTGCAGATATTATTACATGCTGTGCGTCTCTCGTTTACGCAAGTACATCTGGCTCATTACAATTTGACCCATGACGGATTTTACTTCGGGAAAGTGTTGACGAACCTTGCCAAATTCAAAATGCCAGATCCAAGGCAGGCAGTGCAAATTGACAGTGACAACTACGACTGGTCTAAGTTTACAAAAACAAAAAGCCGACCCTTCGCGCGGCAATCAATAGACCGGTTCTGACATTTACCAATGCTTCCTTGGCATTGGCACATTTGACAAACGTTAAGGTGTTTCATTACAAAAGGACACGATCTGTACAATCACCAATTCAGTACAGAGCTGATGACCCCAGTGGATGCGCCTGACAGTGACTGGGATCAAATGGTGCAAATCGTTGGATCCCAGCTTCAAGACTGAGCTAAGCGACATCAATGCCTACTGCGACAACGGAATCTGGGCGCCGCCTGGGATGGATGGCAGCCAGCCGACGAAGTCCAAATTCATGCACCGCACCTGATCGACAAGTATGACGATCAGGAGCAACAAACATCCTAAAAGAATCACGTTAACATTCTTCTCTCTTTTGGAATCTCAAGACAGGAGCTCATAAAGCTCACCCATAGCTGAGACACCAGGGCCCTTCCCTCGTCAAAGGTCCGTTAAACCTTAGGTGATTCCAGATGCCAAAAGGAAGACGACTGTAGTTGCATGTAAAGACCTGCAAAGACAAGATTCCCGATTCTTTACACATTCTATTTGGCTCACTTGAGGCTCTGGTGGTGCAGATATTATTTTGTCACGATCAATAGTAAATATCTCACATTGTGTTCACTTCACATTTCCATGATATTTCAAACAGAGATAAGGATATGTGTGTTAGAGGATAGACCATCGTATCTATAACTTCAGCAACAAAGAAATGTTGTGAGAGTACCGAGGTTGTGGGAAGGCAGGAAACTGAGCCTGAAGGTCCTCAGTACCTGGCAGCCGGCAATGATGTTCCAGAATTCCTGAAGGATTTTTTTCATGGGCAGTAGCCCGTTCGACACCTTGATAACGAATGTCGATCAAGAATTCTAACTCGGCGTCGTCGAGGGAACGTGTCACCGAGCTTTCTGAGATAGCTATATGTCGTTCTAGTCACGTAATGGCCAGGAAGTAGCGAGGTAACTTCCTCAACATACAATATGTCCTTGTTCTCACAGCGCTCAATTCTGTTTTCACATTCGAGTAACTGCATGATCAAAGGTGACCAGCCCCATTGGTGTCTTTGGGCTGACCATCCTAGAGAAATTGCGTGGTATAGGTTAGGGTATTTCTTTATGGACTCCAGGTGGGCAGCCAGGTCGGCAGCCAGGGTGGATCGATCAGCTCTGTTGGTTCATTTCCGGTATATGCTCTGCTGGTATATATTCACCCTTTGCTATATCTTCTTCTGCTACGCAGGGCGCATATCAGAAGTGAATGTCAAAGGCAGAAAGTCATCCCCGTAGTGTGAGGGTGTTCCGTGAGGGGAAGGAAAGATGATCTTGTATTCTTAACTACAGCGACTATCCTAAGCCTAAGGGAGCGGAGTCACCATGTGGCCTTGACCCGGGTCACCTGACGGTGACATCTGCCGACACCTTAAGTGTCGACCGTCCTCGGTCGATGCCCATTGGATGCCCTGTAGACCTAATACATACAGGAGTATTGTTTGCCTTCCATAAGAGCTCATCAAAACTGCGAAGAACATAAGCAAGAGACAACCGCGGAGTGGTTGACCGTAAATCCTCCTGACAGACGGGAACAAGCATCCGTCTAACCTTTGAAGTACATAGTAAATCGGCTCGCTGGGGCCGGAGGCTGTGTTGTTTCTTGTGGCCCGGTGGGTGTGACAGGGCCGGCTCGATCGGGTCACAGAGTCATCAGTCGCCTGCCGCGTAAATCTTTGACAAAGGCAGCCTTTTCCTTATTGTTTGGCCGAATGCTCGTCATTTCCATGACCTGATCAAATTCCCCGGACAGCTCGTCCTTGCCACCCACCCGGGAATCAATTGTGTAGAGGGTTAAGAAACCAGGATGGGATCGACGATAATACCATCCAGATATTATATTCGTCCCTCGGTGGGTGCGAGGATGGTGGAGCTTTGATACAAGGCATAGCGACACTGTGAAGGTTGTTTGAAGTAAAGTTGAGATATATTCCACTGACTCGTAGAATGTTAATAGGTTCCTAGGCGAAAGAGGCCAAAAGAAAAGGATAATGTGGGGGTAAAACCTTTGAGTAATACATCAAGTTAGCCCCAAACCATTACCAAGTGTTGTTTTGGGTTGGGAAACCTAACTTGTGACTCAGTTTTGCGGAATTGTGTAGTGTAAAAATATAAGTCTTGTCACTGTTATAAGTTGTTGAGAGTACAAGGATAGTGGAAGACTTGGATTGGTATGGAAATGGCATAAAATGGCAGGAAGAAAGAGGGTCCAACAAAAGCAAGCAAGAAACGGGAAAATACCATTTTCGTTTGCATGAAATCTTTATATAATCGTAGTTAAGTGAATAAAGTTAGGCAATCATGGTTGCTCATGTTATCATAGCTCTGGACCCGATAAAGACCAGAAAATATATGCAGGCTGCTAGGCTGGGTGACCAGAGGTCTCTGTCTCTATATCTGGGGGTGCTATCCGGCCGATATAGACAGGGGGACGAGGGCCTAATTATATAGACGAGCCTGGTTTAGAGGTTGGGCCCAGCCATATATATAGCCTTGCCCGGGCCTCGTGGCGTCATCGTCTAAGTTGGTATATAAGAACAAGGAAAGAAGACAGAAAGAAAGCAAAGAAGGCGAAGTCTTGTTATAGACTTCGGGTAGACTTTAAGAAGGCAAACGTCGTATCAACATTTATACATGAAGTAGTTTGCATATTCCAAGCCATCTTCACCCCCTATATTTTAGTTACAACACCAAAATTAAAGGGGAAAATATCCAAAAAGAAGAAATTCTAAAAAGATACTATGAGGCTGCCTAAGTGGCCGACTATTCTTGTACGATAGATTATATCGCTCGAGGTCAAAATCTCCACTCATAGCTTATCTCCTAGCGTCGGACCAAACTACCAAAAAGCGGATGGCCACGAATTGATGACGCGGCTTTCTATATTGTAGTATAATCTAGCTTTCAGCCTTTTCATATATATGAATGCTTTTTCCGCTCATGCAGCCCGATCTGCAATCTGATAAAAGCTTCCAAAATAGTCCATTTTTTCATTCACCTACCAAGGTGGACGTCGAGAATGCGACCATCATCGCTCCTCCCGCTATGTGGGGTTCTAAACTTATCGAGCGCCCTGTCAACGGCCCCAATCAACGACAATCCGATCAAAAATGAAAATCACATTTTCAACGTGATCCAAGACTCAATGCGCCAGTGGGGATCCTCTCTACACCACAACGGCGTGTCATTCTTCCTCGCGGCCGTTCCCGCCGGTACACAATTCTACCATGGAACCTCCAAGGCCACCCCGGTGAACGGCACCGAGTGGTTGGCCTTTGAGCCCGAACATGCCATGGTCTTCGCCCGGCCGCGACGCGGCCCCCCGCCACACCTATCATCCGAAGATCCTGATACCGAACGACAGGAGGGAGGCCATGGCGAGCTGCGGAAGCGGGAACACCATGGCCCGCCGAAGGTATTCGATGAGAATGAGTCGGGTTACTTGCATACGTATGTTGCAGCCAAGGATCTCCGCCTTTTGTATCTTGACGGTATGTCTGCTGCCAAGACATCCAAGGGCACGCTTGATTCTCAGGATGCGGTTCTATTCAGCGGCGCGTTCGATGATGCCCCGGGTCGGGGTGGTAATCAAGAGAACGAGCGCGCTAGACTGGCTTGTGAGATGGCCGAGAATGAATGGGAAGGTCGCATTGATGGTGTCCTGCGCATGGAGGCTGGCTTTGAGATTATCCTGTGCGACTTTGAGCGCGATCTAACTCCCGTGCGAATCACGCAGGTCAAGCAGAACTCTGAGGAACAACGTGGTCCTAGGGGTAACCGTAAACATGGCGACCGGGATGGTCCTCACAAAGAGGGTGATGACAAGCACCACGGCGGCCATGGCCCGAGCAAAGAGGATGATGGAAAGCCACGCGGCCCTGGTGGCCCTGGTGGCCCTGGTGGTCCGGGAGGTCCTGGTGGTCCGGGAGGTCCTCCCCACGGCGGACCTGGAGGCGGCCCCGACTCGTCGCGATGGATGCGCGCCATCACCGCACGCTACAACGGAATCGGAGGAAACCGAGTTTCGCTGAACTTCAACCACTTTGTGACAGCCTTCTCTCACAATATCGACCTATTCCAAGACAATTCAACACTTCCCCGACTTGCCAATGTCTCTCCTGGGAGTCGCGCTTCCATCCTTGCCGAAGTCACGAATATGATCATGACTCAGAATCCTGCCGATGCCAGCGAGGACTGGCAGGCGATTACAGATATGATCGTGACTCGGTATAGCAAGGAGCTGTCATACTTTGGTTCCGGCAGCATTGATTCAATCGAACGCCTGCAGTCCGAGATTGACCGTGTTTTGTCCCCGTTCATTGACTACAGTAAGCGAGATGATGTCGCTGAGATTGAGCGTTGTGCGACTCAGTTCTTGCCGTTGCCATCTTTGGAAGGTGGGAGTATTGCGGCGCAGGCTGTTCACGGTGTTGCTAGCAAAATCTGCTCGTCTTTGCTTGAGGCTGGGAAGAAACAGGAGCTTGAGTCTGCTGTACAGGTTGTCCGGGATCTGGTTGGTTATCTTGATTGGGCGACGTGGAAGGAGTGCAGGGGCTGTGCAGCGAATGAGATTTGTGTCGTACCTATTTGGCCCATGGGTTCAATCCAAGACTATGAAAGCCCTAAGTGTAAGGATGCATCAAGCCCATACGATCAGGATGGAGAGAATTACTGGGGTGGAATGCACCACTGAGTGACCTGCTGTGGACCACCAGTTCCTATTTTAATTCGGGTTTCGATACACTTACATCTGGAATTGTGGGTTTGATAATAATTAGCTTAATTCAGACATATACAACATTTATCGAGGGTATATACAGTATACAAAACATAATAATGCTCAAGAGAAAGTAGGTAGAAGGGGACTATTGTGTTAGTCATTGTTGCATGCGCTAGTTCCAAAGCTAACCACAGGGTCATATTCCCTTTATATATGAAATATAAAATTTGTGAATGGCAGAAGAGAACGATCATCCCATCTAGGGTAGAATATTTACTGGGGGAGAGCACCCTTGCCGGAGGAGACGATGGAGCCGATAGCAGTGCCAACGCTGCCGAGGCCGAGAGTGGAGAGGAGGCCCTGGGCAGCGCCGTTAATCTTAATCAAAAGGACGGAAGCCTTGTCCTCAGCGTTGACAGCAATGAAGTCAGCACCAGGGATGTTGGGGATCTTGGACTTGAGCTCGGTGACGGAAGGGGCCATGGCGACGACGTTGCCGACGGGGCCCTGAACGGTGGAGAGATCAAGACCGCTAAGGAGACCGAGGAGGGTAGGCTCAACCTGGACAAGGAGGTCCTTGCCACCAGCGAGGCCGTTCATGTCAGTGATGGAGAGAACGTTTTGGAGAGGGTCGGCGCGCTTGATATTGCCGGTAATGGACTCAAGGCCGCCAACGATAGAGCCGAGAAGGCTGCCGACCTCGCCGAGACCGAGGCTGGAGAGGAGATCGACCACTTCCTGGGTCAACTGGATGAGGGCGGCGTTGCCGTTCTCAAGGACGGCGGTGACCTGTGTGAGGCCAGAGCCACTGCTGGTGTCGAGCTGGTCGACAGACTGAGCGGTTTGAATGACCTGGCCAACGGGCTTCTCGAGAGCGCTAAGGGGCAGCTTGCTCATCAGGCTCTGGAGCTCGGACTCGGCCATCATCTTGAAGTTCGAGGTTCCGGCCTGGTTGAGGATGGAAAGAACCTGGCCGGGGCCGGAGCCCTCGGTCATGTCGGAGGCGGCACTGGTAGGGATGGGTAAAGCGGAGAACGAGGATGCAGCGGCACCGGAGCAAGTGGGGATCATAGATGCCACTGGCAGAGGGATACCCGAGGGGATAACACCGGAGGGCAGGCAAGAGGGAACTCCAGAAGGCAAAGAGCCGGTGGTGCCTGAAGGGATAATGCTGGCAGGCAGGGCCATAGCAGTCGAGGCCAGAAGGGCGGCGGAGAAGGCGAAAGACTTCATCTTGGCGTTTAGTGAGTGGAATAAGTTCAAAGACTTGTTTTGTATAAATGAATGGACGGTATGAACCGAGATCAAGGAATGACTTTTTGGTAAGGAATGACAAGAAGAAAGTTCTTAAATTTCCAACATCCCGACAAGACGTCTCGGGTTATATACGATAGCTGTTGGTAGGGGATCAGCGGTGATACGAGTCCGATTCCTCTTCTATTGATGTCGTTGAGTGTACTCCTGAGTTAACAGACACCTTGACAGAGGGGCTACTCTCGCAAATGAGTCCGATGGGAGAATGGAGCAATAGCGTTGATCTACCAAGACGTAAGCTTCACGCTGAGTGGGCAACAAAGCCGCCGCCACATAAGATTGGCTCCGGCACACGATTTTAGTTCCGCTATAAGCTTCATATGGGGCCCATCTTCATTAGCCACTTTGCAGATCCCTCACTAGGCTCTCAACCAAAGCCGGGGGAGTTCCCACTCGAACTGTCAGGATGAGGCCAAGACATCGATGACATAGTCATCTTTATTGTCAAATCAAGCTCATTGTTGAGCTTGAAGATCCACTGGTCGAGGCGCAAAAGAAGCATCCCCGGTATAGGGGTACATTTGCCACATATATTCTGCTTGGCCTTCAAAGTACTCTGGACTCCGTACCACCATGGGAATGAGGGCTCCGAGCCCAAATTCACCTGCACTTGTTATTGATAGCGTCGTAGGGAGCAAACCTTAGAAGTCAACCCGGGATCGACATGACTGGTACCAACCTTGTTGATCGAAATCGCCAATGATTGGTGGTATGTTGCGCTGAGGTCCCTTGAGATCAGCAGTCTGCCTGCCAGAGAAAAATTGTACGAAGAAGGTCAAACTCCACGTGGGCAATATTGATGCTGATTGCAATCTTATTCCTCCACAGTGGGTTGAAAAATGTCAAATAGTCCAGTGGGGCCTCGATGCCCGTTAATTGCGGTGAGTTGTTTGCCGGAAAATTGCAGGATTAAGCATCGGTGATGACATCATTATGGGACTAGATATCCTCAGGGGTTGACAGGGGTAACAGGGGTAACAGGGGTTACCAGAGCCCCCTCCGTACTCCGTATGTTGTCCAGAAGAGAAAGTCAGGCGAGAAAATCAGGAGAGAAAGTCAAAAGCCGTTGAGTTTGGGAATTTAAACTTCTGAATGGATCCGGGGAACTCAGGGGTAACCTTGGAAGGACTCGCACCACATTCAGTGACCGTTAGCATCTGTTTCTATGTTTTGTTATGTTTCAGCCCATTGGTACGAAGTTTACTTAGTAGATTTCAATATAATATGTCCTGTACATACTCAACTTCGAGATGATATCTTAGATAACTCTATCCTGATATATACAATACAATATACAGTAAAGTTACGGATATCCATAACTTTAGGGACTCTCAAGCTTCGCTGATCGCCTATTTCCTCAATGACTAACAATTTAGTTGGACAAAATCCTAGCGGCAGCGGCTTCAGCAACCACCATGATGGTAGCTTGAATGTTACCGGTCGGGAGGTCGGGATGGATACTAGCATCAACGATGAACTATAAAAACAAGGGTTAGCATCATATTGTGAGCAAACGAAATATTCGTGACTTACCAAGTTATCCATTCCATAAACCTTGGTATTGGTATCGACAACAGAAGTGCCGCTCTTGCGGCCATCATCGGTACCCATCTTCGCAGTGCCGGTGTAGTGTACACCAGGGCTCAGGGCCTTCAAAATGGCCGAGACATTGGTGTTAGTCTGAAGCTCAAACCCGGTGGACGGGGCGGTGATGTCATCGACCATCTTCTGAACGAAAGTGCGGGCGGCCTTCTGGTCAGCAGCGGTCTGGAGGTAGGGCGACTTCTCAATGACAGTTTTTCCGGTAACATCGAGACCTAGAACACCTGACGAGGTGAGGCCATGGGTCATGTATGAGGTGATGGTCACCACGCCCTCGCTAGTCGGTGCGCACGAGCCCTGGTAGTACTGAGTGTGGCCATCAATCTCCTCCGAGGTGAAGAAGATCATACGGTGCTTGCCCTGGGTCAGGACACCGCTGTGGTTGCGGTAGAGGGAGATATCACGAGAGTCGGTTCCGTTAAGGACTCCCTCGTAGTCAACAAGACCGAATGAGGCGTTGGTGCTGAAGGTGATGGGGAAAATGGGGTGGTCCTTGAGACCGACACCGACAGGCAGGTCAATCCACTGAGCCTTGGGAGGAACGGCAACACCGCTCTTCTTCGCAGTCTCGATCTGAGCCTTGCCACCAATACCAGAGTTCCACAACAGACGCGGGGTAGACAGAGCGCCGGCAGCCAGCACCACGCGGCCGTGGGGAGCAATAGTGATGATCTCGGATTGGCCCGAGGCAGTCTGGATCTCGACACCAGTGACCTGACTACCGGAACGGATCAAGCGAATCACCTTGGTTTGGAGAGCGAGGTGGAAGTTATCCTTCTTGACAGCATCGGGGAGATAGGTGCGAACAGGACCAGCACGCATCTGGTTCTTCAAGTTCCAGGACGGGTAGCTGTAGACCTGGTGCTTCTCATTCGGCTCGGTCATCATATTCACTGACTTCCAACCAAGGCCACCGAAGAACTTGGACAGCACAGCATAAAGTTCCTGGTCATATCGCTTGCCGTCGGCAGAGGGCAGCATGGTTCCGGGGTTGCGCTTGTAGAGTCGGTGTGCAGCCGACTCAACATCCTTCCACTTCCAGCCCTTGGGCCATTTGTCATCAAAGTCGTGGGCTGGCGGGTGAACGAAGACCATGTAGTTGACCGTTACGCCACCGCCGAGCACACAGGCAGCAGTTCCAGCAGTGTCAGTGCACACGTACTGCTCCCAGACATCGAGCCCACCGATGTCGGCCGACAGTCCCGGAAGATCAATGGGAGTCAATGAGTGGTCCCATGTGAGGGTCTCATTGTTACCGGTGGCCACAGTTGGTCCAACACCTCGCTCGAGGAGCAGAACTTTCTTTCCTGCATGGGCGAACTTTTGGGCGCTGATGATACCGGAAGGGCCACCTCCGACCACAATGTAGTCATAGGTGTTGTTCTGGAAGACGGAAGCAGAGGCAGCTCCTGTAAAGACAGAGAGAGCAATGGCGAGAGGGCCAGCCTGGAAGATTCTCATTTTGACGTTTACTGAATAATGAGTTGTGAGAAAATCCCGATCTATAATCCCTGTCAAGGAAGGGGGTTGGCCATTTTAACTGTTTCGCAACAATTCCGCACCAGTCTAATCGAAAACAAAGTGGATCAATCGTGAAAGACTTAGCACGCGACAGAAACATGGCGAAACATGGCTCGTCGGGCATTTAATTTCATCGAAATTTACCGATTAGGTATAGTGCGATCTGATAAGAGCACTAACTTTCTAGGGTTTCTGTCAGGGATTTCACTTCCGTCTGACCGTTTAGCCGGCATAGAGAAAGAAATATGCACATAACACGTACGCCTTGAAACTACAACATACATTTGTTGTACACATCAGAAGGGGGATGCTGGCCCTGAATGTTGGAATATTTGATTGCTATTTTGAGAAGTCTCAGACCGAATACACATACCTCCACTTGAATTATCGGATCGAAACAGTGGTATCCATTCATTCTCCCGGGAAAGCGTTTTCCCATATCTGTCGCTGACATAGATATAATCAACGTCGGGCTATATGGGGCGCATGTCCTGAACTTTGATTCCGGTATTCTACGGAAGAGGCGTTAAGAAAGGGGAGAATTGTGTTAAATTCTCTATCCGCTCAGCCACCGTCCCACGCCTAGGCAATTGCAGGATACTGCATGGAATAAAGTTCTGGAATACGCCAAGTGGATAGTGGATATCATCAAAACCCTCCCAACATCCTTACCAAGCATGTAATCAGCATGTAATAAGCACAATCCTATCTCAGGACCCACTTCAACTAACCATGGAAAATCACCTCGTGGAAGTATTTATGTTAAGAACAGCCGTAGCCCTAAGGATTTCAAATCCAAAGCTCAAATTCCGCACTTGCTTACAATATAGTCCGCTCACTTTTCTAGCGCCTAATTCCTATCCGATATTGGACATACTAAACCACACAGAATTGGGCGAGACTGTCAAATCTAGTATCGCGATTCGGCGGTAGTAACGCCGACGATAGGCCGAACCATCAATTTCTTCCGTCGAATATGCGGAGCCCTGTAATTTTATGAAACATATTATTCGTTTCATATGCCAAGGGGCAAAGCTTGGTGCAGTTATGTCACACAGAGTACAGTATTGGCAAATTCACAAATAGTGTTTCTCACAATGCATGCATTAATCGCGAAGTAGTCATAAGTCGCTCTAGAATCATCCGGCAGATAAGGGCGATGGTGCAGGATTCCCAAGAATCAATTTAGACAAAGCTTAATTACATGACTGCAGGGGCGCTTCTAAATTCGTAGGATCCAATACTCCGTACCTTCGTCGGATGTTGAGAATCCCAACTAATTCTTCATAATTAACATGGCGTTCTAAATACACCATACTCTCTACATGCCAAAAATCCTGAACTCCTACTGGATCGAGATTAGCCGTCGGTGCAGCTTGACGCCTTCATCACCAGTTTCTACATGGAAACTGCATCCTCCCGAATCACAGGTTGACATTCCAATTCAGCCTGCTTTCAGTCAAATGAAAATTGATAGATCAAGAGATAACAGGCTCTCTCACTTTCTTTCTGTTTCTCTTACAAATTAATGAGGGATTTCTGTATCTACAGGGGTAGAAGAGAAGCCCATCAATATTTTTACAATTTTATGTTTACAATGGTGGTTATTTTATATAAATCTATATTATATATTGTAATTGATTTGCAAAAGATTCCAATCATAGAGTTTAGATGCTCCTTAGGGACCTTAGTGATCTTAGTACTCTGTATATGTTTTGCTATTCAACCAGAACCCATCCCCCAGTTACATATCTCCAAGGTTCAGCGTGTACACGCTCTTTTCACTATATATTTCCACTAGGGCATTGCTCCCCACCATGGTATTCAACAATTAAATGGGCTTATTTTTGGCTTAATTCAATCAATAGAGAACTAGTTGGAGCCATACACTAAAAGTGTAGCATAGAACTTGATGTCATGAGCGATGAGGTCATTCTGCTTGTGTTTTGGGGTTGAATAAGTGTATAACCAGTCCCAAAGTATGAGCAGACGTCAAAATATTCCCACTTATTACTTTTGACACCAGTAAATTTAGAAATGTTGAGGTTTTCTCGAATCCCATCTTGAAGATGGGAAATGACGGGGAAGATGAGGGGAGTCAAAAGAGTGGGGCCAGCCGTTGCGTAGGGCGCGAAGCTCAACATCTCCAACACCCCGTGTATCAAAATCAATATTCTTCAGGCACAAAATGTCGACCCCAACTACCCGTCTTATACCGGCATCTTCACGTACTCTTCTTCTTACCCTCGACGCGTTCGGCACCCTTTTCCACCCGCGTCTCCCCGTCCCAGAACAATATGCCGCGACCGCGCACCAATTCGGATTATCGCGCACTACCGTCACCCCGGACAAACTCGAAACCGCATTCAGGGATACCTTTCGTGCACAGATGCATCAATACCCGAATTACGGCCGCGCGGATGTTCTCCGAGGCCAATATGGGGGGCCAAGGCAGTGGTGGGAAGAGGTGATCAGGGGGAGTTTCAGGCGTGTTTTGTCCACAGACGATGTGGAGACGCGTCCTGGAAATTCCAAAGAGCATATTCCTGATGGCATGGTGGAAGCCTTACTAGATCGATTTGCTGGCCCCGAGGGGTATGCGCTCTATGACGATGTGCTACCATTCTTCCGCCGAATGCGCAGACTCAAGTCCGCGCGTAAGTGGTCGTTTGATAGAATTATTGTGGGGGTGATATCCAATTCGGATGACCGCGTCCCCGCTGTGCTCAAGTCGCTGGGGTTGACGGTTGGTGATATGCGTGCCGACCAGGATAAATCGAGTATGGATCTTCCAGGGTTTGAGGAACGAAATTTCAAAAAAGATGCTGCCGGGGAATACAACAACGATCATGTAGACCGCAACTTGGAACTTGATATTGATATGGTCATTACGAGTTATGAGGCCGGTCAAGAGAAACCTCATCGCTTGATCTTTGACGTGACGAGACGGCAGGCTCTAAAGGTCGCCCGCCCATGGTTGACCAGCAGAACCAAATTTATCTCCGTGCATGTTGGGGATGATTTTGAAAAGGATCATGAAGCTGCAAGGGCTGCAGGCTGGGAGAGCTACATGCTTCGTCGAGATCCTCTTGAAACCGATGACTTCAAAGCGAAACAATTCGGAGATCTTCTAAAGTTGACAGATAAATTGGAGATTTTCCCATAAAAGCACTTGTCAACAGATGGCAGATGCACAGTTGAACTTGATTAAAGTCAAGCATCGACAATTTATATCGAACCACAAGTCAAGAAGACAACATCAAAGTTCCCTGGGCTCTAGGACACAGATATTACATTATGCCCCAAACTGACACAACGACAATCTGAAAATGTCTTGACAGATCATGAGTTTTGCATCCATCGATAGAGATCATTCTGTCGGACGACCTGGCATAGTGAGATTCAATTGGGAACGGTTGTTCAAAGGGCCTCGCTCGAGATGGGGTTGACCAGCTTTGGCTATGTTTGTCGGTTATCGTCAACGTAGTTGTAGTGCTCAGGCTCTTCCTAGCCCACTCATTGCTTTGGGGGAGTGGAGGAGCACAAAGTGATGGAAATTATGCATGTCGTGAACATCCAACAAGTGAGGGGCCCGGCAGATAGAGAAATTGTATCTACTGAAAAAACAGTGTGTACTTAGTCTTCCATTTATTACACATGTACAACGCTTCAGTGTATTATTCTGGTCTTGTTTTAGACCATTTCCCTCGCATTTCCTCCATCTAAGTCTAAGACAGTATTCAATTACAACAACCTTTCAATGCGTACCGATGATCGAACCAAAAATGGATAGTTAACTGACATATAACTTGACCAATGAAATGTCTGATGTGCGATGTCCCATACACCCCGCATATCCGCAAGCTGCGTACGGGCGCGGGGCCGAACTTCGCATTGAACTCCGAACTTGTATTGATCTACTCTCTTCGCACTTTGAAATCTTCCTGAATCGTTCACGAGAAATTCAGCATAATTTTAAAACTCGACGCCGAAGTACCACTCTACTTAACATCGAAGATGGAAGGTGTTCAAGGGCCACGGGGGTCTGTTGTAATCATCGGAGCTGGTACTCAAGGCAGACGTCTTGCGCACATGGTAAGTGGTGATGTTCAAGGCCTTGAACATCTAATCTGGTGTTAATGCGTTGAAGTGGTCAAGCCGAGGCGGCACTGTCCGTCTGGTAGATCTCCAAGAGCAACAGCTCCAAGATGGTCTAAAGTATGTGGAACAACTTCGTGCAGATGCTACAGACCACGAAGGAGATTGGGGGGAGCTTGAGACTTTCCAGCCCTCTTCTTTGGAATTTACACTGCAAGACGCATGGCTCGTTGTCGAGGTATGAATTAACTCTTTATCTTACCGGTAGGACCAATCTATTGACATGACATGAAACCAGTGTGTGCCGGAGAACTTGCAGCTAAAGCGAAAACTAATTACTCAACTTGATGAGCTTGCGCCTGAAGGAACAATAATTGCTTCAAACTCGAGTAGTTATGGAATCTTTGAGATTATCGAGGGCATGAGCTTGAAAAACAACAAAAGAGTTATGAGCGCGCACTGCTGTAGGTTTCTATTCAATTTTAAATGGAATACTTCGCTGAAATCTTGTGTCAGATTGGCCACCAGAGACATCCGGTAATATCTATTCCAAATAATCGTATTTTTCTGTTCGATTTGTTAACCAGGAAGTCAGCAATTGAAATCATGGGCCACAAGGATAGCGATCCTAAGCTAATTGATCTAGTCCTGGAGCAATGTAAAGAACATGGATTCTCGCCTTTCCACGTCAAAAGAGACTCAATAGGCTACATATATAACAGGTGAGTTTTTGTTCTCTCTATCTTACTGTACGAGCAGGCTTATAACAATCTCCAAGAATTTGGGCTGCCATCAAGCGAGAGACTCTTCTCACATTGTCTGAAGGTGTTGCCACACCCAAAGAAATCGATGCCATTTTCAAAGACGATTTGAAAACTCCCAAGGGCCCATGTGAACAGATGGATATTGTCGGCTTGGATGTTGTGTTGGATATTGAGAACCACTACGCCGAATCTCGGAGTAGTATTCCTACAGAGCCACGGGAATACCTTCGCGAGATGATTCAAGGTGGAAATCTGGGCGTCAAGAATGGCCGAGGATTCTATGGTTATGAAGAAGAAAATAACTGAAATTTCTAGTCCTTATTGATTCACATTCATTTTATTTACGTGTAATAAGGATATTTCCTTATATATACCCAAAAAGGGAGCTACTTTACATCACCAACGAATCAGCTCTCAGATTCGCCTGGTCCACCAGCATCATTGGTCTAGTGGTAGAATTCGTCGTTGCCATCGACGAGGCCCGTGTTCGATTCACGGATGATGCACATCTTTTTTTTGTATTTTGTTTTTTGTATGTGGATTCCACCGAGGACGTTGTGGAGCCAAAGGAAAATTACTCTTCTCTCCTCTACCACCAAGTCAAAGTTCACATAATCGCAAATAAAAACGATCAGTTCAATATGAACGACCTCCGAAATAGCCTTTGCACTCACCCAGACTGGGGATATGTCATCTATCGCACTACCTACTCTGCTGAATCAGATACTCTATTCCCAGACGCTATCAGATATATTGAGGCCTGTATTAAGCAAGCATTCTTCCAAGAAAACAAAGAAGATACTACAAATGAGCCCAACGAAATTTGGACCAAACACCGGTCGACTATCGTACAAGATCCCGCGCAATTTAACAGGCGTCTCTCGAGGCAATTCGCCCTCATTTTGAGGCCTGGGTGAACGCTCAAGGCATGCGTGATAATTGGACTAAATGGCGAATGTGTATGATTATCGATGAAGAATCTTTGCAAACGCTGAAAGATATATCAGTCGAGGCCCTTGAAAATGAAAGGCTAGAGAATTCCGATGATAAGCTACGATGTGTAAAGGTTCTTGAAGCATTCCCGCACACGGATCAGTATGACAAATTTTTAGGCTGGATGAAATGTTGGACATACGCGCTCTGGGATCTCTGGACGATGATGGGAGATGGTGATGAGATGAGGCAGTTGTTTGACTGTATTGATGATTTTCCATTTGAGGGGGTTTACTGCGGATGATTCAGTGGTGTTTTGGTTGATGGCAATATGGAGTGCATCAGAGATGTGTGGTTCTAAGGTTGTGGAAAATATCGTTCCACAGCCAGTCAGTTCAGAAATAAATACTGCTTGATTCTCTCAGCGCAACTATTTATGTTTACAAAATGGGGCCCAATATGATTGCAATTCACATGTATAAGGTAAATAGGAGTTAATATCGATGATCTGGCTTTGTCCTTTATTGGCATGGTCATTTGGCAGATTATTTATTGGCATCCCACTCATCTTATAGATTGCCGATGGGATGAAGATAATGGAGTTTGTTGCCATGATCCACGGATAGATGGAGCGATATGCCTCAAGATGTTTCAATATCTTCCTAGCGGTCATTCACCTGGAATGACACTCTCAAAGGCCGCAAGGTATATACCATAAAGATTCCGGCACACGGAGATTTTATTTAAAAATCAAGAACTCCTAGACGCATCTCCACAGTTCATTCAATTAAAAAAAGATATATTTGATTAATACAAAATCAAGACAACAGTGTCTACAGGCCAAGTAATCAACCTACACTGCAAGGAGCAAGCCAGCGCCCAAGAACCCGGACAGCAGGTGGTTTGGTTTGCCCATGGAGAACGCTGCCAGTCCTTTAGAGGAAGTACTAGAAGCTCCACCATTCTCGGTAGTTCCAGTGGCAGTTCCAGTAGCAGTGGCAGTAGCAGTGACATATGCTGTTGTTTCACCAGACTCGGAGCTCAAAGAGCCCGAGGGTGTATCGGTTTGATTGGGCCCATTACCCGTGGCCGAGGTGATAGCAGTGGGCACAAGCGTTGCGTCCGGCACAGGAGCCGTTCCCGTGCCGATCTCGTAAATATCATCATCACCCCCATCGTAGTCTGTGTTCGCAAGCGAAATCTCGTTATTGGCGAGATCGTAGACCACGTAAGCGCTACGCAAGAATGTGTCACCCATCAGATTCACTCCGGGGTCGCTGTATGTGATACCAAAGATGCATGTGCCCTCAGGGAAGTCGGCCTCGGCGTAATTCTCGAAAATCAGTTCTTTTAAGGGGATCGAGACCGTGGCGCCCGAGAAACTGAAGGTCACATTGTAATCGGCCTTTTTCATATTGCAAGGAATGTAGGGGTAGCTGTCGGCCCTGGAATAACCCACACCGACCTCCTTGAATATGGGGTCTACCAGCTCTTTAGGCAGCGCAATGAGAGGGCTTCCATTATCCAAAGTGACGGCCAAGGGAAGACCCGTCTTGTAACTCTTTGTACCATCGGTGTTCTTCACAGATAAATCCGTCAAGGCGATGGTCAGAGAACTGTACCTGCCATATACTGGCACAATAGGCACAGTTTGCAGCTCGCCTTGATATCTCGCTTTGTTGACACCCCCGAAGAGAAGGTTCCCTGTGCCATCAAATTTGTTTAGCCATAGGCTATAGGCAGCCGATTTGATAGCACCGCTTTTGACCAGTGCTTCCGGTAGGTTGGCGTATTCCTTGCCGAGATTGGCAGCCGCATCAGTACCTGACGCATATCCGATTCCTAGAATCCCATCTGTTCCCGAAATGCCAATCATCAGCCAGATGTTATCTTTTTCACTTATCGAATCAAAGAACTCAATAATCCGGGGGGGGGGGGGGGGGGGAAANAAACTTACGAGGATTTTTACTCTCGTTGGCCAACGCAAACTCCATATCCTTTACCGTAGCGTCTCCAATCACCAGCTTGTCAGTGACATAGGGGCCTGCAGCCAAAAAGCCACTGACATAAGTAGCATTCATCTCATAATCTAGCATTTTGAACGTTGAGGAGTCTTTGATATGGAACAAGCCGGTTGAAGAGCAGGGATCATCATCTGCCGCGCAGTAGGTGGAATTTGGGACGTTAACCCAGATGTCACTGCTACCGGTATCGAGGCTGAGGGATACTTTCTGAGCCGGGGTACCGATGGTGATGTTCACCATGTAATAGAAATTTTGCTATGCGGGTATTTAGTCCAATTCTTAACCATTGAAACATGCGATCGGAAATCTATCTCATACCACATTGTACAGTGCCGTGCTGGCGACTTTGGAATCGCGTTTCACCAACACCTGAGACCGTTCACTTTTGGCAATTGGGAGCTCAAAGATCGCAGGTTCATCCCGTTTGTGTAGCGTGACGGCATTCCCACATGGCAGAGCAGCTAAGGCCGCGATCGGCAGGATTGACAATCCCCACATCTGTCACCACGCAGATCTTGATCGTCGTGAAATTATGCGGATACTAGTCAGCGGCCGCGATTTGGACCAAAAGTAGACGAAGTGAAAGGAAAATATGCAGTATGCAAGTCCCTCAAACACCGAACAGATAATTTTTCAGAGAGAAGGAAAATCAGGCGGAAGGGTGCCTAAAGATTCTATTATCTTTAGCCAATCTCGCTACAAACTAGCTTGCCACTAGACCTTTACTAACGATTCGAGGTCTTACGAGCATATAGGTCCCACCGGTAGTACACTACTCGGTCTTACCCAGAGACCGTCGCCTTGGCAAGGGCCAATCGTCCTCCATCACAATTTCCGATGCAGCAGGGGTAGCCCCGAGTCACTGACTCAGATTTCGCTAAATTAAATCCAGCCAATCCCTCTTCTCTGCGCTAAACTCGATGGGCCGTCATACAATTTAATGCAGTGCATAACAGGCCCGGAAAAGTAGAAGTACGTACTGCCACAAATAATAGTAAACGCCAAGGGTACTCTCGGTTCCGAATCTGGAGTATTAGCCCGCCTTTATGTGGATACGCGGAAATTAGGGGTTCTTGGAATATTGCGGTCGTTCCTGGGACAGGTAGGCCACCCGGGAGTACCCACTGAGGCTACTTGGTGCCAATGAGGACCGCTCAGTAGCCTTCTGGGAGTGCATATCATTATCTTAGGATGAGCAATTTTTTTATAGAATAGCCAAGAGTTGCTTATATTGTTAACCTCAACGGTCTTCTTTGCCCACCGAAGCTATTTTTCACCGAAGCTATTTTTCGGATAGATCTAATCAAATACCACTAGAAAGAAATCGATTATCATATAAAGGTGTATCCGCGAGCCCGCCTAAAAAGGACGCATGCTTTGGGTTTACTACGCTTAAAGTGTAGGCTATTTACCCCTTTGAGTTTAACGTACTCCATTTACTCTTTGTAGAACGAGTGTGATTTACCAGGTATCTGAGCTATTTATCTATTAAATGATCCCTTATTCTCGCATAGCCACAAAATTTCCAATGGTGCGATAAGGAGTCTATTTTTTAAAGGCCAGCCGAGGGTCGGACTACCAGGCTAAATAGCAAATTTTGTACAGACAAATAACAATTAAGCACAAGTTCAATATGATTGACTAAAGAAACGATTTAGTTACCCTTCCAATTAGTCCGAGATCTAGTACATCTCTGAGAAGGCTTCAATTCCATCTAAGCCTATTGCAGTAATGCTATATCAACATCTGCGAAATGAGGCCTAATCTATCTCAGTATCAAATTCTTTCTCTATAGGTCACGTAACTTCCGTTCGTTCTTTGCGGTAAGCCTCTAGTGGGGGCGGGGGCTATAGCCGTTTAAATTACTTGGATAATGCCAAGGTAACTGGGCTTATGCCTTAGCTCTAGTAAGGGGTCTGCGAGGGCTGCGTGCTCACTGATTGGACACTGAGCATCAGTCATTCTGTACTTGACCCGTGGGCGGAATTGAGCATGATCACTAATCTAAGTCCGTGCTGACTATGTACTGAGTGAACCTGAGCCTGAGCACTCTCACAACTTGGCCATTAGGGAAGATCAATAGAGAAATTAGAGAAATGTGCAATCTAAATGTTTTTGAATATGTAGCGGATTCATCATGAACAATACGCCTAATGCCCGAGATCCGTGTCCTGACTCCAAGAAACCAATCCCATCCCATCATAGCATAACATAAAAAAGGCAACCCTACGCTCGTGCAGAAAGGAAAGACATCGCAATTCATCGGGGCATCCATTTAGTCCCATTGGCCCTTATCTAGGCCACCCAAACCACCACCAGTATGCTTACCCAGCAACTTGGCAATATTGGATCCCCCGCTGCGCTGCTTGATGCGAAGCTCCTTCTCACGCTCACGTTCACGCGCGGCTGTATACGAGTTGACAGCACCGCCCTTCTTGGGACCCGAAGCTGCGGCTTTGGAGACACGATTGGAGGCGCTCGAGCTACTGGAAGACGATGAGCCAGTCGTAACACGACGCAGAAGTTGAGGAGGACGGAATCCAATAGGACCATCTCCGCCGCTACCGCTGTGGAATGCAAGCTTGGAGTTTGCAGAGCCAGAGTTGGTGCCTGAAGCAGAGTTGGAGGATGCTTGTCGGAGGAGTGCAAGGCGGTCGACCACAACTCCGCGCGTGCGGCGTGGGTGACTAGGTTTGGCGAAGGTACTGTCCGATTGTGGGTGATCATCATCGCCTTCTTCAGTGCCGGGAGTGCCTTCATCTTCTTCCTCGTGTTCTGCATCATCGAGAGAAGCATCCTCATGGAAGGAGTCATATTCGGGAGTTTCAGTAAGGAAGGATAATGTTTCACGAATCTCTGCTATGGTAGCTGGTTTCTTTGACATTGCGCTGGCGGGGGTGCGGCGGAGACGAGCTGCCGGGCGGTTGGTTGCATCTTCAGTTGATGGTTCGAGAGGGCGCTTGCGGTTCTGACCATCGCTCGTCGTATCATTCGACTGTTCTCCCGAGGGAGGGTCCTGTGATGTGCCTCCTTGGGAGCCGTCCTCTTCTTCCTCCAGGAAGTCAATATTGAAGTCATCATCAAATTCACGATCCTCAACAGCCTTGAAGAATGCAGCCTTTTTGGGGTTCTCAGCAATCTCGCCGATTTTCTCGTCTGCAAGGAGAGCACGGCGCATCTTAGCGAACTCGCGTTGCTTCTCACGACGACGTGCTAAGTGCTCGTCATCTGAGTCGTCGAGATCGAAGTCATCATCGGCATTCTTGCGACGACGGAGGGCTCCAGTGGTGATATCTCTCATCAACTTGGCGACATCTTTCTCGTCGCGGTTGCGATCGTGAACCCTATAAGAAAGTTAGCATCTTCTCATTAAATGTGTACCAAAATCTAACATACGCGTTGAGTGCGGCAAGTTGCTTCTCATCAACCACCTCGCCACTGTTGTCATTAATCATTTGGCGATCAATGGCGTTTTCTTCGCCATCGCTCTCGTCACTGTGACCTCCAAGGCCTGCATATTCATCCTCAGACTCTTCGGCGGCCTCATCGACAATGTCTTTCGCCTTGCTGTCCTTCTTGTTGTATTGCGGAGCAGGATTCTTCTTTATAGCCTTATCCTTCTTCATGACATTGAAGGCATTGGCGTCGATTTCAAAGTCGCCTTCATTATCATTCTCGTCGACCTGAGATAGTTCAGTTGCACGTCCTCGCCGCAACATTTTGCGCTTGCGGTCAGCAATGGGTGACTGAGTTTGACCCACAAGGACCGTGTCGACAGTGGACATGGGCGGGGTGCCTCTGAATCTCTTTGCAGGATCGAATGGTGAGAATACAAAGCCCTCATCCTGGGTCGGGTCGGGCAGCTGGGATTGGGAATACTCGGAGAAGGCATATGGCGCAGGCGACTCGGATACTCGGGTCACACTCTGCGCGTAGCCCTCCATAAAGTCTTTCTCCTGGGGCTGAGGCTGGCTGTCTGGAACAAGAATCTCCGATTCCTCCTTTCGAAGTTGAGGGACAGGCCGACCAGGGTCTGGGAGAGAGAAAGGTATGGTGGCAGGTTCCGCTTGGGTGCCAGCGCCATTGCCATCCAATGTGGACGCGAATGCTTGGGTAAGACCTAGGGACATATCACCCGGTGTTCCCATGCCAAGGAAGTTGGGTCGTTCGGCGGACTGTGGGACATAACTCGGGGCTCTCACAGGCGTTGAGGGCGGTTGAGGTTGGTCCTCGTCTTCATCGTCGCTAATCACGCGAGTTCGTCGCTTCCGTCTTGCGGTAGGCATCTCGTTCTCTACATCTGAAGGAGCGACCTCACTCTTGTCGTCTTCGTCGGCCTCCTGTTCAACGAAATCCCCGCCGCCATTGACGCGCTCGTTTTCTTCCTCTTGGTCGTCGTCATCTTCATCTTCACCATCACCTTCCTGATCAGACCCGGAAAGCTCGTAGTCATTATCCTCTTCGTCGTCATCGTCAACGTTGCTCTTCTTCCTAGCAGCTTTCTCTAGTCGGCGGATTTCGTCTGCCTCTTTGCGTGCTTTGTCAACGAGGTTTTCCATGTCATCCTCCATCGCTGCACGCTCCTCGGCCGTTTCAATGACAACTCCCTTGGCCCTGAGCTCTTCAATGCGCTCCCGGCGCTCTTTGGCCGCTTGCTGTCGGGCCCGCCATAATAGACTTGCAGAAAGCTCCGCGGAGTTCATGGAAGTCATTTTTCGGGTAGGAGATGTCAGGTGTGCCAATGCCTTGAGCTTGGTCATAGAGGGGTCTTCATGCAACTGCCTAGTAGGCAGGTTCTCAAACGCTGCAATGCGACGGCACTTGCCAGGGGATGTTACCACCTCGAGATCGCTATCGGAATCGTCTGAATCTTTTTGATGCGCAGCTACCGCTTGTCTGGAAAGCAGCACGCGGATAGGTGGTTGTGTCAGTGGGCGCGAAACTCTCTTCGATTTGAATCCCTCGGATTTGGGTTCAGGTACAGAAGTCGAGACATCTTGGACTGTAGGGGCCTTGGATAATGCATGTGGCTGGTTTGGCATCAGGAGGTCTTTCGGGGCAGGCAAATCTTCAACGTCCACATCCATATCCACATCAGCTGCTTGAACTTGGGCATGCTCAGAATCAGTGTTCGACTTAGTGGCAGGCAAATGACCTAGAACTGGAGAAGTATGAGGAGTATCTTTGGCTTTGGTGAGTAATTCTCCTCCATCAGAGGAATTTTGTGATCCGACTGCTGACGATGAATTTGCCGCGAGCTGCTCGGCCGGAGTGGCGGGTTGCATGAAGTTGAATTTGGCGAAGAGGCTTTCCTTGGTGATTTTCTTCTTTGTCTTGGCCTGGTGAGCTAGTTGCATGTTACGGCTCATTCGCTGAGTCTCCTGTCTCATCTCGTCCAGTGCCTTCTTGCTGGCTTTCCGGGGCTGGCGAGCCTTCTGGGAAAGCTTGCTCGCAGAACGTGGGTCATCAGCGCCACTCTCTTCGCCTGAGAGTATCTCCGAGCTGAACTGCTCCAACTGAACTCTTCGGATGGCCTTTTTCCTTTCAGCCTCGGCTTTCTCTCGCTCCTCGCGTTGCTTGCGCTTTTGAGCGACAAGGGACAAGAAACGAGCGTTTCCTTTAGGCTTCTTATCCGCGGTATTTTCTGTGTCGTCATTTCCGGTGTCTGGGTCGTTATGCGGTTCCCCTGGAGAGGACACAAAGAGAGGAGTATCGGGTCTGGAATGTGGAGGGGTTTGGCTCGTTCTGTTCTCCGCGCTGGGGGACTTGTTTATGGATTTATGCTTTCTGCTCGGGCCAGCCGTAGGTAGATCATCATCATCACTAGATTCGCCAATGGGCGTTGGTTGTGGTTCGGGCTGCTGGGGCGTCTCGCCCTGTTCTCTTTCTGATCGGATGGCCTGTGACACGCGAGCAAAAGCCGAATCTTCATGCTCAGGTCTAGCCAGACTAGGATTGCCCTGTAAACGGGCAGCCATGCGGCCTTTTGGTCTATACACCTCATCTGCGCTGTCCGAGTCGTCTTCCGAGTCCTGCAATGGGCCATTCTCGCGTGCACGAGGATCTAGTACCGAATCACGCCCTAGATCAAGCTTCGAAACTGCATTTGTTGACTTGGCAATTTGAGTGTCATCTTCCGAATCGCTGTCGAATTCCGCCATCATGGCCTTGATCTTCTGCCCGGGCGTAATAATGTTCGGCGAATCGCCCGCGGGCGACACGGAACGCGTCGACCGTGGTGTGGATGGTGAGGACATGTCGTGAATAATATGGTGGGTTATGGTGGGATTTAGGAAATAATTTCCATAATGATATCGATTGTACTTGGAGGCGAGCTTTAGCACTTCCAAGATCCGGAATAAGGTGGAGTGGACACCAGGTTCAAGGGCGCATAGTCTGAACGCGATGCGCGTTCCTCGCGTTGCTAGGCCATACACGTGATCTTATCTTATCGCCTAATTTATTTTCCAAGTGGACGGTAATTGGCTTTATTATTCCAAACTACAGGCGAACTATGGAAATGAGGATTGTGCAAGCGATATTCTCTTTTTTAAATCCTTCTTTGTGGGGGGTTTTTGTATGATTCTGTTGGAAGAATCTCTTCTGGTAGATCAATGCTGAGCTGCTAACGACGATGGGAGTTTTGCTCATGCTGTCCACGGGTATTCCCAGAAATCTCATAATACAAAGCTTGATGCTATTTTCTGAATAGACGCCGAGATCACCCACGGACTCCTCAAATATCGCGTAAGAAAAAAAAAAACGGAAGCATAAGATACAATCACATTGCAGGTGAGGGGTTGGGCCAATCACCGCTAATAGTCCTTGAGAACTGAAGACTTGTTCAGGGGAATCATGGAATCTCAGAACCAAACAATCTTCTCAAGTAAATCGGTTCGCCGAACAAAAGCCGGAAACCTGAAGCGCGTGACAAAACGGGATTCTCGAATGAGATTAAATCTCGATGTCGATGTCCATATCCAGGGCTGCAATGTTCTCATCGTCGGTGTTGCGGTAACTGATCATGAAACCGTTCTTGGGCTTCTTTGGAGTGATGCGAGAGGCCGCAGTTCCCTTTTGTGCGGGACTGCCTTTGGATTTTGCGGTACCAAGAGTATCTTTTGGGTTCTCCGCAGAAGCAGCGTCGGCAGCAGCGGATTTGGGTGCTCCGCTGAGATCGTGGTGAGTTTTGGCTACTGTTCGCACGCGCATGAAGGGATTTGGGGCGGCCTCTCCTCGTGCAACAGCCTCGGCTGCCTTCTTAGCTGCCTTTCTCTCCTCGAGCTGAGCACGGCGGACGTTCTCAATATTAAGCTTCTGGTTGCGAATGTTCATCAGGTGGACTCGTTCGGCTTCCGATGGACCCCTGTCGACCTCTTTCTTGACAAGACTTGTTCCCCAGGACAAGGTCGGATTGACCATTTTCTGCAATTCTGCCTCGATCTTCTCGGCTTCCTCCATATTTCCGTTGACTTTGGCGAATTCCAAATTTCTCTCAAGTTCGAGACGATTGAGGACATTCTTCTTCTGGTCGAAAGCACCCTGGCGACGGAGTTTCTCGTTCAATTCGTCCCGAGTGAACGTGTGGTTGAGGAGACGATTGATATCGGCGACCTTCGACTCAACCTTGCCCTTTGTAGCCAGCTTGCAATCCTCAACAGCGAGAGTCTGAACGTAACGGCGGTACTCGGCCTAGTTGACTGTTAGTTGGCTTCCAAGATTTGAGGCAAAGGAACAAACCTCAGTAAGTGGAGAATTAGAGAAAGTGACGAATGGGAAGTCCCTGACAGCCTTTCCATGTGCCAGCTTGACATACTGATCCGTGACAAATGAACGACCGTTTTCGCCCTCCAAAGCGTATGGCTTCCCCTGAGAGATTCCTAGAAAAAAGGTCAGCGTGCATGAACAAGCGAGGCGGCATAAGTTCTTACCAGTAATCAGCCCCAGGCGATATTCATTCTGGCCACTATCAGGGTGCGGGCCAATGCTCAACCGAGCGTAGCAGCCGATCATAGCATTCTCAAATCCAGGGTAGAAGCAAACTTTGGCAAAGTTATTACGTCCAACTTGGGCTCGTCGGATTTCCCGAAGCTCGGCGGGCGGGTCATCCTTGGGAATAGAAACAGAACGGCCAACGCGGTCATCCAATTCAAGATCACTCTCCGCATCAGCATCTTCATCGGAGACATCGGATCCCATGGAGCGCGAACGGCGGCGCGATTTTGTAGGGTCTCGGCGACGAAGTTCATCCCGCTTGCCCTTCTGCTCACGCTGGCGCTTGTAGGCCTCGATGGCTCCGGACGTTTCTCCGACTTTGCGGCCACCAAGAGTGGTCTTCTGGCGCGAACTCTTGCGCTGATTATCATCCAGGCCGGCAGACCCTGCCTTTCGTTTGGCTTTCTTGGCCGCTCGTGCTTCCTCGCGTGAGCGAGATGCTAGAAGGCGGCGCAGAGCCAGATCCTGGTTGTGGCGATCGACTTGCTGGGCACGTTCGGAAAGGGTTTCCTCGCGCTGAATTTCAGGCATAGCCATGATGTCCTTTTTATCCTGGGCTGAGTAGTACAGCTTATCATATGGGAAAATGGGGCGATCCTCGTCGTTGTCATCGGAGTTGTCGGCCTCTGACTCGGACTCGGACATGGGGGCAGACTGGAGCGAGTGACGAGATCCATCGTCGGACCTGTATAGATTTGCAAGTCAACGAGGTCGTTCAGTATCAAAATAGAGGGGTACTTCTCACACTTCACCCTCTGATTCATCTTTCGCGGGCTTGCGGGATCGGCGGCCTACCGATTTGGCAGTTCCTTTGCGACCCATGGCTGCAGGTGAGGTATCTCGGTCTTGGGCGTGTGAAGAAGCGGAGTGCGCCGGTGATTTGGGGGGTGGTGAAGTTTCCTCCTCAGAGTCACCCGCCAAAGCGAGCAGCTCAGCATCCAAATCGTCCGCCATTGTGAATATCTCTCAATACAGTTATACCTTCAATAGAACTCAATAAATAAGAGGCCTATATATCAATAGGCATTCAACGGCCCCAGAACAATAGGAGTATTCGTCCTCCTATGGACTTATTCTCTCCTTTCCAGGAGTCGTTCCAAATATGGAGAAGCAGGCAAGGCTTGCAAAAGGTGGTCCAAAACGTCTGTTCTGGATGAAGTAATAGCCTAATTTCGACAAACACTCTATACACGGGGTAAAGGTAGAACGTAATAGAGGGTATCGTAAAAAGCGCGTAGATGGTCGTCGCAAGTTGGCCTTTGCCGTCAACTTCATGACGTTCAATGCCAAGCCGATAATAAGCGCGCGGCAGCGCCAAGACAGTCTAAGCGGCCAATGCGCGACCTCTGAGCTGCGTGTCTTGAATGGGCTTCATTAGTATCCCAATTTAATTTCTCGATGTTGCCTTTACCAATTCTGCGCAGGTGCGCCTTGTCGCATTCTTGTCGTTCTGCATCGGCAACAACTCCTATTCTTCTCGATTTCCTCATCCCATCAACATCTAAGCATGGCCAATGTCGGCAGGCCTCAACTACCGCCGGCACACCCGGTGGCTCCAAACCTCTATATGTTCTCAGCAAAGAGCAACGAGATTTCATGGACAGCGCCCTGCGAGTAAATCAAGCCGGTGAACTTGCGGCGACGCTGATCTACAAAGCCCAAACGCCTCAGATTGTCCGCTCATACCCGCACCTCCGACCCTTGATGAAACACATGTACGACCAGGAAGCAGGGCACCTCAAGACCTTCAATCACCTCATCACAAAACACCAGATCCGCCCGACCGCCATGTATCCGGCATGGGAGGTAGCTGCCACATTTTTGGGTTGGTCCACCGCGGCATTGGGCCGCGAAGCTGCGATGGCGTGCACCGAGGCTGTGGAGACTGAAATTGGATCACACTACAACGATCAAGTAAGAGAGATTCTGTCCTGGGAGGCAGATGCCGAAAGGCGGGGGGAGGAGCTGGATGAGGAATTGAAAGAAATGTTGGCCACATTGCGGAGAATTCGTGACGAGGAACTAGAGCATCTCGACCATGCCGTGGCCAACGACTCAAAGGAGGCGAAGCCCTACGACCCGCTCGTCGATGTCATTCGTTTGGGATGCAGGACCGCTATCAAAATTAGTGAGAAGATCTGATCGGGCAATTTGGTGAATTACATGTGCCGGGGTTGCACCGCCATTTATATATATTGTTATTGTCCAAGACTCCATGTATTATACCGACTACTTATCTCGATATTGCTAACTATATTCAACTTTGTATATTCTAATTCCGAGTTATGTCCCCAGTCTAATCTATCTATCGTCGCAGGGTATCAGTAAAATAACCGCCTTCTTTAGTCTCACGATTTTTGACTTCCATCCCCGGCGTTTGGTACTCAGGAGTCAATGGGGTTCTGCTCCAAGTATTCCACAAAGTTTTGGGAGAATCGCACAACCTGCTGGTAGACCTCCTCAAACCCATTAGCACCCCCATAGTAAGGATCTTTCACCACCTCACCACTGCCAACGCGATCGAGCAATTTCCCACCCTTGCCGAAATCACCAAACAGCCGCACCTCGGCAACCTTTGTGTCAGCCCCGTATGCACCGATGGCGGCATCTACATGCGACCGCGTACTCTTCGAGCTTGGCCTGATGTCGGTCTTCCTCTGCAGAGTCGCAATGACCGAGTCGCGCACATCCTGCAGGTCGCGGAGATTGGACTTGTCCATAGCAAGCAAGTAGTCAAAGGTGAGGAAATCTTCCCTTGTCACTTTGCGGGCGGCATGCTCGTAGTCGGTAATTTTGTGGCGGCGCAAGGTAGACATGGTACGGGAGTCGGGCGGCTCAAGGCTGTGGTAGGCGGCTGTGCCGGCGGAGTCGATCTCACCGATAGAGGGATGGGCGCCGGCTAGGTGGCGGAACACTCCTTCGGCCATTGGAGAACGACCTAGATAGGATTAGCATCTGGCAAATGGTGGGGGAGAACCGAGTATGATGACGAACAGATGTTTCCCAGGCAGACAAATAACACCTTGGCGGGGCGCGCGTTCGAGTTGGAAGCCATAGTGGGGTCGCAGGGATCACCAAGGAATCTTTGTTTTTGTGATTTTTGAGAATATGGCTAGAATGTAAGTAAGACGATAGTATACAAGGTAGGGCCTGGTTTGAGTTTGACGATGCAGGGCGGGTTATCTATAGGCCCTAAGTTGGGGTCTCCACCACCTTTGGAAAGATGGATATATTGACTTGCATTACGTCGGTGCTGTACAGAGTACATATGTCGTACACTAAAGCAAAAACTCAAAGATGTGTAGATCAAGGCACCTATGTTGTAGCATATTGAAGCTAGAGGTAGATCACCTATTCATAGTAGGAACAGGCAGCTGTTTTTCAGTGAAAAAAAAAGTGAAAATGAAGAAAATGAACAGTAACCACAGTGTGACTTCCAATGACCTCAGATGCTAAAAAAAGAAACCGAACTAAATACAACATCCATAGGCTAGCGAGTAAGAACAAGGCTATCACTGGCTGTCACTGGGTCTCCAGGGCTGAGATAATGGATGAGCCACAGGTGACAAGCCCAATGTGGCTGAGTTCCAGCCAGTTGGCCCAGTAACAAGATCGTCCACTCCAACAGGTGGAGTTTCTCCTCTACAACAACCCGTGGCTCACTGTTTTCAGGACTTCCTCCTTCTTTGATTGCTGCAATATTATTGGAGCTTTTTGTTCCGAAGCATCTGAAGAATCTTCTCTTATTTCTAAGGTCCCCTGCATCTCTATACGGCCTAATCAGCGTGTGAAGATACCTCCACAAGGCAGTGCGGAGCTGCACGGACACTTCTGATTCGTCCCCATACCCACCGTCATCGTTGCCGGGAATCAAAGGCGTCGTAAACAACAGAGGGGGCAACCTGGATTTATTCCACATTTTTTTGATCGCTGTTCTTCGTCAACTTCTGCGGTCGTGTGACAATCAATACTCCATATACCCTCACCTTGTATCGAATTTCGCTTGCGATCCTCCTTCATATCTGAAACGACGCCGAGAAATAAGATCCGTGAATCAGACTAGTGATTCTTCCCGCTGACGCTTAATATTCCACTCGGCGCTCCTGGCGCAATCTCCAACAACCCCCGGCTACAAACTTGGGGCGGGATAATTTCGCTGAACTTGATCCCCAGGCTCCTCCATTATGGCCTATAATCGTGTGGCCGCCGGTAAGTGCTCCTATGGCCTTATTGGACCCTCTCTCCCCCCATCTCATTCATATTGCCCGTGCATTCTCCATCTCTCTGAAACTACTCGAATCAGTGCTGGTCATTTTGATTCAATGGTCTCAGTACGATTTGCGCTGTGAAATCATTGCCGTTCAAGTTCTCATTGAGGAATCTTCAACATCTCAAAACTAACGATGTCGCGAACAGACCCGTTCGGAGACGAGCATACCTCGCCCATCTTGAATCCTTCCCACCTTACTGGATATAGCAATCGCACTCCTTCCCCTGGGCAACCACTAGAACATGGCTACCAGCTCTCAGACAACCCATATGGGCCTCAGTCCCATCTTCCCATGCCATCCAGTGATCGCTTGGCCGAACAACCTACTGTGAGTATCACAAGATAACAACGACACATGCTGGGTACAAGTCAATACTGACAAATTATGTTGAAAACAGTACTCGGTTGATCATGTCGATAACTCTTATGGCCATCATGAGACATACGACGCACACCATCCTTATCCTGGTCACGAGTATTCGGTTGACCCTGAAGCCCACCATGACGCCTACTACACCCAACCCTACCAGCCTACACACACCCCACATGACGATTATGACCTAGGCCAGTATCCTGAGGGAGGACACACCCCCTTTGAAACCGACCAGCCCATGCTGCAACCAAATGAAAACCCCTTCGGGCCGGACCCGTATACTGAGTTCCACGATGAACCGGCACCGACGCCCAGCCCTGCGCCTATCCGCCGTTGGAAGACGGTGAAAGAAGTCCAACTGTTCAACGGCAACCTCGTCTTAGATTGCCCCATTGCGCCGAAATTGCTCAGCCAAGTACCTCACGCAGAGCCGCCAGGTCGCGATGAATTCACTCACATGCGATATTCAGCAGCGACATGCGATCCTGCCGATTTCTTCGAAGAGCGATTTACCCTTCGTCAGAAGCTTTTCGCAAAGCCTCGCAACACCGAACTCTTCATCGTCGTGACCATGTACAATGAAGATGACTTTCTCTTCGCGCGAACAATGTCTGGTGTGTTCAAGAACATTGATTACATGTGTTCACGCACCAGCAGCAAAACGTGGGGCAAGGATTCGTGGAAAAAGATTGTAGTATGTATCATTAGCGACGGCCGTGCCAAGATCAACCCTCGGACACGCGCTGTGCTGGCAGCTCTGGGGGTGTACCAAGACGGCATTGCGAAGCAGCAAGTCAACGGCAAGGACGTCACCGCCCATATCTACGAGTACACCACTCAAGTTGGGTTGGAGGTAAAGGGCACGCAAGTGCATCTCAAGCCTCGGTCTGGGGCTCCAGTGCAGCTGATTTTCTGTTTGAAGGAAAAGAACCAGAAGAAAATCAACTCTCATAGATGGTTCTTTCAAGCTTTCGGTCGTGTCCTGGATCCCAACATCTGTGTCCTCTTGGATGCGGGTACCAAACCTGGCAAGGACTCGATCTATCACCTCTGGAAGGCCTTTGATGTCGAGCCAATGTGCGGTGGTGCATGTGGTGAGATCAAAGTCATGTTATCACACGGCAAGAAATTGCTGAACCCGCTGGTGGCTGGTCAAAATTTCGAGTATAAGCTCAGTAACATTCTCGATAAACCGCTTGAGTCTGCATTCGGTTTCATTACTGTGCTGCCAGGTGCGTTCTCCGCCTACCGGTTCGTCGCACTTCAAAACGACAAGAACGGTCAAGGTCCACTAGAGCGGTACTTCCTAGGCGAGAAGATGCACGGTGCCAATGCCGGTATCTTCACGGCCAACATGTACCTGGCTGAAGATCGAATCCTATGTTTCGAGATTGTCTCCAAGCGGAAGTGCCGATGGCTCCTTCAGTACGTTAAGTCGTCGACTGGTGAAACCGATGTGCCCGATCAGATGGCCGAGTTCATTCTCCAGCGTCGTCGTTGGCTGAATGGTAGTTTCTTCGCTGCAGTTTACGCCATTGCCCACTTCTACCAGATCTTCCGCAGTGACCACAGCTTCATTAGAAAGTTTATGTTGATGATTGAGTTCGTCTATCAAGCAATTGCGATGATTTTCGCGTGGTTTGGAATTGTAAGTCCCTCTCCCATTCACCGTTCTTTATTCTTCATGCTAACGCCTTGCCCAGGGTAACTTCTTCTTGGTTTTCCATATCTTGACAACATACTTGGGCTCAGATGATCTACTGGGCACTGCTGGTAAGGTTTTAGGCATTGTCTTTGAATGGCTTTACCTGGCAACTCTCGTTACATGCTTCGTCTTAGCTCTCGGTAATCGACCTGGCGGATCCAACAAGTTCTATATGACCATGGTCTATTTCTGGATCGTGATCATGATATATCTTGCATTTGCTGCCATCTTCGTCACGGTCAAATCGATCCAAACAGAGGTGGCCTCAAACACCTTTACGGTCAGCCAACTTTTCACCAATAAGACGTTCTTTTCTATCATCGTCTCACTTGGATCGACCTATGTCATGTGGTTCCTCGCCTCGTTTATCTTCCTGGATCCATGGCACATGTTCACCAGTGTAAGTGATCCTGTGGATCTAATTTTGTTGAGTCATCTAACATCCTCCAGTTCATTCAATACATCTTGCTCACGCCAACATACATCAACGTCCTCAACATCTACGCCTTCTGCAACACCCACGATATCACATGGGGTACCAAGGGAGATGACAAGGCCGAGAAACTGCCCTCAGCGCACCTTAAGCCCGGCGGTAAGGTCGACGTCAATATCCCGCAAGACGACGGCGATCTGAACGACCAGTATGAGGCGGAATGTGCCAAGTTCGCCACGAAGCCCCCTAAGGAGGTCAACATTATTTCGGAGGAAGACAAGCAAGCCGACTACTACAAGGGATTCCGCAGTGCCGTCGTGCTCGCCTGGGTATTCTGCAACTTTGCTCTTGGTGCCGTTGTTCTGAGCGCTGCTGGTTTGGAAACCTTTGAGGACTCATCCACCAATTCCGACGATGCACAGACCGAACGCTCCATGATCTACATGGAAGTCATTCTTTGGAGTGTTGCTGCCCTTTCAATGTTCAAGTTTATAGGCGCAATGTGGTATCTGGTTGTTCGTATGGTGAGTTATCTACCCTGCACTAAGATTTTTGTCGATGACATACTAACCTTCATCTTCTAGTTCCGTGGCGTTTGATTTAGTAAACTTTTAAGCATGACGATTGTGTTTATTTGCGCTATGCAGCAATGCTATGTTTTCATATATCCCCTGATTTTATCCGGATTTGGATTTGGTTACAATGCCACGGCGGGCCCGGTCTGGTACGCAAATGGAAATGGAAAATTTTATGCGTTTTATGACTTCCCCGCGATATCTCATTTGTCCTTTTTGACATGCGGAATGACATGATATCGTGGTTTCTCTGGTTTTTGTTTTTTATCGTTCGACTTGATGCATGATTTGCATGTGCTTACCTTTGCATCTGCATACTTGGGCTCATGGTTTTTGTTTTTCTCATGTGGTTGGGAATTTATGTACTCTATCTGTAGATATAGAGGAGTATTGATTATTCCGCAAATTTTTTGTGTTCATTCAAAATAAGCTGGTCTCTGTAGATAAACCCAAGGCATCACAAGAACTGATCACTCACGGTTGAGCTATGCGAAGGTTTCAAGTAGTGAGGAAATTTAGTGAAACACTTCTATCAGCTATGAGAGTTCCTCGGAAGTCCAAGTAAGCTATATTGCTCCATTATATGTCTATTAGAGCGTACACCAAATATACTGACACCAACTCCCTAATCCGAAATCCAATCAACTTCAAGAAGCCTGGTTCTTAGAATGCACACATAATGCAATCCCTCCAAGTACCAGCCCCATGCCCAACCATGTCTCCTTTGCAATGACCTTGCGCTCGACATACCACTCCCCAAGAACAGTAAATAAGAACGCACTCGAGTTTGCAAGCGGCACAGTCAAGGAAAGTTCTACACAGCAACTGGTTAGCAATTCCACATCTCAAACCCGTAGCATCAGAAGCCAAGAAAGTCAAAGAATGGCACTTACCATGTTTTCCAACAAGCAAAAAGAACCAAATACTGCCCGTGAGATTGATAACCAAGGGAATCGCATACGCAGGCGTGCGAAGCAGGTTCACAACCGTCCAGAAAATAGTAACAACCTTCGCCCGCAGCCACGACTGCTTCACAGGGGCTCCATGCCTCCACGCCGCCGTGGGTAGATCATCCTGGTCCTCATCTGCGCCGCCTTCCCTGTCTTCCGTAGTATTCCGACTGCCACTCTGTCCAGCAATTCCACCATCCAGCTCCGTATCTGCACCAGCAGTCTTCGGCTTTCGGTTCACATCACTGCTACTCGTACTCCGCCTCCGCACACCTTCCTCGTCGCCGGAGTCACGGTCTTCCTCCCGAGAGAGCAATTCCTGTTCCTCCCCTTCATCCGTGAATCCGGTTTCTGGTGAATCTTGTGAGCATCCTCTTCCGCGCCCCGAGGAATTCAATTCGTTTGCTTGCTTCTCTTGTCGGGCGTTGAAGTCTGCTGCTGCGCGGCGGATAAAGGGGGTTGTGAAGCCCCATGCGACGCCAACGAGGAGGAAGGAGAGCACATAGCTGAAGACGGAGGGTTCAGGTTCAATGGGAATGCCGGCATCTGGATCCATGTTGGTGTTTGGGAACCTGGGAGGCTGTCGGAGGATTAGTTGGTTCGTTGCGCGGTGTTACTGCGGCCGTGACGTTGGTGCAGGCGATAGGTTGCTGGTCTGTGCGTTGCCGATAAGGTAAGGTTGCTTCTGACGATTGTTGGATCTATAAAATGGATCTAACGGTTGGAATGCTTGATTTTATCGACATATCAAGGATTTTGGGGATTTAGGATATGAGAAGAATGGACAGAGTAGTTTTACATGTATTTTAGGCCTTATCAATGAGTTAAGCCCGCTCGCAGGCCAATTTGGAATGTCCTGATGTTGATCCATGGCATTCTCAAAATGATACTTTAAGACGTGAGCTACACAAAGTAAGGTTTGGCCATAGTAGTGCTGATATATCATTTAGGAGACAATATATGAATGAATAGATTGTGTTGCCTGGCAGGATTTCACACCGTGGAGGCTTCAATCACGTCCGAGTGGAATGAACCAAGCAGACAAATTTATCAATAACCCACAAGCCACAAGCCCACAAGTACACTGCACAAGAAAAGAATCAAGTACAAAATAATTTACTCTCAGTAGGTCAATTGCGAGCCTCCGATCAAGCTTGCCCGGCCGTCACAGAGGGTGTCGCCACGTCCGATGGATGTGAAACATCATCAAGACCGATTCATCACAGAGCAAAAAGATGACCCACCACCCGCCTTCTCCCTCGAACCCACTTCATCAGAGTCCACAGCACCAGAATATCAGTTCCATTTTAACCGTTGCTTAAGCGAACGCCGAGGCTTGAGAAGACGAACGCCCACTGTGTCTGAGAAAAGAGTCCTGGAGTGCTTCTTGCTCCGATGTGCTCAAACGGTCGCCCGTGCAGCATCCCCCTACTTCTCTCACCAGTAACAGAAATTCCTCCTCTTTATGTATCCTCACTGGCATCTTGAACCGTGGCAGCCCGCTGCCCATCCCCCTTCAGTGCCGCTCGTCACAGGTGAGTCTGTTGTCGAATGCCTCCACCAGTTATCCTCCTCCATCAGTCCAGGTGAGTCTGGTGTCGAAGCCCATATAAAGTAAGACAGATCGGAAGAGAGAGAAAGAGGGAAGAAGCAAAATTAAGAGAAGGAGGGTATTTATATGTTGAGGGCAAACACCACAACTTCTGAATTGGGAATGAACCTTGACACCTACGTGACAGTAGCATATGAATTAGAGGTGGATTGAATTTCAATTCCCTATCAATTCTTGTAATATCAAAGCTATACTTAAGACTTAAATCTCTAAAGAACAACTAATTAACTTCAGCTACCTTGAAAAACCTATCTGTTTGAGATAAAGTAACAATGCAGCATCCCCCTCCACACAACCAAGCTTTATACTATGAGTAAATCAGTAATAAAATCAGAACATACATCCTGGTCCCCCCAAAGCCAAGCGACCAGTGATCATCCGCTTCTAAAGCGGCGATCTGGTGGTGATATAATTGCTTTTATTGATCGGGATGGCAAGCATAGCTTTGATATGCTTGGTATGAAGAAACGCGGTTGCAAGATAGCGTTGACTTTCCGATTGATACTTGGATACAGTTAACTTGAAATATCTATCAGAAAGTGATATTGGATGAAGTATATGAAGTATATGAAGTATATGCAGTATATGAAGTATATGCAGTATATGAAGTATATGCAGTTTATTAAGATAAGACTTTCTCTTTATGCAGGGCACCGCAAGAGACTCTAAGCAACAAAATGAAAAAAATAGACAGCGAGGTCAGTAGATAGCCAAAAAGGCATTGAAAGAAAGTATAAAAGCACGAAGAAAAAGGATAAGGAGATATAGACAAAGAATGACAGATATCAGGAAGAGGGCAGTGACAAAATTTAGTTGCCACCCTTCGACTTCTTTCCAGGAATGAGTTTATTCACTGATTCCTTCATATCCGCACTGCTCCACCGCTTCACACGGATGAGGTAGTACATGAGAGTAGCTATGAAAATATTGAAAGCAATGAAAGCCCACATGATACCGAAGTTGCGCCATCTGTCAGAATAGGAGATACCGGCCGTGCTCAGGTACTGATCTGCGACTTTGAGAGAGCAGTAACTGCAATCACTCGTAGCCTCGGGGTTGAGCAACTGACCACCAGCGGCGGTGACATACTTCATGAGGTACTGTCCGCAAGTCTGGCCGGAGGGAGGATCGAAGATGGCCAGTTCGGAGGTCGAACATACCACCTGGCGATTGTGAAGCTGTGTTCCAGCCATGCCACCGATCCAGTATGTGAATGGCGAGACACGGTACATGAAGATCCAGAAGCCGGGAAGGGCAGATGGGGGCTGCATCACACCACAGAAAGTAAGAGACATCGCGAAGAGAAGAACGACTACTGCACTGGCGGTTGTTTCGTCTGGGAGACCAGCAATGACCATGTGGGTGAAGGTGCTGGCGTAGATGAAGAAGACAATGCAGAAAAGAAGGACGGTTCCCTGGGTTGCCGAGTCGGGAATTCCAACGACAGCATAGAAGTAGGAAGCATAGGTCAATATACCCATGACGATCATGAAGGGGATCTCCACAATGACGTTTGCGATGAGGAAAGCTTTCCAGGAGTAAGACTTGCTGGGACGTTCACGTCCCTCGTAGAGCGATCGCTGGCTGACGAACACGGGCATGATCTGCTGAGATTAGCTTAGGTCCACTTGCTTGAATTCTGGGTTGAGCATACCTGTTGTGCCAATGAAGAGAAGATTGTACAAATCATGAAAAGAGAGTAGATGACGGTCTGCATGCCTTGCAGCGACGTTTTCGCACCGTAGAAAGAGAAACCAATGAATAGACCAGAGACAATTCCAAGTCCCCATTTGGCCAGAATGTAGGCTGGCATGCGCCAGTATTGCTGGAACACACGGTATGTGACCTGGGTCAATTGGAACCAGAATGGCATGGCGAATTCAGAGTGACCTTGGGATGCATCATCAACGGCAGAGGACTCGTTTGACTTTTCGTGATGAATTCGCTCGAGCTCAGTTTGAACCTGTGTGCTCTCGTTGCTCTGCTTCCACACATCGAACCAGTCCTGGCCCTTGTCATTCTTACCAGCATTGACAATGCCCAGCATGTATTCAGCTGGATTCTCGCTATCATCACACTTACGCGCACCGTTAGATTCGAAGTACTCGAGCATTGTGCTGGAGTTCTCTCCGACCGGACCAAAGTAAACAGTCTTACCGCCTCGGGCGAGGAACAGTAGCTGATCGAATTGTTGGAAGAGCATGGCGCTGGGTTGATGGATCGTGCAAAGAACTGCTTGACCATGCTCGGCAAGCTTGCGAAGGAATGAACAGATAGCCCAGGAGCTTTGAGAGTCGAGACCACTAAGACATAGTTAGTATTTGAAAAGCATGAAAACTTGTTGTATGGGGCACTTGCCTGGTGGGCTCATCCAAAAAGAGTAGCAGCTTGGGTTTGGCGGCCAATTCGACACCGATAGTCAACAGCTTGCGCTGCTCAACGTTCAGACCCTCACCAGGGACACCGACAATGGCTTCCGCAAACTCCTCCATCTTCAACATTTTGATCACATCCTCGACATAGTCGTACTTCTCCTTAACCGAGACGGAGGCTGGCTGACGCAACATGGCAGAGAATCGTAGAGACTCACGCACAGTAGCAGTATCGAGGTGCAGATCCTGCTGTTGAACATAACCTGTCTTCCGCTGGAAACTCTCATCCAATTCACGGCCATTGACAAACATATCGCCAGTGATAACACCCATTGATGTGCGGTGCGCCAATACGTCAAGCAAAGTCGTCTTACCAGCGCCACTGACACCCATCAGTGCAGTGAGGGTTCCAGGCTTGACCCATCCGGAAACATGATCTAAGAGACGACGTGGCTCGCCCTTAATCTCGATATCATAGCACACATCGCGCCAAGTGAAGGTATCGGTCTGAGCCTCCATAGCACCCATTCCCTTGTCTTCTGTATCCGCAGCAGCATGGGATTTAGATGCCTCGGTACTTTCGACATCGGACCCGGACTTGTTGCCCTGGCGGAATCTGGCAGGCTCGTGACCGCGACGGAAGACCAGAGCCTCGGCGGTGCTTGTAGTAGCAGAGTTCAGCTCGCTTGCGACAAAGTAGATCACCATGAAACCGACCAAGAAGGCTATCAGGATACCAAAGTTTCGCCAGACATGGGTGTAACTGTAAGAGTAATTTAATTCAATATACCGGTCACCATTGACTGTTGTAGAGCCTGCCACGGAGCCAGCCGCAGTGCAACTGAAGGCGTTGCCTGATAGGTCGGCGTAGGAGGGAACATAGGACGAGCAAGGGAACTCGCGAGCATGGAACTCGTTGGCGATCAGGATCTCGAAGGCGTAGTAGATAGGATTGAGATAATGAAGCCATTCGAACCACGGATGCATAGATGGAACAGGGAGGACAAAACCGGTGTAAACAACGAGGATCAGAATCATGACACCTGCTAGACCCATTGCCTGTGAAATGGTTTTGGTGATGGCGGCCAATGTGCGGAAGACTGCACTCATGACGAACGTGATAATGAATGTGATGAGGAAGTAGAGGAAGAAGTTGGATGCTTCTCGTTTCAGACCGGCCAGGAAGTATAGGATGATGTTGAACACGACAGACAATGCAAACTTGACTGGTATATCACTGAGCACACCAGCAATGGCTTCCGTGGCAGGATGATAAAAGGCAAAGGAGTTATGCTTTTCGACAATTGGGCGTTGCGAGTAGAGACTGTTGATTTCGGACATTGCGGTGAGGGCATTGAGAAGGACAGCAAAGAATAGAGTTGCACCCTTGGACGTAAAGCCTGCAGTTGCATCCGGAGTCCCATAGAAGACTGATCCGATGATCAGAGCCATGATAATATTAGTAACGATCGTAGATATAGTTGCAGCGGCATCGTTCCAGAGTCGTTGATAGGCACGAACGGTGTTAAGTTTAATTTGCATAGGAACACTGATGATATATGGGGACGTGGGCCGGGTGTGTTTGGCCTGGGCGCCACGCTTCCATTGCTGGAGATCAGCCACGGCTTGCACATCATGTCCAACGGGATTTTGTCCTTCATATTCAGCAATGTCATTCAGCAATTGCTTGTATTGAGGTGACTTGAGCCATGCAGCCTCAAAGTCCTCCGGTGTACGGGGAACACGATTTTCCATGCCGGGCTTGGCTTTCCGCTCTTGAGTATTTGTGATAGAGGTGAGGAAATCTCCAGTGGTCTGTCGAGTCGGACAATCCCAGCCTTGGTTCTCAAAGTAGGACTTGGCTGCGGCAGCACGTCCGAAGAAGATTTGGTGGCCTTCGTAAAGTACAATCACCTTGTCAAATACGTCGTAGATGCTTTGACTTGCCTGATAAGCAGCGACGGCATGGCATGAGCCAGTGATATTAGCGGACAGTCGTAAAGCCTCAACAAACTTCAATGCCGTGGCGGAATCCAACCCTCGGGTAGAGTTGTCCCAGGCAGCGATTGGAGCATGGGCTACAGCCATCTCTGCAATACTGACACGCTTTCGCTCACCACCCGAAACACCACGGATGAAATCGTCACCGACGCGCGTGTTATATGTGTGACTCAATCCAAAGACAGCCATGATGATCTGAGCCATGTATTTGGAAAATTCTTTGCGTGACATGTCTTGGAACCGACGAGCGGGAGTTCGTGTTGCAGCCGCAAACTCCAGAGTCTGACCGACGGTCAAATTGGGGAAGTGTCTGTCAACCTGTATAGTTCTTAAGTCAGCAATATGTCTATTGGCGTGGTCGATGTTGGGATTGTACCTCTTGGTTGTATACTAGTTCGCCCTTGAACTCTTTGATCATGCGAGATTGGGGAATTCCTAGTAATTGTTAGTTCTGCTGTGACATATTAGAGCTCTAGTCTTACCATTGTAATGGATGACACTCTCCTTATCCATATTCAGACCATGCAGCTCTCCAGTCATGGACTTCAGAAGTGTACTGCAGCCGGCACCTGGCCGACCAAGCACAAGCAACAGCTCCCCATTTTTCAAAAGGCCATTAAAATCCTTGAGAATTCGCCTTTGGGGAGAGTGAGATTCACGAATGATTTGAGGCAACCGGAAAGGGGCAGTCAGGGTCGATGTGACTGTATCTTGGAACTGCAGCGCAGCGCCCGATCCATATACATTGAGTTGTTTGAAAATGACATCCGATGAATGTCCCGAGTGGTCACCGTCGCGGTTGAGATCGTTGAAAGCCGCCTTGAGCCATTTTTGCAAGTCGAACTTTCCAGATTGGGGGTCGAGAGATGGATCTTGTTGAGCGAGGACTGCTAGGTTATCTGAGGTTCCAAGGGTGGATTGTCGGCGTGACCGCTGGGTAGCTATTCTGGTGAGGGTCTCAACATCGACTTGGTCGATGAATGCCATAGGAGAATCTTCGAGAGTTGATGCATCTCCGGTAGGAGGTGGCGATGGTTCATCCTTCTCCCTCAGCTCGTGCGAGCTTATCTCTGATGTCATTGTGCCGATATAGAATGGGCAATGAGCACAGGAGTATTTGCACCAAGATTAGAAAACAGATTATAATGGAAAATTAATGAAAGGGGGGAGGGGATGATCATATATTTAAAGTCTCGGACCTGTGGCCATTTCCGTTCTTGGATGACATCTTCCATTCTAACGGGACCGACCTCCACTGTGGGTCTGAGTCGGGGGTCGGAGCAATTGATGGGATTGCGATTAAAGAAATATATGGGTGGAGTTGTAGTTTGCTATAATCCCAGAGCCATGATTGGATTGACATTAAATCAGATTTTGGCAAATTTGAGGCAAGGGTTGCCTAGGTCGCCATAACTGCATCTTTCCAAGGTAAACCTGCCCTATGGTCATCGCCCAACGCCATAGAAACTTAAAAACGAGCTGGATATTCTAAGCCTCTTGCTGACTCAGCGGGACTTTATTGAACCCGGGAGGGGACCCTATTAGCCCTAGAGGGACCGGGAGACGGATCTTGAAGATCCCGAGTCCCCGGTCCCGACCTTACGCTCGGCACCCGTGGACATGGTGCACTAAGATTAACATTAAATTGCATTACGACCGGGCCGCAAGGTGGCCAAGCCTACCTAGGCACATACATACAGAGTAGAGCTTGCGAGGCGAGGATTCTAGAATCTTACCGCTCCACTTTTCCTTCTGTTTTTTAGATACATATTCCTTTATTATTAATCTACTCCGTACATAATTCTATATTATACAACGGATGAAAATTCGGTCGAATTGGGTCTGTAATCGGCTCGGGAACACGTCGCTTCCTTTCCCTTTTGAAACAAAGTGAGATTTGTGTGGAGTACCAGGGCTGATCATTATAATTCGTGATTTCACTCTGTTTCTGTACAACGCTGGTATGCTGTATCGTGTGCATCTGATAATTTCAATGTTGCTTCCAAGGTTGCCACCACTTTTTGACCCTGGGGCATCTTTTTCTGGTGGACCACATATTATGCCGGCATGACATCCATGGATCTTCTGTAACCCCTACATATGTACCTAGAAGGTTCCCACTAAACAAAGTACCGTTTTCGATAAACTATTGATCTCGCCGTAGCGCTATCTACAAATACCAAATAAATAGTTAGTAGCACTTGGCGGATCCACTAACTAACCATGTACGGAACTAGTACTCCGTATTCACCATTTTAGTCTCTCAAAATAATGTTGCGATCACATGCTATCACATGCTCAGGGATCGTTCTTTGCATGTTGTTTGCTTTGTTTGATGAGATGGCATTTACTACATTTACCTTCCTATCTCTCCCCATCTCTCATATTTTGAATCAACTACATTCCAAACGATCAAGGGTTATGTAATGAACTGGCAGTTCGACTTGGAATGCTCAAGTCCCTTGACGTAACCCGACCATGTGGTCGTTTGATCCCACCTAGGTCGACCGTGATAGTAAGATGGGTGCTAACCATGATGACTCAATATGAAAAGCTTGGATCCAGTGGACTGCTGGTGGAGGAAGACATTATTAAGGTTATGGGGTAGGAGGGAGGATGGTTGCTAGAAACGACTTGGTGAGTTTAAATGTGTATGACCAAGGGGTCAAATGCATGTCACCATAAACAGTTGGAGTGGAAGCTTGTTGAGGCCATGATGGAAGATTCCCATGACAGGCCAAAGTGGTAGACCACAATAAAGAGGTGTCACAATGGAGGGTTGCGAAGGACTATGGTGGAAGGTTGCTATCCTACTTTATGCCATTAGTATAATGTTTGATTTCTTCTTTTACCCTAAGAGAATTTACACTCGGCTCATCTGTTCTCAGAGCTGTACGGAGTAAGCACTATCGACCTAGAAATCGCACTAAACAGTTGAAAGTGGCGTATGCTAGGCAGCTACATTAGGGCTCAGCCCAGCCCTTATCATACATAAGCAAAGGACCAGAAGTACATAGTTAGCACAGAAAGGAAATTTCATCTATAATTATGGCTATCTACATACTCCGTACGGAGTACTTTGGACTCAAACACCCTCTGTTGATTGCAAAGAGGCGGTGGTAATACGGTCCTAAATATCTTCACTATCAGTCATAGCTAGATACTCTTATGCGGCTGGAATTGTCTGAATGGGAAAAAGAGCTTACGGCGAGAGCTAAGGATCGGCATAATGCCCCATTTATATATGTTTGGAGTCTGGAACATAATTTGTAAGGGCATAAAGGTATGTATATCTAATTTTGAATGTTACTGTAAGCTGTCGGCGGCCCTTTATCTAGTAGTTTTGGTTCAGGACTACTATGCACATTTCTCCCCTATCTAAACCACCCAGTACAAAAAGTGGACATTTCTCACTACGAGCCCACATCCTTGGTACAGCGCATAGGCTGATCTTTTATTGCTCTCGTCATCTTCTCCACTATGCAATTCGTAATATCCGTGGAGAGCCGTCCCCTCACGGCATCTTTGATTTCCCACAGGGTTTGTTTCCATCTTTCAAGGGTTAGTTTGAGAGACGCTTTCATGACCACCTAGTTCACAATTCCTCTCGTATATTTGACCTTACGGTCAGAAAGTTTGTAACCTGCCATGTCCCTCTCGATTTCCTCATTGATGTAGTCCATAGGCTTTTTGTGCTGTTTGTATGCATCAGCAGTTGCCGTTGCGACAAACGCAAGGAGGCAGAAAAGAAAGCTGATAGGGCACTCCATTTGACTAGGTTTATAGGAGGCAAAATGTAACAGGAAAACAGGTATGGAGTAGAATAAACTGGTTTGCAAACATCAAGTAATGTAATAGTAGAATGGTTTGGCATTACACATTTACAGAAAAAGGGGATGATCTACAGTGGCTTCATGGCATCTTGCATACAACATACGTAGTACTAAATAAGTACAAAGTACTCCATACGGAGTATACTGTCATATATTAAATACTCTGTATTAATGTTCCAGTTCAGGTAAGTATTGACTCATCGCGGCGTAGGTTTCACAACACAAAGGCACATACAGTGGGTACCCATGGCTTATGTTTGGGTTGTACTGGAGAGGAGGGGCACATCCATGAAGTGGTACAGTAGCATGTGTATGGTGAAGGTCTACTCTACTAGTCTCTAGTAGTACCTGTGGGATTGACTACTATGCCGTATTGAGATTCGGGTGTTTCAAATTGGGGGTCCGAAATTGATTAGAAGAGTGTACGGAGTACGCAATTCTGAATGTTATTGTAGACCTGGGAAAATAGCTATTTATATACCCATGTCTCCGTATTCACCTCCGTTCCCGGCGGAGTCGGAAGCAGAACGAACCGAGTACCAGGGACTTTGGATTTATTATAATGGGGCGGGAGGGGTACTACGGTGTCTTCAACTTGGTGACCAACTTCGTTCAAGCTTCAGGCCGACGTTGACGCCGTATATTCATCCGTGACCATGAGCGTTGGAGGCAATAAGCAACTCGGCAGAGAATAGCTGAAGAAACTTGGCTGGTTGGAATTCTCTAGGATGTCAAAAAAACCTTTTTATTGGACTTGTATTCTTGTTAGTTTAGTTGGTACGTCAGATGTGCAGGAATTCAACTCCCAATGTTGAGATATTAACGGGCGGGGTAGATCGGCGGGCGCCGATGTGAATGAAGCAAGCTTGGCTATCCACTCTCCCTCTTCATGAACTTGAAATTATCATCTCACCATGGCTATTCAGTCACTACGCGAAATCAACGCTTATAATCTTCGCACCTTCAAGCGCCACTATGTCTCCGAGATCTCAGGCTCGCTTGGCGATCTAGGCACATTCCTGCCTATCGCGATTGCGCTAGCTGTCAACGGCACCGTCTCACTCGCCAGCACATTGATTTTCTCAGGGATTTTCAATATTCTAACGGGTGTGTTTTTCGGTATTCCACTGCCAGTTCAGCCGATGAAGGCCATCGCCGCAGTGGCAATCGCGCGTAGTTTCTCAAATGGCACGATCGCTGCGGCGGGGATCTTCGTCGGCGCCTGTATCCTTGTGTTCAGCTTGACGGGTATCTTGCACTGGTTCGCAGGTGTAATTCCCATTCCAGTTATCAAGGGTATCCAGGTCGGGGCGGGATTATCCTTGATCATCGCAGCCTCTAGCAGCATGCTCCATCCCTTGGGCTGGATCAGCCCCTCCTGGGCCGACAACCGTATTTGGGCAGTTGCTGCATTTGTTGCACTTTTGCTCACCAATATTTATCGCCGAGTACCTTATGCACTGGGTGTACTAGTGCTGGGTCTGGTGTTTGCCATCATTCGGACTACATTGGCAGGGCATATGCCCAGTTTTGAGGTGTGGCATCCTTTCACCCTGGTTCCGAACCCACTTGAATGGCGTGTTGGTGCTGTGGATGCTGGTATTGGCCAGATTCCTCTTACCACTCTCAACTCCATCGTGGCGGTTGTTCACTTGGCAAATGATCTGCTGCCAAACGTGCGCACTCCATCCATCACCCATGTCGGCCTGAGCGTGGCCGGCATGAACATGATTGGCTGCTGGTTCGGTGCCATGCCCGTCTGCCATGGATCTGGTGGTCTTGCAGCGCAGTATCGGTTCGGAGCTCGCTCGGGAGCAAGTGTGATCTTCCTCGGCCTGTTGAAACTTCTCATTGGGTTTCTCTTCGGAGAGACCTTGGTCGACCTTCTGAAGCAATTCCCTGCTGCCTTGCTTGGCGTGATGGTTATCGCAGCTGGCGCGGAGCTGCTTAGTGTGGGCGAGAGCCTCAACACCTCTGGTGCCCGGGACCTCAGCCAGGCCGATGCTGGCCTTTTGTCGAATATGGAGCAACATATTGGTCCTCTTCTGACGGACGAAGAACGTAGTCGCCGCTGGACGGTCATGATGGTTACTGTGGGATTGTTGGTCGGGTTCAAAAATGATGCGATCGGCTTCATTGCTGGTATGCTTTGCCACTGGTCCTACGACATCCCGAAATGGTGGGAGAAGGCGCGTAGCCGCTGGTCAGAGGGACGTTTGCGTCTACGTGACTAGACATACATTGACATTGAAAATTTCGGGTTTATAATCTTCTGATATCCTTCACAACATGCATGAAGAACTCACCAGATATATCATTTTTTTATTTTATATATAATAAGAAGCAAGTGCAATTACTTACCATAAGCAAATGCAAATACCTACCAATCCACTCACCCTAGAGCACATTTCTAACATCCACGTCACTTTCTCTCCGCAGCCTAGTGCCTGTACTAGGATTCTCATATGGGCGGTTCTCCCTTGCCGAAGACGAAAGGCCATCTGCAGCAAAATCCACATCCCGTCCGATCTTTCGACCACTAGCATCCCTCATCTCCTTGTGACGCCTAGTAACCCCACCGATATCATACTCGAATTGGTCATTATAAGTGCCGGTCACGGGGTCATAAACCCTAGACCCCAGCGGCGAAGAAACCAGATTAAACGAATCGTCCTCGCCGTCCCCATCCAAGAGCTGAGCCGCCGCACCCCCAATATCAGCCAGGACATTGGGCGTGGGATTTTTGGACGTGTAATCTTTGGAATCTGAAACATCATCCTCTAGCTCGGTGATGCGCCGTACTCCACCTGCAGAGGTACCACCTGCGGGCTCTGGTAAAGCCAGCTGTTCCTGGCCTGTATTGTCGTAGCGTCGCTCTTCAACGACTGCTGGTTGGCCTAAATCTTGCTGGGCGGTACGTACGATTGTTGTTCCGTCGGGCTCGGTGTATGAGGTTGTCGAATACCTGTGTCCGGTTGTAGTCTTGCCGTCGCTGCCGTTGCTTGTGGAACTGTAATAGTACGAAGAACTTGTGAAAGAGTCGGACATCGTGGTGAACGGTCGCGCTCGGTGGGATATGGGAGAGGAAAAGGTTGATCTGGTCCACTTGAGGTGATTTTGCAGTTGAGTTTGTTTAGTTGGGTAAAGGGATGGTTGATACTAAACCTTTGTGGAGGCTATTTCAATATTGGATTGTTTGGTTCGCTTGTAGAAGCGTCTCTGTGTAGAATATTGGTATCGGCACTGTAAAAAATCCAATTGATTGCTTTTGAAGTTTCAAACTGCTCAATTTTGATGTGTTTATATAGTTCGTCTTGTCTTGTCCTGTGGCAAGCTTTACTTGCCTCTTGCATCATTGCCTCCTGCGGCAAATGGCCTCTATGGAAGACACAAAGATCCACCGATATCACCGAGGGGTCTGGAGATACCCCACGAGAACTGAGCCAGGGGAAAAGAGCATCTAGCGAGCGTGTAGGCGTTGTCCATAGATGCCGCGTGCACGGATGAAGCCCCAGATAAGGTACTGGGCGTATCAAAATGGCTTATCACCTCTCCCCCGCTTTTCAACATCAAAACCAACTCATCTCCGACCCTGGAACACAAAGCACCTCATGGCTGGACTTACCGAATCTCAAGTCGCCTCCTTCAAGGAGAACGGGTACCTCGTCCTCCCCGACTACCTCGCCCCAACCGAGGTCACCGCTCTCCTCGCCGAGACAAACAAACTCCTGGAGGAGTTCTCACTAGAATCCCACCCCCTCACCCAGTTCACAACTGGCGACGAAACCGCCGATCATGTGGGTGACGACTACTTCCTGAACTCAGGCGACAAGATCCGCTTCTTTTTCGAGCCGGACGCGTTCAGCACCGAACCGGATCCATTGACCGGCCGGGCCGCGCTACTGAAGCCCAAAAACCGCGCCGTCAATAAGATCGGTCATTCGCTGCATACCTTGTCACCTCCCTTCAAGGCCATATCACTCAACCAGCGGAACGCTGCCGTCGCACGGTCCCTCGGCTTCGCCGATCCCCGCGTGCTGCAGAGTATGGTTATCTGCAAGCAGCCCTCGATTGGTGGGGCTGTGCCGTCCCATCGTGATTCGGAGTTTTTGTATACGGATCCACCTTCTGCTGTAGGCTGGTGGTATGCGCTGCAGGATGCGGGCCCGGCAAATGGGACGTTGGGTATGTACAAGGGTTCGCATACGGGCAAGAAGGGTGGCCACATTGCTAGGAGGTTTGTGAGGAAGGAGAATAGTGCGGGGACGGAGTTTATTGAGAACCGGGGGCCTTCGCTCCCCAAAGGTATGGAGGAGGAGAAGAGTTCGGAGGCCACAGATGAGGACCTGGAGATTCTTGATATCAAGGCTGGATCGCTTGTGCTCATTCATGGGAATGTTTTGCACAAGAGCGAGAAGAACACCAGCCTGAATAGTCGGTATGCCTATACCTTCCATGTTATTGAGGGTGCAGAGGGGTGGGAGTATGATGCACGGAATTGGTTGCAGCCGCCTGCTGGTGGATTCTCAAAGTTGGATAGTTGATACATAGTCAGAATACGAATGAGTGATGTCACGGTCAATAATAGTAAATAGTTCGACTTTTATTCTTTATGCAAATCCTGTACAAAAGATGGCCCGCCATATACACCAAGTGTGCGAATCCCAGACACCCCGAACTCCAAGTTGCGATTCAAGGACGTCAGATCAGGTTGCCTTCAACATGTCAAGCATTCCCTTCGTTTGCCACGCTTGCTGGGCCATCTCCACTTCGTCACGCACCCGGCGGTGCAGACGTTCCACCATCTTGTCGACCTGTGCGGACTGGCCCAGGTTTCCAGAGTAGATATCGAGAAGGTTCATGGCGACCTCAACGCTGAGATCAACCAGGCGGGGTTCACGGATGTTCTTGTGAACCCACTGTAGGACGGGCTGGAGGGTGACCTCATCGCGGTCCTTCAGAGAGGCGCGGAGGGCAGAACGGTGGCGCAGGGCCGTAAGCAGTGTAAGCTGCGCAGTCTTGTCGGCCGAGGTGAGGACCTGGTCCAACGCAACAGAGTAACGCGCCTTACGGAGATCGTTCTCCCAAGGCTGCTCTCTCTTCCGCTTCTTGCGGTCCTGGCCCTCAATGACAATCTCTACACCTTCTCCGATGAAATCGCGTCCACGCAGACGCTTTTCCCATCCAGAGCCACGGGTCTTCTTCTTCTTAGCGACTTCCCGGTCGTGCTCCTCCAATTTGCCCTCCAGCAGGGCTGCCATTTCCTTCCGGCGCTCTCGCTCCTTGATCTTCTGTTGACCAGACAGTCGGGTCTTGATAGACAGAAGACCTGACTGCATACCGACAGCAATGTGCTTATCCTCGTATTCGGTTCCGGAAGTAATCGCGCGCAGAGAGAGAATAGGTGACGGGTATTTGGATCCGGAGACGGGGTTCCACCCTGTGGTCTCAAAGACCTTCATGTGTCCATCGAGTGCACCACTGAGCAATCGCTCACCATTGGAGGCCAGCGCAAGAGCAGTGACAGTCTTTTGGTGGCTCTGAATCATGTGCAGCGGCTTACCAGCCACAATATCCAGCACTGCAATCTTGTTGTCGGCCGCGGCCAGAACTGTAGTTCCGGCGGGCATGGGCAGAATGGTCTCGATCGGCGCACCCATCTTGAATGTCATAGCGGCACGATTTCCAACTCGAGGATCCCACAGTCGAACAGTACGATCGTAAGAGCCCGACACCACCAGGCCGGAAGAAGCCATCGAGCCAGGCATGAAGGCACCGCTGCGCACGTAATCGGTGTGGCCGACAAATGTGCGTGCACTAGTTTGGGATGGCAAGTCCCACAGCCGCACTGTACGGTCATCACTGGCTGTGAGGACTGATGTAGGGTCACTGGGAGAGAATTTGGTCACCCACACAGGCTGCTTGTGGTCCTTCCACGTCTTGAGGATGGCGCGCGATTTGACATCGAAAACTTGCACAGAGCCGGTGTCGTCACCTGTCACCAAAACACGTCCATCCGGACGAACGTCAGTACCGCGAACGGTATCGTCAAACCGTGTAAGTGTCCGCAGGAGTTTCCGTGTGCGAATCGAATAGATCTGGACTCGTGCGCCTGTTGTCACGGTGAAAACATCGGGCGGTTGTGTAAGAGAGGGGAATGCCGCGGCAGAAGAAGGAACGGAAGGCTGAGTGATGAGATTGACTGGTCCATTGGCCGGCGAGGGGATTAGGAGCGGGTTTTTGAATGTTCGCCAGTATTGTTGCTCAGGTGTTAACTGCGTGGAGGGTAACGAGGCGAGCTTCACCTGCTGCAGAGGCAGGACGGGCGCCGCCATGATTGCAGTGGTGGGTAGACAGTAGTTGTTGAGGGGGTATTAGTTAAGTAGGCAACCCGGAATGAGCAATGGGTGGGTAAAGTTGAGCCGACTAGAGTGCTATCGTGAAGTTCATGAAGACCATCTTTTTTCTGCCGATCAAAAAAGTTCGTCTCGCCCAATCGGGAATGGTGGCGGTAGCTGTTGCTGCCTGTAGTATCAGGCTGTAAATTATGGCCTGAGGCCACACGGCAGAAACCATGATGAGCATTGACCACCTGGGACTGAGAGGTCCCGGCCCGGTGTGAGTTCTGCATATCCACCTTGTGATTTCTTGACTGTGCATTAAATGTGTCCACTGGTTGGGATGCGACAGCTCAACAACTGCCAGAGGCTACAATGAAATAATTTACAAGATACCTCTAGGCCAATACTTTCAGATTCGAGGATTCGAGTTGTTGCAGATTCTCTTCCTCTGATTTCCATGAGGCTGCAAACGCCGTACCCTGGACCATTCGGCTTTCCACGGCGGAATATCTGCATAATATTCCTACTTGACAGGTGAAAGATTCCATTATCGGGTAATATATCCTGTACAACATACGGAGTATCGACACTTGCTCTTACATGTCACATCCATCATGGTCAATCGACTCCAAGAGATCTTCCCTCAAGTCAGCCTAACGTTTTCCATCAATTCACCCGCCTAAAGATGAAACTGAAATCTGATGGATATAAGTTGTACATCGTAGGCTTCCCCATTTCTAACCATCTCATGGTGTTAATAATAGTAACTCTGGCGGGGACGAATTGCGCAGTTAACCCACTGAGGCAGTGAAGCAGGCAACATCTTTAATTATAGAGAGCATCTAGAATCAGTAGGGGATGGGGTGTGCAGAGTAGGCGAACAAGACAGTCTCACTAATATTGCCTATGTATGACATGTAGTACAAAAAAAGAAGTGAACACCCAGAATCCGACTCACATTGTATACATGATGATCAGGACCGTAAGTGGTCGCTATGGCAATCCAGTGGGGGGAAACGGAGATCCATCGTGGTGCAGCTCCCTAACCCTAAAGGTGGGGGAGCCGCGACGGCTTGGCAGCTTATTGAAGCCCCAATGCAGCTGAAACCGGATTCGTAAATAAGCGTACGGAATATAGAGGGATGACGATCTTGTCTGGATCGCCCAATGGTCGGCAATTTACGATTGTCCCACTAGGAATGCGCAAATCTCTGAATCCGAGGTGGCTGGGGATCCGATCGAGCTGAGGGCGATCCACTTGCATGTGGAATACCTGACTGGGGTTGGGTAAAGAGGACTTGCATGGCATCATGCAATATATTGCAATATATATGAGGGTATTAATATAGTCAAGATGGAGAATATGAGGAGTATTCTGCGATATAAGAGACCAACTTGTAGTTTCCAAGTTTCCAAGTTTCTTTTTGACTTGATGCAAGGTTTGTATCCCATTGGTATCCAAGGACACCGCCAGGGGTAACAACCAATCAACTCCTCAGATCTGATACAACCCCCCAGCCACCTCCAATACCCGTATCGGACATTCTAGAGAGTACCTTTTCTCTTTTTCTTCTTTCCCCTCCCCCTAGACATTGGCTCAATGCTCTTTTTTGTTTATATCCAATATACCCGGTGATTAGCAATATCCTGGGACAATGTCGAAGATCTCCAAGGTCAACCATGCGGCGGGCATCTTCGCTGACATCTCCGTCGATGGCCCCATTATCGGTACCTTGGTCGCTATCATCGACCGAGCTAAGAATCTACCCAACCGGAAAACCATGGGCAAGCAAAATCCATATGCCGCAGCACGACTGGGAAAGGAAGCAAAAAAGACACAAACAGACTTACGAGGAGGCCAAACTCCGCGATGGTAAGCTTTTGGCTTGATAGATGTGGAAATTGAAGCTTACCTACTTAGGGACTCGGAACTGCGATTTACCGTACATGAATCCCCCGATTACTTCAAGTTAAAGGTCTCCGTATTCAATGACGATAAAAAGACCGACCTGATCGGCGAGACCTGGGTTGATTTACAAAGCTTGATCATTCCAGGTGGAAGCCAGAATGATCACTGGCACCCACTTCAATATCGTGGGAAATATGCAGGAGATATCAGAATCGAAATGACGTACTACGACACCAGACAACAAGACGAGGTCCTGATTGGACGCCGACAAGAAGCCGCTGACCGGGTCCAAGGCAAAGTCCCTAGTCCTCCAACCAATACAGGCTTATCTGGTCCCCGACAATTGAAAGATGTCAAACGACGACCCTTGCCCAGTGGTCCTGCAGGGGCCCCACCAAGACCAGCTCCTCTGGAACAAAATCACTCTGCGCCTACACTTCACCACCCGGCCCCGTCGAGACCTGCCATTCTTGAACATTCAAACACCCTACCTGGTGCTCCAGACACTGTCTCCTACGCACCGAGACATTCGGAGCCTGCTTACGATCCATCCTCTTATCGCGCACCTTCTCCTGTCCCGCCCCCCTCCCGGGGTGGGTATGATGGTGCTGATAACTACACTCAGGAATGGGACGCTCCAGTTGTTGCTCCTCTCCGCAGACAAATCACGCATGAACCGGCTTATGCCTCCAATGAAGTTATTGAAACCCCATATGACCCGCGTTTACTACAGCAGCAGCAGGAACAAGAACAGCAACAACAACTGTTACAACGGCAACAGGAACAACTGCTGCAAAAACAACAACAGCAACAACGACTGCAGCAGCAACAACTAGAGCAGCAACAACTGGAGCAGCAAAAACTGGAGCAGCAAAAACTAGAGCAGCAAAAATTGCAACAACAACAACTGCTGGAACAACAACTGCTGGAGCAACAACTGCTGGAGCAACAACAACTGCAACAACAACAACAACAAATGCAGCAGCAGCAGCAACAGCAACTGCGGAATCATCCTGAGTATGATCAGCCACCTTCGAGAGACTATCGCCTCGCCAGGCAAAACCAGTATGGGGCAGATCTCCATGAGGAAGTGCCATACAATTCTGCCCGTCAAAGTCTCTACGCTCAAATAGAGCAACCCCGATACGATCCAGATCCTACGTCATATAGAGCAACGCATCCACACGAGGTGCCGGCTTCAGACTTTATGCCTTCCTCTTTAGGGCCAGTGGATGACCCGAGGTACCATCCACACAGAGTTCGACCTCTACAAATCACCGCTCATGGTCATGATTACCACCCAGAGTATGCCGGAATGCAACCACGAGTAGAGGACGAAGACGATGACGGACCACCCCCTCCTCCACCAGCACACCGGTCACGAAGGCCGCACTCACAGCTGCCCACCCCGAAAACATCGCCCCGCCCCTACTCATATTACACACCCCAATCTACTCGATCCTCAGTCCCCCATCTGCCATCAACCATTTCTACCCCGTCCCACCGCGATCGCTACCAGGAGTCTTCTTCAATGGGGAACTCCCCAGCAATGCCCGCTAGTCTCGTCGCAGGTTATGAAGCGGAAGACTCATCTGAGAGAGTAGCACTTGAGCGATCAGTCCACAGACGCAGCACCCACTGGGATGATGAAATGATGATTTCCCAGTCTCCTGCGCCAGTTCCTGTATCAGCACCCGTCCACTACGATGCTCCTGTCTACCCTCTGCGAACATCGCCCCGACCTATTGAACAAAGGCCCACTTCTAGCAGAGGTGGATCTGTCAGTCCTGATGTGCGGGCTGTGACCCGGAAGTCAGTCAGTCCACGGCCCTCTTCTTCAGATGTCCGTGGTGGCTCTTCAATCCCTTTCTCTCCCGACTCGTACATCTCTCTAAACCCAAATGCTTCTCAGAATCCCGGCCGAGATCCTTCACCGGCGTACGACTCGCCTGCGCAAGCTAGAGATGCCGTGATTCGTGGGAAGACTGAACCCCATCGAGACTTGGATCACCCAATCATCGGGGATGATGGTCGTGAGATTGACCCCTCTGACCATCTTCCCACCGATACATGGGCGCCTGAACCAGAAAGGAAGAACCGCAAGCCCGAGGTTATCATCCGCTTCAAACACTCGCCTCGGCCAACCTCTAGAGGCAACGACACTCCCTCGTCACGCAGCACAGGCCCGCCACGCGTTGGATTTAGAACAGAGACTACCACGTATCCGTCAGATCGCCCAGTCCAGTACACACCCACCCATGTGCACGTCAGTCCGGGGGCAATGGTTCGAACCCCACCTCGGCCGGACTACGCGCGTGAGCGCTCTGATAGCTATGCACAAAGTCGGGCCTACAGCACGCCCACTTCGGTTGAGCGACCCCGCTCTTCTCGAGGCTCTGTCTCGCCATCTCCGGGGTCTCGTTCGCCACTATATGACTACAACCCAGGTCCCCCGATTCCAAACAAGGTGCCAATCACCGGAGGAAGTCCAAGCTACCCCGTCATGTCTGGCAATACAAATGCAAATGGCCGCATGGATGCCCTGAGTCGAGAGCTGAGTACGATTGACATTGGATCTACGGCGTGCAGCCCTGGCCGGGGGGCCGTTCGAAAGTACGTACCAAGACAACCAGCGTCGATGGGCTACGCTAGGTAAAATGATTTTCTTTTCACATTCATGGCTGGAGTATGTACTGCTATGTTTATTTTGGGCCGTTAGCAGGCATATTTCCTCAATTCTCTCCAATTTTTCGTTCTCAGACTGCATTGCTCTTGATATCCGGCAAGCACGGCGTTATGAATTTGATCTACGGGGGATATAGTCTTTGATCATGCACACATAACAGGAACAACCAATGATGACTCAAAGTGACACCTTGACTCTTACTAGATGGGTGCTTCTGTAGACTTGAGACTATGTTTGATAAGTTTATTGATGTAGTTGCTCGGTGGTCTGACAGTAGTCGCCAACGTTGCCTATATAAGTGCAGCTGATCTCCCAGTTTCTCCGGTGGATTTTGTTCCTGCCAGCTCTGGCTATCTGTGGTTGTCTCTTCACACCATGTTGTCATATATGGAGATATTACCCTCAGGTCGTGAGCCAACAGCCTGGTTACTTTTACACTCTTCTAGAATCCGAATACTCCCTATTGAATTTAAAAGGTCTCACATTATGTCTTTGTGGACATAAACGCCACCCTCATACTCGGTAAATCGATTCTAGAGACTAGGCTGTCCCATTCTGCTATCTGGCTACTAAAGAGCATACGAGATGCGTAAGCTCATGCTGTAGACATCGGCATGGTGATATCCACCAAAGGGGAAAAGCCATCTGAACTCGATCAAGGACAAACATTGTAGGCAATTTCCTGCAAACTTATAAAAGCCCATCCTATTCTAGTACTCCTCTTCTTCCTTTATCCTATGCTCACACTGTTTCCCCCTCAATTTTCGCCTAACACCTGAAGCCCTGCACAGTATCAGATAGGCTGTGCATCATCGACAACTGGCTTTGCTATTGAAGCGCATCAGTACCTCGGTACGTTCGTTATTAAGAACTTACTTTCCTGTCTTCTACTATCCTTGTCTTTTCTCGCATCATAATTTCCACTCAGCATGGAAGGTCAGGAATTTGATATCCCAGGCAATCAAGGCCACCTCTCTGAGGAGGACGTGAAGATGTATGTATACACAACATCCCCCCAGCCTACTCGGTGCTTCATAAGTTGAGAGCTTTGCTCGTTCTTCCCCCAGCACTTGCTGAATATGGACATCTTTTGGGTTTTTCTTGGGATCAGAGTTGTTGACATATAGAACTCAGGCCTAACAACACTGCCCATGCCAACCAACAGGTTTCCACGTGAGTATACGATATATCGTCTGGCACTGGTATTTTCCTAGCATCCAAACATATGATATTGATCGTCCTACCTTTCTTTCCTGCCTTTGCCTTCCCTCCTTTTTTACTATATATGAACTGTGCTCTGCGAGGATGTCAGCTAACCAAAATATTAGCCCTGGTAGGTCCGGTCAAATTATCTACCAAGGAAACCCGGCCTTGTCGCTGCTCCTGTCTCCTCCACTTACCTCACCATTGATACCTCTGGACACAATCAGTTCTAGTCCTCTCCACGAATACAGCACAGCACAGCCACTTGGTCCCCGTTTCACCGGTGTGAATGGAGCACACCCTGCTTATGACCCGAACCGAGGAGCACAGCTCAGGAGTGCCGCGGATCGCGCAAACCCATACCGGGATAGACTGGAACCAATTGACCATGCACGAGGACAAGAACGGACTCGCAGCAGAAGTCCTCGCCGACCGGTCCAACCCACTGACCTTCCTGAATACCGAGAATTACCACAAGGCCCATTTATGGGATTCAATCACTTTCCTCGGGAGTTGTATGTCCCGCCTGGAATCAATGACCTGATGCCTCAAACTCTGCCTAGCTCCTCCCCGACACTATCTCCAAGCAACACCCAGCGTGGTCGTGGTCGTGGTCGTGATCTTGCTCTCGAACATCCAGGGGACTCTCCTAGACAGACTTATCCTCTACCTGACGGCAACCCGCACGGATACCACCACCACCACCAGCAACAAGTGCAGGAATGTGACCCAGGACCAGAAACACACCCGGTCAACCAACAAGAGGAAGATACCAACGACAACGACGAGGAGCACTTATGTGAATTTGCTGCTCCATGTCGAATGCATCCTTCGCCCGATGGAATGCACTACCGAAAGGTCGTGTCGCACGTGTTCGGCAGAAACAAGGCCGTTACCAAGCTATTCCCGCTCGGTGTCTGGGTCCATTACTGCCGAAAGCACTACCAGCGTGCTCGGTATCGTGCAGACCAATGGCCGTTTACACAGTGTGACCTTCTGTTAGAATCACTGAGCCGAATGGAGAACTGGAATGGAGTAGAGAGTTTCGAACTCATCCTCCGCCGCCGAGAGCAAATGCGTGTCGGCCGTGAAACCGAAGGCGCACCCACCACCGAGACCTCCAACAAAAAGGAGACTAATGCCTCTGTCAACCAGGCCCAAGATCAGGGCAACAACTCTTCGTGCGTCGCTACTCGACCCACAGGCCGTAAGCATCCGACTGCCATCATCGCCCCAGTCCCAGGCTGGCTTCGCCAACACGTTGGTCATGGCAAGACATTTCAAGAGATCCGCAGTATTATCGAACTGGTGCGTAACCACATGGTCAGGCTGCGAAATCAAGAAAGGGCGCAACAGCAGCTCAATCATATTCCCAAAACTCCGAGTACACCAGACAGCCCTCGGCGAGGTGCACCTTCGAACGGCCGAAAGGGACGTATCGCTAAACCTGCAAACCGGGACCCCCTACGCCTGCGTGCTAGCACTGTTCGCTTCCCCGATGTTGAGATTCTCCCCCATTTCAAGCCATGGGTAAAGGAGGCCGCCTTACGGCAGCGATCTGCGACGAACTGTCCCAGGAACGAAGGGGACATCAAAGACAATCAGGCAGAGCAGAGAATTTTCGGAGGGGGATATGTGGATGGAGAAACCCAGGAGACCCGTGACGGCAATGCTCGCGCCGAATCCATTCAGCCGACTAACGCCGAATTTGCGACTAACAACACTACACCTTACCCAGATCGACACCCCGAGTCCACTTCTATGATTGAGATGGCTGGAACCAACCTCTCGCAGATGCAATCTCACATCGGCAGGGCAGGGACCAACCGCGGCCAGTCTGAGAGCCAGCGGCGACGCAGCGAGCGCGTCTACATTAGAGCCCTCGACCGTGTCTCTGGCCAGGGCTCCATTAAGAAGCCCAGCAAAGATGGCGACAAATAAGTATCCATCGACTCACCAATCTGCTTTCTGAGGATTGCACAAGTCTGTGCTCATTATCAGTTCAAGTTCCGTTGATATCAGTCAATGATCACATCGAAAAAAAGATTGAAAATGAAATTTTAAAAAAAGCCTATTGACAGAGTATTTCTTTGCCAGCATGTTTCCAATGCCCAGGTGAAAAGCCGAGCTCATCGAAATGTTGAATGGACTCGTTGATACGAGGCTCAGGTATGCCTTGTGATCGGTGAATTCAATTCACGAACGAAAAAAAATAATGAAATCCTTCAAACTGATCGAAAAAAAGTACAATCACCAACGTCTCCACTCCAGGACTTTCTCTCTTCCTCAGCTCTACGCGGCCGCGAAGGGGAAATAACGAATTGTGGAAGAGTAGTTGAAGCCGGGGAAAATGTGAAGAATGAGGGCTGATGTGTGGGTGCACAAAGCGTATTATGCCAAAAGACCTCAACAAAAAAAGTGTCAGAGTGATCTCCCCATACCAAGCGATTATGATAACCTGCAGCCTGCGCCTGTGGCCTGCGAACGAAAATATCTATGGCAGTGCCACACTCATTTGGATTCACCTTGCTGGCCTTCACTTCTGATTTGGCAATCTCACTTCCTGTCGACATTGGTATCAGACCATGTCTCCCTAGGGGTGATTCCAACCCCCATGTTCAATTGGTTTCAGATACGAACCTTTAAGAAGTCTGCCCTGATGATTCGTGAAGACTTGACGAGAGAAAAGTAAGAAAAGCCCCCCCAAAAAACAAGCAAGCAAATGCCACGGTGTTGGAGAGTGCAAAAGTTTTGGTGGATTCAACAGATATGGCTATGTAGACTTTGATAGCACTGTACTCAATACGATTGGTTCAATTGAATTGCCTTGTGAGACTTGTTCAGTAACTAGCTGTCTTGATTAAATGCAGATAAATGATAAACATCAGGTAATGCTATGTTGATCCATGGGAGTGGCCTCGGCCGGTTAAGGCTATTTCAACGACATTCGTAAATATAGGATCTCAAATCCCATTTTCAGTTTCATCAAAAGACTACATGTAGGTACCTATTGTATTCATGCACTCAGCCAAACAGGGAAAAGTTAATTGAATGAATATTTGCATGCGAATGGGAAAAAGAAAAAAAGAAGAAAAAAAAAAGATCAGACACATACTCCCGTATAATGTAGATGAAACCCGCAACAATACGACTCGCTTGCTGGAAAGAAACCCAAATGCAGCAGAAACAGAAAGCTCCTATGCAACCACCCAAGCAATATGAATAAAAGATTAATGTAAAATAATTATCATGGTAGTTTTTGTATGAACAAAAGCCAAATTCCGATCTCAGATAAACAGACTGGTCTAGCTTGCCACAGCCAGCTGGGCCACGAGATCAGACGCCACATCAAGGAAGGGGTATGGGCTGTTCACCTCCTTCTCCTTGTTCTTGAGGCGCTTGCTGATGGGATGCCATTCAGTGTCACCGTTGGCGCGGATCACATTCTGGTAGCCATCGCATTTGAAGTCAACCATGTAGTTGTTTTCTTCGAGTTGGTATAGCTGGATGTCAAGGAAGACCCAGACACCGTAAGTGATGTGCGGGAGTCCGCTTGGTCCATTAGCCGAAGACGCCCCGCTCGCGAGACCGCTGTCAGGTACAGAAGACTGGAGGTCTCTGCCCCTGTCTTCTGTTGGGGCAGAGATCCCCGAGATGTTGAAGCGGCGGCGCAGTTCTTCGAGATCGCTGCGGCTATTGTAAACACTAGTGGAGGACCCAGGGGCGTTGATGCCTTCTTTCAGCAGACGTGCGCGAATGAACCATGGGTCCTTCGGAATGTAGTAGTCGGATGGGAGGTCGGGGTATTTGCTCTGCAAGGGTTTGGGTTTATCAGGTGAGGGGGTTGCATCGGGGCCGATATTGGTGCCTAGAGGATGTAAGAATGAGCTCGAAACGGGAAATAAGTGGAAAACATACCTGATTCCACGGGTTGAATGTCCCACAATCCACCCTGAGCAGCAATTGCCCGGTACAGATACAGCATGGCCTCATATGGCTGGTTTCGGGATCGAATACCAAATTGCCATTTACGGCTCCGCTTTGGCTGTTTTTCGAGCGGTTGACCGGTTGGCGGCTCGAATCGCAACTTGTCTAAGTCGATGACACTACGTGAGTGAGGCTTCAATGCACGGGCCGTGGCAGCCTGTCCTTCCGCAGACATGTCCCGATAGGCAGATCCACGTCCTTCTGGGTCAAGGTGGGCGGCTTCTTGGCGACGCTGCTCGAGCATTTCGTTGCGAGCTCTTTTATCTCGCTCACGTTGTTCCATAAGTTGGTCGTGAACATATGGCAGGCTAGTAGGGAGAATCCGGACGTGGCTAACACGGGGTTCTTCCTCGGATTCTGATTGCTGTGGATCCTCCGAGGCCCTCCGGCGCGATGCACTAGCGGTCCTGTTCGTGGTGGGGGCAGGGGACCCTTGATGACGAGGCGCAGGGGTCCGATCCGCAGATGAAGGCGCGGCTCCTTTCTGAACATTTTGTGCTAACAAATTATCTTCCGTGGGTGCTGTTGTCGTTAGCAGAGAGGTAAGTTGATTAGGGAGTTTAGGTCTTACAATTGGTTTGCATCATCTCGTTCTCAACGACGATGGAGAAGGCATCCTTGATCGCGCTGGGTTCTGGATGTCTCAATGCCTCTTCGATATCCTCGCGTCCATATCCCATGCTTCGTTCGAGCTTGGAAACTGCAATTCGATGGATTTTATGCTGGACTGGTGGAGGCTTTGCCATGTCAAGCTTTGCAGCATCAACCTTCTTCGAGTCCGCCCCCGGGGCGATGAACTCCTCTCGCGGCGGTTCCAGGTACTGGGGGAGATTTTTGGTAAACCATGGGTCCATTCTGATCTCGGGGATTGTAATGCGGTGCACGGGGTGAACTTGGAGCATTGCCCGGATCAAGCGAGCTGCCCCAGATGAGATATATCCAGGTATGTGGAAGGTGCCAGCTGCGATCTTCTTGAAAAGGGCTGGAATGTAATCATCATCGAAAGGCAATCGGCCGACCAACAACACATATAGAATGACACCACAACTCCACACATCCACCTCGGGGCCGGCGTAGAGCTTTCCGGAGATGACCTCTGGAGCTGCGTAGTTCGGGCTACCGCAGCTGGTCTTGAGGAAGTTACCATCTGTCATAATATTACTCAAACCGAAATCGGCAATCTTCACGTTCTTCTGGTTGTCGATGAGCAGGTTCTCTGGCTTCAGGTCACGGTGTACAATCTTGTGTCGGTGGCAGTATTCTACAGCACAAATGATTTGTTGGAAGAATTTCCGGGCTTCGTCGTCACCGCATCTTCCCTTTGTCACGAGATAATCAAACAACTCTCGCTCTCCATACTCCAGCACCATCACAATATCGGACTTGGTTGCAATCACCGTATACCTAAAATATAATTGGTCAGCCAACTGAAACTCCAATTGCATTATGGGTCGAAATTGTACAATTTAATGATGTGAGGGTGTCGTAGCAATTGCAAGTACTGGATTTCTCGTTCCACACGCCCAACCATGTCTCGGGAGAGTAGCTTGCGTCGTGGGATGATCTTCAGCGCAACTTGACGTCCACTAGGCTGGTGAATGGCAAGTTTTACCTTGCCAAAGGAACCCTCACCCAAGACCCTTACAGTCTGGTATTGGTCGAGGCGTTGCATATCTCGGGTAGTCGACGGTGACTGCAACGATTCCTCGACCTTGCCGGTCGGCTTCGAGGGCGGGGGCATTGCCATGGCGGAGGGGTTGGAAGCGGGAGGCCTCGCACGTTCACGCGGACGATCACGGTCGGACGGGAGGGGGATAGCGAGGTCTTCCTCGTCAAATGCAGCGGCCATGGTCGGGAAGAATGACAACGTGACGTGATTGATTTTCCAGACGGTTCAGCGGTCCGGGGCTGCTGACTGTACAGACCGTGGTTAGGGGCTTTTTTTCTATTTTTTCTCTCGAAACATTTGCCAGGCGCCAATCAGTTGATCAGTCTCGACCCTCCCCACAATAGAACCGAGAGTGGAGCTGGACAGCTGTTTGTCAGTGGGGGGAGGGGGGGATGGAGGGGTAGATTTGCTTGTCAGGGGTAGAAGAAGTGAAGAAACCAAAAGTGAAAGATGTTAAGTGATTTAGCATCAACAATGATAAGCAGGAAGATCAATGAGATCCGGAAAAGCCAAGATTTTCAATCGTCGTTTAGGGACATCGATGCCCAGGTGGATTACGGGAGTTCTAGACCTTACCTAAGCTGGTTCTTCTAGCCCCGGAGGGCACTGGTCCTATATCAGCCAAGCTTTGTCGGTCAACATGGCGGAAGATCTTTTTTATATCTTGATGCCCTAATGCAGTTCATCTTATCCCAGATCAAAGGTTGGTCTGTGTATATGAAATAGACTAGTGCTAAGAAATAAAGCTTTTCTGTTTTTTAATAAAAAGAATCTTCGCCGAAGCTCCGAGAAAAACTGTGTCATAACACAGTGGGTCAACAAGACCCTTAAAAAACTGTGGCTTAAAGTCAATTGATCGAGATTGATCGAGATTGATCGAGAGTGTTCATTATTTTCATATTTCCCAGAGATGTAATGATACATTTTACTTGCTTTCTTGGATCTATGTCGAGTTTGTAGATATGACGTGCCGGCTATATTACCCCCGTGTGCTTTAGTACAAATCTAGCCGGGCTGTGCAACACAGCCTCTTAATCTTGAGCAATTCGAAAAAAGGGTTACTCCATATATATATATATCTCTGCATCGTAAGGGACTTTACCGATCTATGTTGTAATGTATGATTTATTTACATAGAGCATCAGAAAGAGGCCAATAGGAGATGGAATTTTCTTCTCGTAAAAGGTACTTTGTAGGTACCTAGCATTACGTAGTAGAATGTATGGCTTTAGAAGTACCCCCGGAGTATATGCACTGAGTCATACTGCGGCTTAGAGCGATCAAGCGGGGTGTCGGGGTCCCAAAACGGATTAGCGTCAAGTCGGGGACCCCGAAGAGGAATGGCGGACTAAGAGAGGCAGAGCATACATAGAATCAACGGCTGCCTCAAGTCTTAGGTTCTTCACCTTCCCCGGAAGCCATTTCTTGTCCTTCTCCACGACCTCCTCCATATCCTAGTTTCCTACTGCCTCAGGATCCTTTTGGCCTAACTAAACGGCTTCCTCTCTCTTTGACTTGTGTTCCTTGTTCCTTGTTCCTCATCTTTTCATAAATAGATACCCCTAGTGATACCCACTCTACGTTTGATTTGATTTTACAATGGCTTTTGTTGCGGATCAATTCTTCTCTGATATGGATGCGACAAATCTCAATGAATGGGTTGACTTCGATCAATTCCTCGATCTCCCTTCAGGCTACGACGACCAGTCGACTGCCACCACTGTCTCACCTCAGGACCTGGCTCTGCCTTATGAGGCAGATGGGATGTTCAACTCGCCGTCTAATTTCATGGAATCCTCCTTCGATATGATCAATTATGATCTCCCACAACAAGATTTTATGGGAATGAATGGAGGTTTCATGCAGGACCCGGCTGCTCCTTTGTTCGATGGTGCTGCGTTCTTGGGATACAACCCATACGACAGCAACAACACATTCCGGAACCTGGTTGAGGCACAGGCTGCCGCCGACCCGCGAGTTGCTACTATCAAGGAGAAGCGCCGTGAGGCAGCGATAGCGCTGCACCTGCAGCGGCTTTGTGATGCGACTGCTCTTGACTTGGATATGTCCTCAGACTCCAACACCAGCTTCTCATCACCAAGCTGGTCAGAATACGTTCGCGGGAGCATCTCTCCGCGTCCTAGCCTAGAGAACACGTCTATCTCCGAGGCACCTCCTCCAGGGGGCATGGAGATGGTTCTCGACTTGAACATGAACGCCGCAGCCAATGTGCCAAAGAAACAAAAGCCTCGCTCTCAGGCACAGAAGGAGAACTACATCAAGGCTCGGAAGTACGGTGCTTGTGAGAAGCACAAGAAGCAGCACAAGCGAGTAAGTTTTCCATTCACTTTGAACATTTGAGCACGCTAACGTTCGAGTAGTGCAACTGCCTGGAGAAGGCTGCTGCTCGTGCCGCTGCCAGCGATGTTCCGATGAATGCCGCACCCCAACAAAGGTCGAACCAACCGATGCTCCAAGTTCCCATCCCAGAGGCGCGTTACTCGGACTCGCCGGGTCAAGACACATCATTCAACTCACCTCAAGCGCTTCAAACCATCCAGGCGATCAGGAAACCAACACGCAGCTCATCTGGGATCGACCCATCAGTGGGATTGCCTGTTGTGGTACCAATCGCCAAGCAGATTATCCGGACGAATACTCGAAAAAGTACGCCGCCAGGACACGACATTATTCTACTATCTGGCGAGCCAGATTCCAAGAGCATGTCGAATCAAAACAACGTTCTACCGTCCAACAGAAACACCGCGAAGGCTCAGGCTGCAGGGCACAGCGCACTCCAATCTGGCCAGAACATCGCAAACAACTCATCCGCGGGACACGAGAAACTCTACACACAAGAGAGGATCTCAAAGAACGCAGGAAATGGACAACCCCACGATACATGCAGTTCCAGTACATCTCGGCCGGTTCACGCAGCTAGGCTGCCAAATGGCAGCTCGAGCTTGCGCTGGCGCGCTTCGACCTCGTCGGTTGATGTTGTATGTTCAGAGAGGACGGACGTCCAGGTGACATCCTCCGCTAACCATCCAACTACCGGCGTCTGTCGCTCTTCGGGTCTGGATATGCAGCGAACAAGGTCTACCCGCACCATGGAAATGTTCCTGGTGCCAGGTACTGTTGCTGGAAACCTTGGAATGCGCCATTCCACGTCGCTCACGCGCAACTCTGGAATCCAGGTGCCTGGGCCAGATCACAGGAGAGTCTCAGAAGGACTTTCCAAGCAACTCGCAATACTCTCTGGCTTGCAGTCGGTACCAAAGGATCTACTGGTCTCACCGGCTCGGCGTGGATCACCAGATATCTCTAGAAACGAATTACCGGATAACCTCGAGAATCGGCCACTGCCCATCAGCAGAAAAGGTCCCCTTGTTCCTCCCGTTGTTGAAAGCGTTGGCTGCCTGGTTTCCAGTGCTGCCTTGGCATTTGCTGGTGCCTGGCAATCATCATTGTCTCTGGCGTCTGAATCTGAGGGCGTGGTCTACAAATGTCTGTCTCTGTTCGGCCGACACATCGTGTCTGTGAGGAAGGGCTTATATATAGGCGGACTGCGGAACGCTTGGTGTCTATGAATGCCTCGTTTGTTCTCGAATTAACGCGATCGCGCTCGGGACTGGATGGATGAACTTTTGATAACTGGCCGAGCTGGCTTTTAACGATATTCAATTGCAAAGGGCATACATAGGTGACATCTATTGTCACAAGTAGTCCCTGCTGATGAAATAAGATGAATTAATTTGCATTTGCTATCCACTGGAACCTTTTCATTCATAGTAATAATCCAAGAGACGCGCATACAACTAGATGTGGCTACGACAGCAACAACCAACGTGGCAAGTGCGCCTTTATAAACATCAAAGGTAATGGTAGTTGGTAGATAACTGGGGTTGAGCATTCATACCAAACCTGGATAGCTGTTTACCTGGACGATGAGGCCTTTATTCCAGCGTTCCTCCTCCTCTAGGACTAGATGTAAATTGTTGACGAACTAAATATGTAGGTATATATTTCCCATTGAAATTCTGACTGTCATTGTTTCCTCTCTCTCTCTTTCTCATTATCTGCCTCTGTTAGGCCATGATAGAGCCTTGTGCCGACTATGTCTACTGTAAGTATAGGCAACTCTTGTTTCTTTGAGCTGCCAATGGAAGGGCTTCAATATGCATAAATAATATAAATTAGTTTAAAATCTTGCATTCCTAATGATCAGCCTATCGCGGTTATTTCCAAAAATGACCTAAATAGTGAACAATTCAGGTTGCATCTTTTGCCCTCCCCACCACCTCAGCCCTAAATCTCCCTAATCCCGCGCCAACCTACCCTTTTTCCTTGTTCTCTTACGGCTCAGACCACCACTCGTACTTTGCTCCAACCCCAAAACTATGAACTCCCCGCCCCTGTTACGCTTCACTACAGTTACAGGGTATTTCCTTCAAGATGACCCCGCCACTGACCCCGACACCTTCGACTATGTAAGAGACCCCAATATCATTGTCAAAGCCATCAAACAGTTGTCTGATGATCTGGAAAGGTGAAATCAAACTTCGGACTCATCGAAAAATACTACGATGAACACCTTGGAAGCGAACAGGCTGAGAGCCAGTGGCGTCGTTTTGACGCCCACATTCAACGCCTGAATGCCAGTGAGACTAAGACATTCAAAGTCCTATTTCTCGGACGCCATGGCGAGGGCGTCCACAACGTTGCTGAGCGCAAGTATGGCACCAAGAAGTGGGATGTAAGTGGTTGAGCATTTCCTCCATGAACTAAACGCCAATCAAACCTCTAGGATTACTGGTCACTCCAAGATGGAGACGAGGACGGCAACTGGGTTGATGCTCGTCTTACTGAACAGGGCAGACGCCAGGCACAAGCTGCACATGCAGCTTGGGGGGAGCAGATCAAGGCTGGCATCCCGTCACCCGAGTCCTACTACGTGAGCCCCCTGAACCGGTGCCTTGAAACGGCGCAGATTACATTTCAAGGACTTGCAATCCCTGGTACGGATCCTTTTAAGCCGACCATTAAAGAGGTGTGTTTGATTCCTACTAAACACCGTGCAATATTTAACCCCACTAGCTGCTCCGGGAAACGATGGGTCAGCACACCTGTGACCGTCGCTCAACGGCCTCGGAAATAGCAGAAGAGTACCCGGAGTACCGCTTCGAAGCAGAATTCTCCGAGGAAGACAAGTTGTGGGATGCCAAGGTCCGCGAGTCGAACGAGCATCGCAATGATCGGCTTCGCTGTCTTTTGAATGATATATTTGCCCACGATGAGAGTACATACATTTCATTAACGGCTCACTCAGGTGCGATCACTAGCATTCTGGAAGTTGTGGGACATCGCCGCTTTGCCTTGGCGACTGGTGCAGTGATTCCTGTGCTCATTTCGGTGGAAAAGGGGGACCCGTCGCAGCCAGAGTCACAGTCATTGTAGGGCTCAAATCGATTTCGAGGACTGCAATAGGTTTATATCTGAAATGGCTGCTGGGTTTGATAAACATTTGAATATTAGAAGAGGTACAGCCGGTCTCAATGGTTTGATACCCAAGAAATTGATTCAGTATTGTACATGAGTCGCTCTTACTCAAGAAAGATGAGAGCGACTTCTCACAAATGCAATTGTCGCCTCCAATCGGCTAATGAAAAACCACTGTCCACGCGAAAGATCTAGATATAAATAATACAAACGCCAAAACATCGATCACCAGCTGTAGTACTGGTTCTGCGCAGAGATCTTGCGATCGGGCAGTTGTGTCCAGAGCTGAGACCTGCGCTCGCGCTGGGCCTTGGCCTCCCGGTCCTCCCACTCGCGGATACGAGTCTTCTCTTCCTTCAGTAGGACTGAGAGACTTGTGGTAGGGGGGCGCATACGGTTGATCTGACCACGGGCGCGGTGATCCATCTCATATCCATAGGGACCGCGGTTGACCCAGGCCTCTTGGATGTAGATGTCGGTGGGGTTGGCAATCTTCTGTCGCTCCCCTGTCTTCAGTATGACAGTAATGGGTTTCGATGGCTCGGAGTTAGAGGCCCCAAGGCCCATGCCGGCACGGACAATGGCGACGTTCTTTGCGTGTTCCAGATGTTCCAGTACGTCCTTGGCGGCCTTTTTGTTGCTGAAGCGCATCTGGAGGATGGCTTCGTCGATATTCTTGCCGGCGATTTGGCGAGCCAGAGGACCCAGCTTCTTCAGTGACGTCTTGATCCAGTGAGATTTGGAAAGAGATTCGCGCTCTGTGCGCTTAATTTGCACCTTTGTCGGCACACGGCCTCGTTTCCGGACCTCGCGGACGGCCATCTTCCTTTCCCATCGCAGCTGGGCCTTGGGGTCGGGACCCAATCCCACTTGTAAACGACTCAAGTCGCGGTCCTCCAGCTTTCCGGAGATGCCTTCTTTTTGTTGTTCCCCCTTTGGCCGGGATGGCATGGGACCGGTTGTTGGTGCGGTGAAGTCTGATCCGAAGATAGAGGTTCCTAAACCACCTTCTTCCTTCTTAGGGGCCGAGGGTCGGTGGGCGACTTTGGGTTTTTGACTGGATCCCCCTGAAAACATGTTTTTCAAGGATGAAAACAAACCGGTCGGCTTTTTACTTTCGCCATCGTTCAAAGCGTAACGGATGGCCGTCGAGGTCAATGTTCGGCGAGGGACGAAGGAGACGGTCCGGGCAGCTAAAGGCGGGAAGTCAGTCAGTATACAGGCCAAGTATATGATGTATAAAGAGATAACATACCAGTCCGGACCAATTGCCCTGAGCGATAGACCATTGTGGCTGTTGGGATGTTGTTGTCAGAAGTTCACGTCGGGAAAAAAGGTGGAAAGTTCCCTGCACTTGTGGTCTGTGCGGAATACCGGAGCCTGAGGCACCTTGAAGTTGATCGATCAGAATAGCTTCAAGAGATGCGACTTGCGACTGCACGAGTTTATAGAGCAAGAACAGGCTTATATACAGATGGAGATGATCTCGTATCTTTGATGGTCATAATCGCATCTCATTCTTGCGACATTACTGTTTCTTCTTCCCAACCATCTCCACAGTATCCACTAGCCCTCATCTTTCCCTCTTTCAGTTCTTCTCTCTCTTTTTCGTCTTCGTTCATCCCTCCCTTCCCTTCCCAGGCCACCAGCCTGTCGTTTCTATCCGTTTCCAATACCTGAGATATCTGAGATTTCAGCTTGACCTCTCGATTAAACAACTTTCGTTTCTTTCAGGCATTCCTTTAGATTCTTAGCCACCCGTCACAAGCAGCTGCGCAAGTGTAAATCTACGTCATCTGCAGGAACAACAACGAGGGGGTTTCTGGGATACGATTAGCCGATGCAGGAATGGACGTGTTGAGGTACATCAAGACTGTCGTATGATCTGGACCTCTGCTTGAAAAGCACCTGGGCATCCATTACGACAATTCCCGGCATCCCATCGTTCTTCCCAAAGCTCTATCCAAACATGGATATCAATTCTCTTCTTTCGCCGGACTCGAATCCCAAGTCTGGAAATTCCACGCCCGTGTCTGGTCCTACGTCGAACAACGCACCGGCCACCTCTGCAGGGCCATCCCCCCACAAAGCTATCGAGAGAACTCGGACAGGCTCCAGACGAAAGGGCAATACTTCTTCGCCTCTTGCACAGCAGGTGTATGCTCCAACCGGAGAATCTTCGCCAGGACCCAGTGGAGGAAATGGGACTTCTCCGACTGAAGTACCCTCAAGACAACCATCCACGCCGGGAATGGACACTTTGGCGGATCTCGCCTCGATGCAGCACCACCAACCACAACGTCCAACGCCAACAAGCATGCTCCGGAGTACTGAATCCTACGAGCACCAGTTATCCCCATCTACTATTCACCCACATGTCAACTCTATCACTCACAACACCCCAACCTCTCGAATTTCTTTCGAGCTCGCCATGTCGGATGGGCGCGACGGGCCCGCGAAAAGGACCTACGCCGCGACTTCGCTCGACCCGGATGCGCAACGATTGGCGACCGACCTTTTTCATCAAATCTCGATCAACCCCCACACGCATGACGCGCACGTGCAGTTTATCGGATTGCTGCATGCAGGATTTGTCAACCACGTCTACCCACCGAATAACCCAGATGTCCACGGCGACCCGCGACGCTATGATCTACTCAACGATTTGAAAACGGCGCGTGAAGAAATGGACAAACTTTTCGCCATGGGAGAAGACCTTTGGGCCGAATGGATTCAAGACGAGAGCATGTTAGCTCAAGATGTCGACGGGCGCATTGCTGTTCTAGAGCTCTGCCAGCGATCCGTCGAAGAGGAGTTTGGCAGCACAAAATTATGGAATATCTACGGCGAATGGGTGCTTTATCTCTACAATTCCGCCCATGGCGAAGCCAGTTCCCAGTGGACTGAAGAGGATCGCATGGTTGGGCGCGAGGTGTTCACATGGGATTCGGTCGTGGAGGTGTGGCAGCGGGGTGCAGACGCTACCAAATGGAGAATCAACAACAGCCACTTGGTCTGGGATCGCCTTCTAGATCTCTATGCTCAGGACATTGCTCGCGCACCTTCCCAGGAAAAGATCAACCATCTTCAT